GAGGAGACACGTGCCCGCTACGTACTGACGGTATATAGTAGCTTGACGACGGGCGAGGAAAACCCAATCATCAGAATTTCCCGACTGCTCGAGCTCCTCCTACTCCCCAAAATGAACTAGCTTCCCAAGGGACCACACACAGCAAGACCACGACACACACCTCACCCCTCACCCCGCTTGCCCGCTCGTCTCGTGCTGGGCTGTCTCCAGTTTCCGGTTTCTAGTTTCCCCAGGGCAGTTCGCCGAGCGGACAGCCGTGTCTTTAGCGCATCCGTGACTACATAGTATACCATGTAATGCTACTTGTACATGGTATCTTGCGGGACAGAGAGCACGAGCCACAGACAGAGATCTCGATCGTGGTCGATTATTTCTCTATTCGGCATGGCAAGTGAGCATGCAAAGCCTGCTAAACGACCCTTGGGCGCCACAGCATGACCCATTCTCCACATCGCCGGGTACCTTTCCGTTGGGTCCCTTACTGCTTGTGCTTGTGCTTGTGCTTGTGCTTGTGCTGCATTTCAACCCTGTCATCAACAACTCCCCAAGAGACGTGACGCTTCGACCCTGTCATTCTTCCATCTTTTTTTGGTCCAGTTACCCTCATTCCACTCCCCTGGCCTCCGAGACCCCTGGACGCTAGCTAGGCCCTTGCCAGACCCTTGACCCCCCTTCTTTCTCTCCTTCTCCGTCTCCTTCTCTGTCATCTCACTGACTGCATCAAGACGAGCAGCCACTCAGCCTCGCCTCCTGCATTGCCGGCCAGCATTCATTCGAAACTAGTCCCCAGTGGCAAGGGGCTACCTACCATGAGTTCACACTACGAATACTTCGGAATTGTCTCTCACCGCTGCCTGTAGCTCTAGATTACAGGAGTCAACCCCAACCGGCCCGTCAAACAGCCCGTCAGACACCTAAGAAATCTTTTCGGGCTGCGAGCACACAATCGCAACTAGGTTTTCTAGTACTGGCCGGGGGTTTGTAACTTGAGGGGGGGGGGGGGGGGGGGGTAAAAAAAATTTGTTGGGGGCACCACCCAAAGTGATTACGGCCCCCCCCCCCCCCCCCCCCCCCCCCCCCCCCCCCCCCCGCCCCCCCCCCCCCCCCCCCACCTCAAGTGTGTGGAGGCACACTCCGATCTGATGACGGCGGCATGATCCAAAGTGACGGTATCCGTGATTACAACAACCTTGCGGTACCCGCCCGCTCTGGACAGCGCATCCCCCCGGGTTCCAATTCGCGTGCCGGGCATTACCCTGGGTTGCAAAGTTGGTACGGCGCGGCTCAAGAACTTCGACCGGACAAAGCACATTGGAACCACCAACTCACGCTATGTCAGTCTAATATCCGTTGACGAGATGTGCAATGCTTGACCTGTTCTCATGCCAGGACGCGAGCGGCATGGCGACTGGCCGAATCTCATTGGACGTCTACACCAATTCCTTGAACCGGAGGCGGTCAGGCTTATGCATATCGTCGTTAGGCTCTGAACGACAACGATGGAACCCGAGGTTAGAGTTCTAAAGGCTTGGAGTTGCGGAAGGCTCGGTGAGGTTGTCTTCTCAAAGCGCAAGGTCGGCGACGGCAACGGCAACGGCAACGGCAACTCCAACTCGGTCGGGTATCCGTTCTGTCCTAGTCGAAACATCTCTTGCAATCTGAAGGCAGCATGTCGTAGCGAAACAGGCCATCCAGCCGCCGGAGTTGGCGCCGGTTGGTGAGCAACATCGAACAGTCCCAGTGCCAGTTGCAGACGTGACTATTGTAGAAGTTGCCAATCAGCCTGACCTCTCTATGACGACATTTGTATGAGGAAATTTTCCCTCCCAGAGGGACGAGGGCACTGGCAAGTGCGCCCTGCAGGGCCGTGCGCATCTGTAGGTGCCGTGGATACTGCGTACTATAGTAAGGAACATGCGAATATCCGTTCTGCGTAAAATGGAAGGCAGACGGAGACACTGGACTGGGGAGGGGGTGTGCGTCAAACATGCCCCAAGGTATCCGGGCGGTACCTGACCTCCATACTACTATAGTAAGGTAGGTACGTATAGCACTTTACACGTCGGGTACCTTCTTGCCTTACCTAAGGTAAGGTAGGTAAGCCTCCGCCTCTTTTACCTACCTGCAATCTTTTCTCTTCAATGTCGCATTAGCATATTTCCGACTGCCAACTGCTCGAATGCTTCCCGGGTTCTGACCATTCACAATGGATGGGCCTGACAGACTCAGACTCGGCCAGATACGGATAGATATGAGCCTAGGTGCTTGCTGTCTCATGTTTGCGTCCCTCCATAACGTAGGCCCCCCAGCGAGCGAGCGCTGTCTTGTTTAGGAGATACCTCGTCTGTCCCGCAATACTCTGTAAGGTACACTACCTAGGTACCTTACGTCGGAGCTGTTCCTTGCCCTGTCTGCCTCAAGACAGCCTAGCCGGGGCCTTCAGGCTTCTGCCATCGCAACAGCCTTGACCGGCCACTGACGTCACGGCCGCGGGCCCTTTGGTTCGTGCAGGGTCTTTTGTGTCCAGGCGCTACGGCCGAGTCAGGTGGGCGGGCGGCAGGGTTTCCTTCGCTGTCTCCCTCCTCCTCGATTTTTTTTTTTTTTGATCTCCCCTTCAAAGACCGCGATCTATCTCGGTTCTCTCGATATCGGCAACCGTATCTGTATGCACAGCGCAGGACGTTGTCCCCATATCTGGGACAAACAACTTGCGGACCGACCGAGAACAGGTAATGCCTGAAGCGTCTCGGTCTGTTTCCGCCTGATGATGCGACAGGTATGCAGTGGAGCGAGATGGAAGCCTGAAGATGTATCGGGGATTGTCAAGATTGTCCCAAGCATCTGGGAAGCGTTGAGAAAGACCCTGGAAATAGCGCGAAAAGGGCTGAATCCAGGGTTCACGATGCAGCATAGGGTATGCGACATGCTCGCACAAGACGTGCCATGAGGACAACCTCAGGGTAGGTCTTGAATAGAGAACCAACGACTTTCTGTACAGCTGGCAATCAAATAAGCCGGTGCAAGAAGACGAGGACGAAGACGAAAGAGATGATGGTGGTGGTGTTGCGTGGCACGGCCACGGTGCGGTGGCTTGATCTCTTCGGAGCTTCAGCTCCTAACCTTACTGCGTGGTATGTTCGCGAGTTCGCGAAGAAGGAGATAGGGTTTCCTGTCGCTTCAGACAGGTGGGGGTGTGATGGCCAAAAGAAGGAAGTGACAAGTCTGCAACCCAGCCGCCAGTCACCAAGCGAGCAAGAAAACAAGAAAGTTGGCAGTCCGACATGGAAATCGACGATACGCCGGGCCAGAACTGAATAGAACACCCAGGGGAGCCAGGCTCGTAGTGTATCCGTAATGGCTACCTCAGAACGCTACGTAATAATCACCGCCCCGCCCCTACCTTACCTAAGTAAGGTAGGTAAAGGTAGGTAGGTACTTTACCGCAGTACGGATAGGTACCCGACCCTTACCCTCATGGTTATGCTCCAAGGTTAGGTAAGATATTGGTATGTACGGATATGGATGTTTGAACTCGAAGTTGGAGACAATGATAGAATCTTCAATGGGGAAAAACCGAAACAACAAAAACGGGCTATCGGGAGAGAGAGAGAAAACTTGCGAGCCCCTTTAGGAGGGGACATTTTCCATCTTCAGGGACTTGGTCTATCATCATTCCTGCGGCGTTGCTTTATCTCCGTCCGCCTGTCTTTCTGAATGTCAGAGCCAGAGTCTCATACACTACAAAACATTGGATCACATCACGTTGAGGTGTCTGTTTGACTTTCCATTCACCGTGGAAAATGGAGCCAAAATAAGGGAATTATAAATTTAAGGGAATAAAAAAAAGGAAAAAAAGGTCAACGGCCATCCGCATTTTCCTAACCATGCCCCAAACCCACCTTTCCCCTACGTCGGGGTACGTAGCCGCCAACCGCGAGAACTTGGGGAGCTGGAAGGTACTGAGCCCTGCAGGTTGGAACTAGGGGTAGCATTAGCAGGATGACCCGCTGTGTCGTGAGAGTGAACCTTCCTATCCCTAAGTGAAAGTAACCTGGTGTGGGAAGTGTGGGCGAGGGGAGGGGGTCAGCGGGACCTGAGGGTCGCTATGCTGAAGGGCAGAACTGTGAAGTCTTGGCCGGACCCTCTTTCGAATGGATTCCAATGTTCCTTGACCCCTGTTCCTCTCCCCGAGAGGAGGAGGGAAAAAAATTAAAGGAAAAAGGTACCTTGCTCTGTGAGAAAAAACGGAGAGTACGTGCCGTATCCACGTCCTAACCTTGAACAGCTCTTGCCGTCTGGTACGAATACCTGGGTACTTCCCACCTGCCTTACATGCCTTACATAGTAGTACCTTACGAACACTGAGGTCGGGTACCTTAGCCCACGTACCTTTTGCAGCATCCTGGCGAGCGACGAAAAGGTGCGCAATTCTCCTTTCCCATTCCCCATGCCCATGGACATGCCCAATCCCAATCTCGCCCCCCCCCAGCTCACTCACTCACTCACACTCCCGTATCCACAACCTTTCCATTTACCACGGCTTCCTTCCAAGGTACCACTTCCACTCCATCCATGCCGGCAGGCCCTTGAATTATACCAGACACCTCGCTTCTGCCCACCCCCCCTCCCCGAACCCGCTGACCTCCCAAGCTTCCCGTCGTCTCTCCCGTCACCATAGCTGCTGGCTGGTATAATACCCAACGCGCCTCATCCTCCCAAGCCTGTTGTGGTTCCGACTCTCTGTTTACTCACCACCACCCGATCCTCAACTACCATTCACATCCAACTTGAAGAACATATTTCTGTCGACACCCTCCTCGGAACACTCCATCGTCGACCCATCTATTCGTTGAGCAGCATTGGGAACCACGCCAACACCTTGTCCACACCTTTCCGTCGCCTCTCGACACTCGTCTTCCCCTTCTAGTCCTGGTACCAGCATACTGACTGAGGTCGACGTTTCGACAACATATCATTCTTATCGATACATGATCACCAAAATGCACGCAAGAGACGCTACTGGCCGCCAGGTCTCTCTCCTGAATGACGAACCCGTCCAGGCCATCCCTCAGCGCCCTCACTACCGCACAGCAAACCAGGTTATCTCCCAGCCTTTTGCGCCGCGAAGCAACTCCTCCTCGCCTCACACTCCCGAGCTTCTTCGCTCGGACTCGTACGACTCGAATGCGAGCAGCGATCCAATGTCCCCCCTCACGCCTACCTCCTACGACGCTACCCGAGTTAATGCCTTTCCCGTCCAGCCCATGTACGATGAATACGACAAGCGCCCAGCCTATGCCAACACCAGCCGCGCAAATTCGTACGAGGAGGATAACTCAGCAACATCACCACTGCCCGAGCGCCCCGGCAAGCGGTACCCTTGCCGCTACCGCGACAGCCACGGTTGCGAGAAGACCTTCACCACTTCGGGTCACGCCTCCAGGCATTCAAAGATTCACACTGCGGAGAAGGCTGTTCAATGTACCTTCCACGGCTGCCAGAAGAAATTTACCAGGGCGGACAACATGAAGCAACATCTCGAGACTCACTACAAGGACAAGTCGCGTTCTTCCGCCTCTGCAAAGGCTGCGGCCCGGTCTTCACTCGGTGCGCTCTCGGCATCCGGCCGCCGTTCTTCATCCTCGTCTACCCGTACTGCCGCCAGCCGCACTTCCCGGGACCAGCCCATGTGGGATGCCGAACCCTACGCCGCATATCCTCCTGGTCAAGCCCCTCTCCCATCTCCTGGCGCCAACGGTGCCTGGGATATGCGCGGTTTGAACCTACCTCTCCTCACGCGCCCCAGCGTCGCGAGAAATCCGAGCAGTGGTCTTGATGCCTTGGCTATGGCGGTTGCCTGCCAAGAGGGCGCGTAAACCATGGCTCCGATTCGATGGATGGGCACCCGCTCGCTACCGTCTCCAGACGGTCGTACAGCTCATTCATACGTCTCGCCCTGACTCAGTTGCTCCGGCTGGATATCATTTGTTTTAATACCCAATCACTCTTCGAATTGTCTACTGCTTCTTTCACACGATTGACGAAGCAACGGACGTGCGTGTAGGGATGGCGTTTGAGCACACGGGTCGGCTTTTCTCTACACTTCTGACTCTATACCACTATTTCCATCTCTATTTTCTTACCTATATCACTCATACCCGGAACACGGATAGAAGGTCGCAAAGCATACGAATGGCGCACCTGCACATACACGCGGCGGATTTCAGGCAACAAAAACGGCGGCGTTTACTCGGTACTTGTTTATTCTTTATTTCCCCAGGGATAACCGGTTTGGGCGGATCTTTGGCTGGCGTTTCCTGTGGCTTCGTACACATACCCGAAATCCTCGATTTTTGAGCAACCGAGGGCAGACGCATCATGCGATTCTTTGTTTTCTGGGGGAGGAATTTTGATACACATACACGACAGATCTTGCGGCTTGGGAAAAGCAATTGCGGGCGGGAAAGGAGAAGAGAAGCCGTCACTCCCGTGCCACAATCTTGAATGGCAAATAGGGGAGAATGCCTCTGACTGAAGTGGCGTGAAGAGCACATGTATATCGAAGAGGAAGGTGAAGCGAGGGTGGAAACTTCACCGACGATTTGTTGATATTATCCGTCTGGTACTTGCTAGTCCTTACCAGCACGCCATCCTAGGCCTGGTAAACTGAGCCAGGCACAAACATGAACAAGTAAAAGTTGTTAAATCAAATCCTCCCCGGCACTTGACGTAGCAGCAATGCTCATTCTGCACCCAACCCGACATCACTGACAATTGGACGGCTAGTTCAGATACACGACGAGGCTGGTTGGATATCCTCCCGCGCTGCCCATTGAGCGAGTTCCGGCCGTCTATCGGTACCGATCCGGGTCAGGATTCGTCCTATGGGTCGGCCCCGATTCGCGTCGAAGTTGTCACGTCGTCTCTTCTCGGGCCGAGCTGCCCGAAAGATTGTCGCTCGCTGGGAGTAGTCGCGACTTGTTAACTTCCGTCGCCATGCTTTGGAATGACGGATGCGCATTACTGGAGGGACACAGAACCATCAGTGTGTCGTCTGGAATGCCATCGATCGCCCATCACCGGCCGCTTGGCTCATCTAATCGGAAATCCCACGTTGCAAAATGATTCCTACGGCTATTCCGCCTCCCCCCCCCCTAGAGAGCAAGAAGGGAAAGGGGTGTATGAGGCTGGTAGCTCATTGTCATGTTTTCGTCCTCTTCCTCCATATAGCCACCTAGCCAACCTGCCACGCCTCGCGCCCCCACCCCCCCCCCCAATATCCCGGGAACTGAGCATCAGTTGTTTCAGCCCAGCTGCGGTCATCAAGTTCCGCTCAGTGGCTTGGGTTCGATTGACGAGCCCGGAGTCTACGGCTTGCGGCTCTTTTCCCCCATTCCTCTCGAACTTGCCCGGCGCGAAAGTCGCATGCTTCGCAGTCGGTTCGCTTGCTGCCGGGGCAACATTATCCTCGGCAAGGCATGATCATTTTTCGGTCTCACTAGATACATCTTCTGCCTCGGCTCGAGGACAGGCAAGATGTGACACGAAATTGAGGTCACACACGAGATGAGAATCATGCTCGGAAGTAGGCCTGTACCCGAGTCTCCGCTCTACTCCATGCCTAGTCTGCATCAGACTCTTCATCGCTCTCCCATTCGCCGACTACATCTCATGACGGCCTGAGTATTCGCGAGACAGCGAGAAGAAACAGCGACGATGAGTGAAGACGACGACGCCGATGCCGAGGAACTGCAAGTGCCAATAAGGACACCATTCTCCTCGCGACGGCTGATCTGAATCATCTGATGTGCCATAAGAGAGGAGGAGAAAAGAGCTGATGAGAAGGTTCCGACTGGCTCAGTGGCTAGCATCCTCATTCCCTGCCGCGTTCGTGGTTGCCCTCGCAAAAATGAACCGTTGGACGGGTCGGACCATTCGCAACGAGGCCAAGCTGATTTGCCGTTCAATTCGAAAGCCACGGCTTGGTCCAACAGAGAGGGCTGCCGAACTTCAAACCTCATGCATCGAAACTCCGGTCTTCTCAAAGACTATGAGACGAAGGATAGAACACATGTTCAATGACGTGTCGAGCACTCCGCGCCCCTCGACAACGTCTCCCGCTCCCCCGGCCCCGGTTCCGGCCCCACTCTCGGCGCCAAACTCATGTCAGTGTCCACACATCCGGTCGCCACGGCCGCCAAGACGGATGACACGCGCTGTCCTTCTACCAGCCCACCCGGCATTTGCCACCAAGGCCACCGAAGCTTGCGGGCGTTTGCAGTGACGGTATTCACTTTTTGTGCAACGAATAGCTAGCGCGTATGGCGGTGCAGGACTATGCTCCGGTCTTGTGCCCAAGGAGGCACTCGTTGGAAACCCTTGTCCACGCTGTTTTGGAACAATCGGCGCGGACCGGCCCGAACGGGTATGCCATATCTTTCCGAGTGAGTTCGGACGATGCGCATATGATACACGTATAGTTCGGATGATGACAGCGTTGACAGGATCTAGGTAGGAGCAAATTCCATGGCGATACGTCCGCTGCCTTCCACACGCACCTGAACAACAAGGCACGTCAAAATCCTCCAAGAAGCCACTGCATGCGATTCAGCGTCAAGGTCTGCGTCAACAATGGCGTCCGATTGATGCCTCTTAAACACCCGCATCAACGCCTGGCCCACCTCAACCTTTTCATAAGCGTAGTCTTCTCCCTTGGTCACTCGGTCGGTCGGCATATATTCATCTTTTGTTTACTATTAGTCTGGAGTGCACCACATGGTAGCAGATGGATAGAAAAGACCGGAGTCACGGGACCTTGAACAGTTGGGGGATCCAGGCCGTCGGAGATTTCTTGGGGTTGTCTCTCAATCTCTTATCTCGCTGTAGTGCGATTCCGTATGTTCTAGCTTCAAACACGTGAAAGTCCTCGGAACCATCTGTCATCTATTTCACCAAGTGGAATTGAATGCAGAACGTTCCCAATAGCTATATAAGGTTGTTCCGTATCTATCTTGACAAAGTACCCTCGCGGAGTGCTCCAGAACGGTGGAACCTTGCTATGAGACGGTGGAGCCGCCTCATCCGCAAGAGCACTTCATACTCGTGCCCAAAGTCCACAACCCTGGGCTGAGCTGGGCGACGTGGCCTGTCTCTCATGAAAAAACCGAGTGGTCGCTAGGACCAGAGCTCCTTCTTCTCAGTGCATAGTCTTGCCATCTCAAACTGTTCGTCGGTCTTGCACACCAGAGTGCGACACTTTGCCTCCCGCTTACCGACGTCCTGCACTGTGTACTTAATCTCGTTGCCGTTCAGCTCCTCGTCGATGGTGAAGCCCAAGCAGGCGCACTGCTCGATGACGCGCCTCCGCAGCTTGTCACTCTTCTCGCCGATACCGCCAGCGAAGACGAGAGCATCTACCTGGCCGCCGAGAGTGACGAAATAGGAGCCGATGAAGCCGCATATTCTGTCGATGAAAATATCAAACGCCAGCTTGTGTGTCGGCTCGTCCGAAGTGGCTATAACGCCAAAGTTGGTGGTTCCTGTCAGAGACTTCCACCCTGCCTGCTTATTGAGAATCTCCTCGGCCTCGGTGAGGTGTAGTTCTGACGTTGAGTTTGGCGACAGTTTGCCTACGTCACTCGCATAGTGGAAGACAAGACTGCAAATGATTAAGTCAGTTGAACATCCTTGAGGGGAGCTAATGGCAAGGGAGAACGACTCACCTAGGATCCACGCTGCCACTCCTGGTGGCTCCTGGCAGACCCGCAACGGGGGTCAGTCCCATGCTGGTGTCCCAGCTCTGGCCCTTGCGAATTGCACACGCGCTTGCACCGCTTCCCAAGTGAAGGGCAATGATGTTGAGGTTTTCGCGGTCTTTGCCGAGATGCTCCGAGACGGATCGGGTGATGAAGGAGTAACTGATGCCATGGAAGCCGAACTTCCTCAAATGGTTCTTCTTCGCAATCTCCTGGTTGATGGGGTAGGTCCGCACATGTTCGGGAATGGTCGAGTGAAACTGGGTATCGAAGCACGCAACATTGACGGCGTCCGGTAGCTGCTCGACGCAGGACTTGACGATCTTGAGGGCAGGTCCATTATGCAGGGGAGCAAGATCGCTGAGTTCCTCGAGGTGGTGATACGTGTCCTGTGTGATAAGTTGGGAGCAAGGGTAGTCGCCGCCGTGAACGATGCGGTGGCAGGTCAAAGTGATGTCTTGTTTTGCCTTGATCGCTGGCAGCTCGGGGTCGTCGATGAGCGTCTTGAGAAGGATCCTGAAAGCATCGTCCTGGGTGGCCACTTCGTCTTGAAGTTCTTCGTTCTTCTTGAGCTGGATGTCGCCGCGCGTGTAAGAGACTTGAGCAGGTGGGGCTGTCAGCCCACTGACGGCTGCCTCTGCGATCTCGTGGGGTGACTGGCTGGGCTCAGCGGAGTACACTGAGATCTTGACAGAGCTGGACCCCGCGTTGATGGCAAGGATGACCTTCATTGTGGACAAGGTTGAAGGCGACTGCGCTTTGGCTTACTGGGACGGGAGGTTTGGGTGATTCGGAAGATGGCGAAGTGTGACGGGGTAGAGGTTTTCGCTTGTTTCTCATCGAGGTCGTCTAGCAGAGTCGGATTTATACCTAATGACGGCGTTGTTATCATATATCAGCAAAGCTCGGAGACCAGGGAGTTGACTCTCGGGCCGACGCTATTGGTGATTGAAGCAAGGAAGCTTAGGTTGACTGAGGTGATTTCGGGACAAGAACCATCAGCAGATGTTTCGCGGTGGGATGGTTTTGAGGCGACGTGGGTGTGGGTGGGCGCTGCATCGCTGAGTCGGACAAGTCCATGTACCTGATGCTCGCCATTCCGCAGAGAGGTAATAGGTAAGGTGATGTGTAGGTAGGTAGGTAGATAGGTAGTGACGTTGAGACGGTGCCACCAAGGTCCAGTGTCTACCTGGGTTTGCGCCGCCCACCGCCCCCCTTCATCCCTCACTCTCTGCTGGAATTGGCAGCTAAATACTACCTTAGCTGCGACCTACCTACCTTACCTAGGTACCTAAGGTAGGTAGTGTCCAGTACCTAAGGTAGGTAAGGTAGGGGGAGCTAGCCCGAGCGCCGGAACCCCGCGCCGTGCCTTGTCCTGTCACCCTGTAGCCGGGGTGTTGTTCCAGGGTTACTTTAGGTACCTTACGTACGTAGGTTGATTGTGGACCCTGTCAAACCTGTCAAACCTGTCAAATCTGCCCACGCCCTGACGCTCTGACCTTTGACGAACCCATCCGCTTCCGGAATGTACAGACGGGACCGGGAGTACCGCACACCACTCTCGGATGAGTCCAGTGCGTGTGCTCAAGGAATACTCGGCCTTCGTGAATGCCGCTGCTTGATTATTCCGTGGTACCACTCTCCACAGCCGAACTCCCGGCCATGGTATCGACAGTCCACGCGCGGATGCCTTTCCAGTCGTACACTCGGACGCGAGTTGATAGGCTCAGTGGTCGGCACGTATAATGTTGGTGTCTTGATACCTAGGTAACGTTGTTCAAGGGGTTGAGTCCGACTCATAGGAATCTGGCGGCTCGACCACGGGCTGTAGTCCCCTTGAAATATCGGGTGACGGAAGCTCCGAAATCTCCCCCGGAAGGATTTGCGGCGAGGGCAATTCTATGTGAGTGGAAGGAAAAGGGATCCCGTGAAATTCGCTGTCGGAGCTGTGCGCCACAACCCATCTCTCGAGAAATCTGCGGTAGTCTGTCATATGCCAGTCAGCATCCGACGCCATCTGACATGACCAGATATTCGTCATCTGAAGATGCTCTGGTCCTGGTCCTGGGTACGCAGGACGCGGCATACTGCCCGTACATACCTTCACGCTTGCTGAACTGAATACCCAAGTAGCGCATATCAAGAAGGCCAGACGATGAGACTGATTCCGAGCTGGAGCCACCTGAGCCGGAGCGAACCCGCGGACGCATTCGGTGTAATGTGAACCGTGACCGGGACGTGTTGTTGTCCGGAGCACTGCTGCGCCGGTTTCCACGGACAGTCAGCCGTACTTGGCGATGCCGATCGTCTCGATTCCGCAGCTCCCCCTCAAAGTTGTGTATCTCGTATTCCCGGTGCTGGCGACCGCCGGCGCGATTGGCGAATATGGTCAGCGAGTGGTAGGTAGAGTAGCGATCTCTCCACAGCTTCAGCCTCTGGACCAAGCCCATACCCCGTATGTTGCCAAAGCCGTCTGTTCTTCCGTGCACGTCGGACCAGACCACATCCACATCGTAGTAGTCGATCAAGTCTTTTCGGCGCACGTCGCCCTGGAAGCGCATGGAGCCCTCGACCGTTGTAAACTCGTACTTGACCTCCATCAGATGATCGTGCATCACCACGCCCTCGCCTGTTGTGTACCTCACCCGGTGCGGTTCGCGAAAGCTGACGTAGAGTTCGAGCTCACAGGGATCCGTGTAGGGCCGGTGGCGTGCATGGAGCGTGTGTGGAAATATTTCGGCAGGGACGTCGGTCGGGACTACAACGCGGTCAGACTAGGGACGCTGGCACGGAGGACGGGGCCGGGAAGCAAGTACGGAAATGTTCGAGGAGCTCGCTCTGGTAGCTGCACTGCCAAAGAATGCGACGCTGCTCGGAGCCGACAACCTCCCAGGGACCCAGGTAGACAGTGCGCTCGTTGGGAGTATTTTCAAAAAGGGTTCTAGGAGGCCGGGCCGTGTCAGAGAGGAGGGGCACGCGGAGTTGAGGGGAAGGTGATGAGAGGGGCCAGGGGAGAAAGATTCGGAGAGCGGAAGAGTGAGGGTCGGGGCGACAGGGACGCCTTACATGGTTGCTTGATATCCCGGAGGACCGAGATCTAGAGGACGGAGGGAGGCATGGGGTGCCGACGCCTCGGAGGTGAGAGCTGAGATAGTAGAGGCACCCGAAGTCGGTGTCCAGGTCGAGTCGATGGGGCTCGCATAGGGATGACCGTAGGAAGGCGGGCGACCGAGGGAGGACGAAGTGAAAGAAGAGCCGGAAGAGGACGAGGCGGCCATGCTTGGTAGGCCTTGGCCCGAAGACTTTCTGGCTCTGGTCAACAAATCAATACAATGGGAGGACGCGTGGAGTCGCAATTATGACATGTTGCTGGCGGAGGGTGTATTGGTTCGGTTCGTCTGGTCGGGTTCGTTTTCTTGGTCAGAGCACAGAAATCTCGGGACGAATGCATTCAAACGGCGTGGCGTTGCGCGGCCAAAACGCAAAGACTCGGGTATCGTTGTTTGTACTGCCGCGGCCGTTGCCCGCTGCCGCTGCCGCTGGTGAGGCTGCCGATGTTGCGAATATCGCCGGGCATCAAAGTGTTTTCGACCCAGTGGGGGCAGAGGAAATGCGACCAGAAGGGTGTTCAGTAGGGACGAGACGAAGAAGCAAGGTCAGTGCGCGCGGATAGCTCACACGCAGTCGCTGGACAGGATTACGGATTTGTCGTGGCTTCGTGGCTTCGTGATTTCGTTCGTTGGTGTCGGTGTTGGTGTCGGTGTCGGTTTCGGGGAAAAGGCAATCGGGGATTTCGACCAGTTGGTTCAAGGGCCGTTGTGACGGCAAGCCAGACGAGAGAAACCCCAAGAACCGAGTGTTGGGCAGTCTAAGGCTGGTAGCTGGAATGGGAGGATTTTTTTTCCTAGACCGCGCGGACTCGGGATCCCAAGCGAGTTCCAAGTGAGGGGACCGACCTGACCTGAAGGAGGGGACGGGACGGGACCAGACCAGACAATGGAAGACCAGAGCAGCGGAGCGGGGTCGCAAAGGGGACGTGGAACTTGGAAGGCGAGAGCGAGCCGTTGGTGGTTTGGCGGTTTAGAGGTTGTCGGCGGTTAGTCAATTAATTACCTTACCTACCTAGTGCAGGTATGTATGTAGGTAGGTAGGTAGGTAGGTAGGTAGGTAGGTAGGTAGGTAGGTACGAGAATAATTACCTTACCACCGGTGCGGTCCATTAGTGTCCCACGTGCGGAGTGATTTCGATGGGCGCTTTACCTCCACTTCAGCTCTTTCTCACTCAATGTGCTTGCTGCTTAGGTCATTCACGTCAGACTATCCGTATCTTTACAGCAGGCCGAAACGAAGCAAAGCGAAGCAGTCCGGGCACGTATTTCTAGGGTAAGGTAGGTACCTTACCTTAGTTAAGGTAAGCAGTTTCTCATTCTTGAGCGAGATGCCATCACTTAAACTCAAGTCTTTCATGCCCATGGAACATACAAGTCCCTCATTGCGCCGTATGTTGAAAGTTTTTCTGCGTAACTCCGAGCCATGTCTTCCGTCCCGTCGCATCCATCAGCATCAGCATCGGCGTCGGCGTCGGGTCTTGTTGGTCTTGACTCTTGACTCTTGACAACCACGACAACCTCAACTTCGTCAGTGGGGGCAAAAGCGTGGGGAGCTCATTCATCCCTTTCGGGCACGCCCAGGCGGGAACCCAGCCAGCTTCATGACGCGGAAGGGGTTGGAGGGGCCGGTGAGTGATTGGGAAGACGAGAGTCGAGACTGCTTGGATATACAGGACCGCGGTTGGTTCGCCTCGGGTGCGAATATAGAAGAGAATTCGGAGCACGTACGGATACTTAATCTCGTCAACCCCCAGGGCCCCTGCTGGGAAGAACGCCAACGGCCGATACCATGCAATGCCTGCCTCCCCGGCGCCCGTAACCGGCCGCTCGGAGCAGCCAATGACAGTGTCAGCCGTGACTGCATGCTCAAGTGACTGGCATCGCGATCTTCTTTCGTATGTGAGTGAGGGCGGCGACGTGGAGGCATTCTGAAGCCACCCGCCATTCCGAGCCCGACCCTTAGATACCTACCAAGTTGACAGCAACATGCCCAGCACATGTTTGCCAGCATCTGGTGATGGATCATGGGCCAGGCACTCACGCTGCAGAGTCGTGCATTTCAACTGGTGCTCCGGGCTTCAGCATGACATGCCCCTGGGTTGGACGTGGAGGCTGGAGCTGCCTCTCACCCTCTCACCCTCTCACCCTCTCCCACACCTGCGGATCCTCCATCCGCACCTTACAAGACACAGTGTCGAGAGCGACCCTGCAGATGCTATGTTCCGACCTGGATGATAATAACATCACTCCGGGCAAGGCTTGGGCTCAGGGCGATTCTCGGCACGTCTCCAGCTCGAGAAGTGTTGTTGTCAACCAGGAAGTTGTCAGTACCTTAGTCAGGTAGCCGCGATAAAAACATGTATCAGAGGAGGGAAAAAAGTTCTTCTTTAACATACTCGGGTACGGGGATTGGGATTATGAACTCGTTCGGCCCCCCACCCACTCACCTTGGCTAGACTGGGCATTGGTATTCAATATTCCGGACGCCTGGCCTTGCCTTGGCCGCTACTGTGTCGCATTGCACTGCAATTGCCGTAAGTATCTCAAGTGGAGGCCGAAGCAAGAAGAAGCACAGGAAGAGACGGGAAAGAGAAGAACTCGCCGGCACTGCTAACAATAAGCAAGGTAGGTATCGGTATCCGAACACGCACCTACACCTCACTTGGCAGCCCTAGCCTTCAGACCTTGCCTCGGATTAGCGTCCTTCTGCTCGTCGCATTTGCCTTTCGACTTCTTGATTCCCTCCCCCCTTCTTTTTCTACGCGATCTAAGCTAACCGACTCACAACTCTCTCCCATCTTCCTGTCATTCATGTTATAAGCCCCGTCCTTTTGCACCCCCGGAATTGTAGTGTTAACCCACATCCGCATCCGCCACTTCCTAATGGTAGGGCTCTCTCAACCGCGACTAAAGTGCCCTTGAAAACGGGTCTGCGCTGACGGTGACCCATCTCTCCCCCCGACTTGTCGACCTCTTTCCCGATTCTCTGCGTCTTCTCTCATACGGTACTGCGAACCATTACCTGCGGATACCTAAGTTAAGGCCTTCTGCCTTACATCGTCCGCGTCTTCGGCAAAAGCCCAGCAGGCAGCGTAGGCCCCATCAACGCAATTCGGGCCGCGTTACCAGCCTCGCTCAACGCAACAAAGCATCTCACCAGCCATCCGAGAAATTGGGTGAATCGATACAAGTCGACAGCGAGCCATGTCGGCTCTGCCCGGTCCTCACACGAGGAGGAATCGCGGCTTTCTGGGAAGCGATAGCTCCGCTTTGCCTGCCCGAGATCTTCAAGTACGCCGTCCGATCCCCTCCTCCTCCGCCTCCGCCTCCGCCTACCGCTTCTCGCTTCCCGCCTCCCGCTTCCCGCCTCCGCTTCGGCCTCCGGCTCAGTGTCATCTCATTCCTACATGTCTCATCTCTTCATCACATGCACTTGGCAACACCGTGCGCGTCTGCTGCCACCGGGCTGGCTTCGCGCGTATGAGGTCTCTTTGTCTCCTCCATCGTACAACTTGCTCAATTCATCTCATCGGTCGACTAATTGATGCCACAGGACCGATCTCAACTTCGATATGAACTCGATCTCAATTCTTGGAACCTCCGCATCTGGGGCGTGGCCGCTTCAGGTTTCTTGACAGACTCGTATGCCATTTCACGGCTCCGTTGGTTCTCCCCCAGGAGATGCTACTGACATGCTGTCTTCGTAATAGTTACAATCTCTTTTCTACCAATGTCATCCTTGCCTCCATCGCCTTTGTGTATTGGCCTGGGCATGGCGAAAGATGGCAGGGGCTGTTGATCAACTTTTTTACCCTCCTGGGCTCTGTGGTAGGACAGCTTTTGTTTGGCTTTCTTGCTGATTTCTATGGTCGCACTCGTCTTTACGGCATCGAGCTTGTGCTCGTAGTCGTGTCTACCATCGGAGTTGCCACCAGCAGCTATGGCTTTGACGACATGAGTTTCTTGGGACTCTTCGTCTGGGTGCGTTTCCGCGCCTTACTCTTGATGCATCATGCGCTGTGCTGACTTTGGCCCGACAGTGGCGTTTCGTCATGGGTATCGGTGCGTATCGACCCCGCGCGACTAGACGTTGAGGTTGACTTTGTAAATCTAGGAATTGGTGCCGAATACCCTCTTAGCGCAGTCATCACCTCCGAGTGGTCCAGCACTCGATCACGAGGAACTATGATCTCTTCTGTAAGTCAAAGGTGAGGTTTGACCAGCTTCTCTGTCTTTGGCTGACACTTCATCGTTCAAAGACCTTTATGATGCAGCCAATCGGGCAGGCTCTGGCGCAATTAGTCGGTCTCTGGGTACTTATTGGCCGTGATAAAACTGAGGGGCTGCAAGCCATGCAGTGCGGCCTCGACATGAAGTATGACAGAGAATGTCGGCGGATTCTCGATGGAATCTGGCGCATAGTCATTGGCTCCGGCGCTGTCCCAGCGCTCCTGGCCATCATCTTTCGATTCTTCCTGTTTGACTGCGGACTATACAGCTTGGAGGTCCGGAACAAACCAGGAATTGCCTTAAGAAACACGCAGAGAGTGTATGGCGCGCCCGCTGGCGCATCGGCGGGATATCCCATGAATACCCCGAATGGGGTGCAACCCACAAACTCACCGCAGCCGATGCCCATTCAATTTTCCAAGCAGGACCTCTACAAGTATTTTATTCAAGATGGAAATTGGTACTATCTCCTAGGTGAGTCGCGATGCCCGACGTGGGAAAGGATGGATGATCATCCAGGTATCACCAGACCACTCACATCAAATAGGAACCTCGGCGACATGGTGAGTTGCGAATGCCAGGATAGAAATACCACGCGCTAACCAAGCCAACCGGTTCTTTCTGGACGTCTCCTTCTATGGGCTCTCGCTAGATAACAGAGGTACTCTGTCGGACATGTGGGCGACTACCGGGCCGACTCCCATCGACGAGAATCTGTCATGCTGGAACTCGAGGTTTCCCGACGGTATCCCGGCTGCGAGACAATGGAACCAGACAGGGCTACCAATCTGGCAGACGGACTCGACACTACCTTGCAATACCATTTACGACGTGCTAATGGAACAGGCGAAGCAATATTTGCTGACCGTCTCCATCGCATCCATAGCTGGCAGTGCATGTTTCGTCGTGGCTGCGAACCGCATCCCCCGACGACTGTGGCTGACTGTCTCATTCTTCGTCCTCGCCGTGTTGTTTGTTATCACCGGATGTGTATACTACGGCGTCCACCGGACAGAAGGCGCGCCGGCCACCATTGTTTTGGTGGCGCTGTGTCACTTCATGTTCAACTTTGGTGAATCGCACAGCAGCCTCTTGTGAAGACATTCTGACTGACGGGGGATCATAGGCGCAAACACGTTGACATTCATCATTCCGGCTGAAATCTTCCCGACCTGTTACCGCTGTACGTGTCATGGTATCTCAGCCGCGGCTGGGAAGCTCGGCAGTATCGTGGCTCTTCTCGTCGTCTACGGAATCAACTCGAGGTACGGCGCCTCCAATCGGCAAGGGCTCATCTTCCTCCTGTTTGGCTCTTTCGTGGCCGTTGGCGCCGTCTTCTCCTGGGCATATTTGCCCGACTCGCAGCGGTGGGTGATGGATGAGGACGGCCGTCGGGTCTTGGAACAAAAGACGCTTGAAGAGCTTGGCGAAGGACGGGAGAGGGCAAGGCAACTGGGCGAAGTCATCACCGTCAAAGATAAGTGGCATGACTTGAAGCGGAGGAGGGCGTCGCCCGAGGGCTCGCAGGTCACAGAACCATAAGACACTCGATGTTGTATGGGAGCTCACGTCTGATGGGTTGAGATTCCATAGAAAGGGCGCCGATGCCCCTTGTGCCATGAAAGTAGATTGCCTCGAAATGAGAGTGGCGGGCGCCTTGATTGACCAGTGTCATGTCCGAGATTCGTGTCATGGCCTCCAACTCCAGCACATGGAGCAGAACCTCCAACGAGGCTTATGATTTCTAGCTGGATGTTACGAGCCTATGTGGCCATCCGGATCCAGAGCGATTTCCAGCGAACTTACGGTGTCTACGTAGACATCCTTTCCGCTCGTCGTCGCCTTGACATGCGCGTTGTTCTCGAGAGCATCGAGCCACTTGGCCCAACGTAGACCCGGTGCTGGAGCAGTCCAGCCGCGTAGCGGCTGCAGTATACGGGAGAGACGAAGGGCGAAAGGAGCGAAGTGGATGTCCACCAAAGACAGGCTGTTGCCGAGGAAGAAAGGTCCCTGACATTTCCACATCGATCAGCATGCTCGCTGTACAAAGCGGTGTCTGGGGGCAGTTGGAGAACAAGATTGAGGAGCAAAATATAGAGGGGAGTTAGTTACCTGCTCGTCAGCGGCAAGGACGAGGTCTTTGATGGACTCTTGGAGTTTCTCGATGTGTTGTGGCTGTTGCGCTGGGTCCGGATTGCGCAGGAGACGGTAAAATGCAGGCACGAGGCGGGAATTGATCTGAATCTCAAATCAGGTTCTGTACATATGGAAGCGAGCGGGCGACAAACATGGTCGATCCATAACCGGCAATTCGCGCGGAGCCGGACGTCTGATGGGAACAGGGGTATGTCCTTGTCCACTTCCTCGAGCTAGGGGCAACAGTTAGTACATCCATCAGCTGTATGCGCCGATGGAGCTGCAATACTCACATATTCCAGTATGACCGCGCTCTCAGCACAAGCCCAGTCTCCTTGGCGAATAGCAGGCACTGCTCCTCTCGGGTTTGCTTCAAGTAATTGCTGTGAGGGGTTTGATTTGTACGGGTCTTCCTCACAGTACTGGTATGAGAGACCCTTGGCCTCCAGTGCAATCCAGACGCGCTGGGAAAAGGGACTAGGAGTGGAATCAGCAACCTCACGCAGCCAAGCGGAAAATTCGGGTGCAAAACAAACCAGTAGCATGCCGAGTAGAGCTTCGTATGGCTTTCCTTTTCGTGCTTCTTGATTGTCCAATGTGCCCGGCCTGTTGCTTTTCTAGGTCCGTCATTCTGGTCATAGACAGATCACGACGTTAGCCCATGCTGGTGAAGCCGCTTCCGTGCTAGGATGTCTCACCTTGGAGGTCTCGTGGTTCTGCTTGGCAAGATGCCGCTGGATGCTGTTCTTCTTCACCTCGTCGCTCCTTGCGAGAGTATGCTTATGCGGACCCGGAACACCACTTATACTGATGTGACCATTCACCCGCTGGATGGTCCAAAACTTCTGACCGGGAGCGGGCAAGTTGTTCACCGTTGCTGGAAGGATGCGCAGATTCTTCTCGCCGGGGGGCGCCAGGACCGTGACCGCGCCGTTGAGGGCCTGACCACCATTGAGAGGCGAGTAAGCGCCTTCGTCCATGTCATCGAACGTTGCGCCGGGAAAGTACTCCGTGATCTTGATTTTGACGTCACATAGATTCAATTTGCGGGAGACGCGGTTTCGTCGTTTCTTATTCGGGTCGTCGGACTTCTTGGTCCCCGGGGGTCGGCCCTTGAGTCGACAGTCCCAGTAATGGGATATAAAGGGCTTTTTCTTGTAGGTCTGCGTTGACCTGTGGGAATAGACGTTGTCTACATGAGGGAAGTAAGCCTCGAATCTGAGAGGAGATATGTAAGCACACCGATTTATCGGTACCTGTCTTGAGGGGGTGGAACTTTACTGCTCATTGCTGAGGATGATGAGCCCGTCGGCATCGAACAGCTTTTGGCGCCACTCTTCGAGGTTCGGAGGGTCAATGACCCATTTGCTGCTGAGCAGACTGCCGTGCGGCCTCCAGCCAGGAGTAGTCGTCCCGTCAATGGGAATGAAGCCGCCAGGGCCAACAAGTGATTCCCCTGATCCTATGAGGCTCGCACCTGGGATAGCCGGACCCGGCGTCAGGATGCCGAACTGACCATGCTGATGCTGCTCCGTTGGCGGTAGGGACGGGGCATGGCTGTGAGCAAGACCATGATTAGGTGGATGTGGATGAGACGGCTGCGGCTGCGGCTGCGGCAGCGGCGGCGGACCCATCGGGCCTAACACGTTCTGTTGCTGGTGATGTTCATGTTCATGTTCATCCAGTTCGGGATGAAAGACGGTGCTTGCGGCTTCGATACCGGACATGTCCATTGGAGGGGTACCGGGACCGGGACGGAAGTGGGTTACGGGAACGGCATCATTGTGTGACGGAGCGGGCGGGAGTTGCTGCTGATTTGAACCCGAGTGGGGACCATGCGGAGAGGTCACACTGCCGGGGCGTAGATCGAAAGGGGCCGAGACGGAGCCAGGCATTGGATTTTGGATGTTGTGTTGTGTTGCTGCTTTAAAGAGTCGTGCAGTCGTGTCAAACGGGGGTCGGGGTTGAGCAAATTAAGTTACAGCTGGAATACGATCGGTGAGTCGGCAACTTGCCCGTGCACAGACCACGCCCGGATACCTGAACTTAAGGTATGGATGGACAGGACTTGTTGGACGGCTAAATTCGGTGACTGAGCCACATCAGGCTTCCATCTTGTATTGCACGAATTGCACGAATACCTACCACTGCATGGACGACGATCTTGAGGACACAGTGATTTTGGATGAGGAAGCACCTACTAATTCATCAATACCTTCGTACCTTCGTGAGAGTCGTGTGGTTCATTCCTAAAGCCCTTTGCGAACTACGTGCGCTCGCTCCGTACGGCCGCCAACACCATGTCTGTGTTATACACCTCCCAAAACCATGTGCGCCGTCAAATGTATCTGGCAAGGCCTCGCCGTTAAGGCCTGTTCGCTCTCCAGTCCCAACAAGTAAACTCGCATTCCATCAGTTTGACGCATCCCACGAGGAAAGATCCATCGCGTCCATTGGTCCCATATTCATCAACGACCTCAACACTCCTTCGGCGACCGGCGTCATGCCCGTCTGTCCTTGCAAATCTCCCCATCCGTTTGGCATGCCAAAATCCGCCCCGGGCGTTTCTGGCATCGAAAACCTCTGATTTGGCGTAAGTCCCATGCCCCTCATTCCGAAACCGTTCGTGTCGCCGAAGAAATTCATGTTTTCCGTGTTGCCTTGAGAGTTCATGTTCTGTTGCCCAGCCGCTGAACTGGCGTCGAACGAGTTCCGGCCGCCCGAAGCCATGTTCATTCGCTGTTCCGAAGCTGAACTGGAATTAGGCGTTGGTCGATTCGACTGATCCCCGTCGGGTGACCCGGACATGTTATCGCCGTTGCTTTCGCTCTGCCCAAACCCAGCCACGTGTCCATTGCTAGATCCAGATTTGTCGTAAAGCGAGCCGGAGCTCGGCGTCAGTACCGTTCCCTGCATTGGAATGCCGGATCGGTTGGCGTCGTAGGGAAGGTGCTGCTCCGCGGAGAGCCAGGTCTGACCTCCGAACCCAGTTGATGCAGAATTGGGGCCGGCGTCTCCGTCCTTTTCAGGTTCAACGATACTTGGTGCCCCAGCAGCGTTTCCATTGTCGCCCGAAACCTTCATGAAGTGACACTCATTGCGATACGACATGATACCTTGAACGCCTTCAGGATCGTCACATACTGGGCCTCGGGATCCACCGTTATTCGACGTCGGCTACGGCACTTGTTAGCTGGGTCGACTCATGATCTGATCTGAGTGCTTACGCTATCGACACTGCGCGGAAAGGCCGATTTTAGTTTTGGTATCCTGATCGCAAGGGCTTCTAGGTCCACGTCAAGCTGTACCAGAAACGATTCTGTCAGGGGGTTCCTCCTTTTGAGCGCGTTCATGGCGGAGAGGAGAAATCTGAGCGAGTCGGCCGTCTGGCTGTCTTCAGGACGGCTCTTGAGATACTGCACAAATACCCTAGCAGCAACGTAGAGACAGAACGAAATGAAAGGATTCATCTGGTTTTATCAGCAACCACGCAAGCCATGATGGAGCAGACTCATTCAACATACCGCTGAGAGATCCATGTGCGAGATCGTCCTCATGATGCTTGCGATCTCGTTGGCAGCTGTAATACATCGTACTTTACTTTCGGCACTGACCGATGCCGGAAGTCGGTTCTTGTCGGCTTTAAAGATGGCTGCTTGATGAAGACAGATGGTAGATGTGTGAATACTCATGTTAGTGAAAACGATGTTGGGGTTTCCAAGACCGGCAGGGAGCTTCAGGTGAGAAGGCAAGCAGAGAGAAGTATTCAAGAGAATGTTGTCCATGTTGCGGTGTCGTTTCCAAAACTCGCCGTTGAGGTCGTGGTCTCTGTCGTCCACGTCGGGTCTGTGAAGATGGATGAGGTTTCGGCCAAATAGGCATGCCATGAGCACTATGCCGCCAAAAGAAGAGAGTTTTCCAGCACCGGAAGGACTCATACAATCCTGCAAGGACTGTGTTTGCTCAGGCCGACTCATTTCAAAGGCCTCCTCAGTGGTTGGCAGATTTGTCATGATGTCCTTCTCATCAACAGTCATTGGCCATCCAGTGCCAATACTGGCGTAGCGATCCTCGCAGAAAGCCATCCAGAACGTGCGCCGCCTCTCTTCACGCTCGGTCCAGTCTCGAGGTGGTGGGAGGCATTGCTTCACATCCAAACCAGCGCCATCAAGCCGATGCAGACCAATCCTGACCAATCATGTCATCAGTGGCGCGTTCAAGTGACCACAAAAGAAGTATTGACTCACATTTGACAGAGGCGCACAGCTGATCCGGTGCTCATCCAAGCTCGCGGGAAATACATCATCTTGAATTCATACGATGCCAGTAGCACGTGGGTCTGCGCGTGAGCGACCGAGATCAGGTGTTCGCCGTAACCTTTGATGTAGTCTGCCTCAACATATTTGCGCGCTCTCTGGTAGAACAGATCCTTGAGATCAATGTACTTTTCGGTGATGGAGCATGCCAACGTCCATATGGCATATCTGAGTGCAACTGGAGGGCGTTGATTGGGCGCACTAACAAAGGAAGATATGAGCATTTGAAAAGTGACCAGGAGCACAGAGGAAAGAGGGGAAATGGCCCGGAAGTCCTACAGGTTCATAGCTGCCAAGTATCTGTACTTGTGGATCATGGGTACTGATGGGTGACACTTTTCAAAATAGATTTGATGGCTGAGGGTTTGGTTAGTACACAGGGGCTCGGCCTCCGGGCTCGTGGCACTCACAGCTCATCAATCGTCTCTTGAGGAGGAAGGGGCTCCTCAAGGCCCAAACCAATCATCTCCCAAGTGAAGTTGCTTCCGACGTTGTTCATGCCCATTGACATATTGGAGTTGAAGTTGAAGTCGTCCATGGGAGGCGCAGCATTCTGCGTTTGAGGGGATTCGCCGTTGAATCTCCAACGTTCAGCATCGCCCTCCCTAGGAACAGCCAGGTTCGGATTGGAGACATTGAAAGTCGGAGCCGAAGCCGGGTTTTGAATGCGGTTGGAGGCCGTGTCTAGTCCGATGGGTATTGTCCTAGAAGAGTCGGTGGGAGCGGCGGGGGGGTCCTGGGTCTTGAGGAGGGTTTCGACTTGCTCTACAGGCGGCGCAAATGGATTCAGTCAGCCACAGAAACGTTGAACAAGTAGAAGGGTTCAAGGCAAGGCAGATGCGAGCAAGACAAGGCGCGGGATGGGAGAGGCTCACTCAGGCGTTCCTCCAGAGCCTTGACATATCCCCTCTTAGGACCGCTTTTCCTGCGAACTTCATCATAGGCGCAAGAATGGCCTAGCCTGGCACAGGTACTGCAGCTCGGTCTGATACCGTCGCACTTGAGCTTGCGCTTTCGGCAAATCATGCATGCCAGGCGCTTCGGTTTGGGCACGCTTGAGTTGTCGGCGACAGGTTCCTTGCCGTTGGAGTCTGCGCCTGGGCTGCGAGGACGTTTATGGGGATTGGCACCGTTGGTGTCTGGCGGGGTGGGCGTGCTCGAGGACATGTTGAATAGTACCAGGAGAAGAGGAGGAAAGTCGAGCGAGGATCAAAAACGTTGGGCGAGGCGCTCAGTGAGGAGATATCGGGGAGAGAGAGCCGAAAGCCTCTGTTGGGCGGCGGAGAGAGTCGCGGCGCGCAATTACAACAGCTGCGTTATGGGAGGGGCTGTTCGGCGTCGCACCGACTGGACTGCTTCATGCGGTTAGTTATGCAGCGTCTGAAGTCGGTAGTCAGTCGATTCGGTGCAGAGAGGCACAAGAAAGCGCGATCGTTTTGATTCCGTGTGTTGTCAACGTGTACCCTGAGGAGGAAGGCATCGACAACTAAGCCGACAGTAGTAAAAGGCAAGAAGAACGGAAATGGGGACTCGGGGACTTGGTCGGGCAAGGGGGGTTGACGGTGGCAGTGGCAGAAGCTGCGGGAGCAATTAGCTGGTCGTGGTAGAGGGTGTTGAAGACGGGAGAGAGAGAGAGAGAGCCACGGGCGAAAGTGCGATAGCCTGGACGCCATTCCCTTTTCAGTTGGTCATGATTAATAACAGACTATCGGCATGGATGTCCCAGCGCTGCCTCAACATGCAGTGGCAGACAGGTGCGATACCCGCGTACGGCTTACCTGCTACTTCTGCAGCACCACACTACATACTAAGGTATTTCATGTGCAGCTGCTGAGGTGTTCGAAGAGGAGTTGAGCCCGGCTCATCGTACCTACTTTTATGCGGTGGGCAAACAAACGTACCGCATACGCCGCCTCATACATCGACCATCGAAGGTGCCTACCCGGGTAGGTATTCTCAGATCAGGGTCCCTTCCTCCCTAGGCAGGTACCTAGATAGGTATGCTTATTAGCGACGTAGCATCACTTTTCCATGAGGTGGGGTGGACGCTGGCGGGGACCTACCTTACCGTACCTAGGTACCTATGTGGACGGACTGAGGTGGGCTCCATGAACTTTTGAGCTGCCCTGGCCCGCCGCCCAGTGGATTTACCTCCATCACAGTTCCATTGCGGCATTGCCTGGAGTGTAGTGTTGTCGGAGTCGCTAAGGAGCCCGTCCAAACCCCACGTCTCTGTCAGTAAGGTACGTGACTTTGCAGTCGCCGACCGCGCATGTACCTTTCACGCGCCAGTCATCTCTCCTCCGACAAGAAGCCGTCATACCTTCCTCAAGGTTCTAGGTACATTGCGCCGCTCATCAGACTTGACCAGATTGCTAAAAGGCGGCTACTGACGGTAAGCATGCCGACCTTTCTCTGTATGCTTTGATTATCCTGCTAAGTAAGGTTTTCCAACCCTTTAAATGATCCCTCGTAAAGCCAGGGATGATGTCTGTAAGGTAGTACTCTGTATATCCTCATCTATCAGTATATCCGTACTCCAAGACTTCTGCTTCCCAGGCAGCATATGAACGCGCATCCTTCCGCAGACCGCAGCATGCTGCCCATGCTTGCAGCCAATAACGACCTATCGCTGCCAATGGATCGGACGGCTGTTTTATCTCATCCATTTGCAAGCCACAAAAGCCCTCTCATCACCTCATCAGCCTGTCCTAACTTGAACACGTCTCATCTCGTCTTTGCGCTTAGCCCAAAATCCAGAAAATTTTCATCTTGCCCTATAGTTTATGTTGTACCTTCTCAGTGTCCTCAAAGAGCCTGCTCGTACACCAACCCATTAGTCCTTTAGTGACGCATTCACATTCCATTCAGCAGTCTAAGGCGCTCAACCCGGAAGGCCTCGTCCCTCGGCCCTGTTTTGAAGCATCACATCCTCTCAATTGCCCATCTAGTGGTAAAGAATGCTGGTGGGCTGCGAGTAACATCACATAGGACACTGACACCTGGGATAAGCGGGTTCATTATCGCTCTAATCGTTCTCCCGTCACCCGCCGAGGACAGTCGGCTTCAAGTTGGCCCGCGCTGACTTCCCTCCCACTCTACTGCAGTCATTATGCACTTCAAATCTTCACTCTGACCCTGGCAGTATCTCTCATGCTGTCAGATTACTCGATCGCCATCGTCGCACACTTTGGCTGGTGGCCTTGACTGCAGCCATTCAAACCTTCGCTTCACCATCTGCCGCGTGGTTAGTTAGTTCAAAAAGCCCCAACAGCCTACCACATTGCTTCCACTGTTGGGTTACCCGTCGTCCGACTTACCAGGCCTTGAATATTCTGTTCATACATGGGCCCATGCGGCTCTCGTATCGCGTCCGACTGACTGCCCTCTGAATCCCTGCAAGGAATCACACTCATAACCCTTTACTTCTTTTCGGCGTCGACGCCGACGATGCGAAGAATACCCAGATCGCTATATGCAAGGCAGTATCGAGTAGGCGCCCAAGCCACCACTGGACAAGGTCCAGCTGTTTTTAGCGTGTACACTTGATCGCCGGACTCGACGTGTCGAATGTCCAACCCAGAGCCTGTGAATCATGAGTATGAGTGGCTGAGGTACGTTCTATTGGCATGAACCAACTCACCCTCGTCACTACCGCCGACCAGAAAGTTGCCATCGAACGTAAAACCTGACATATTTTAGCAACTCTGTGTGCAGACAAACGTGTGAAACGACTTACTGATAGATCGCACAGGGCCGACCATACTAGTAATGGTTCTCTGGCAAATCCAGTCTGCCGTGTCCCAAAGGGATATGATGGAGTCAGAACCACCACTGGCAAGATAGCGGCCAGTTGGCTGCATCTCAGTTGAGAGACAGGAAGACGTGTGCCCGTTCAGATGGAACTCTTTGGGCTCACCACCGTAATTGAACTCGAAAGCGGGGTGGAAGTCCGGATATGTCAATATGCGAGTTTTCCCCTCCCCAGTGGTGAGGAAGATCTTCTTGCCGCCCCAACAAAAGGCAACCTGGTTCGTCTGGCCTGGTTGCTGGTGAGATGCCAACGGTGTCGGCTGGGTTGGTGACAGAACGTAGATGTTGTCGTTCTATTCCGATGTCAGTCTTGGACGTCGGGCTTGACGTGAGGGAACTGCCAAACCTTGTTGCCAACGACTAGAGACTGGCCATCCGGTGCCCAAGCTAGGGTGAAGGCGTCACCTAAGCCCTTGATCTCGTTGACACAAGTCTTGGACCGAACATCCCAGAACTTGACAACACCGTCATTGCTGACACTGCATAGTTCAGCATCCTTGACAGGGTTGAAGGCGACCTTTTCAATAGGGGCCGTGTGGCCTTTCAAGTCCGTAGAGAAGCGTACGTTAGGCTTCTCCGGGTTCCCTGGCCATGTGAGATACATCATCAGCTCACATACTCAATCCAATAGTAGGAAAAACACAAGCATACAAACTCGTAAGGTCTTGTCTGATGACCCGGTCGCGACCAACGTGCCCAGTGGGCTCCATGCAATGGATCTCAGACTGAACGCAAAAGTTAACAAATACGTCCAGTTGATTCAACCTCAACAGTGAGGCAGTACCTATGCCCCCGAGAACTTGAGCTTGGATCGTGGTAAGCCTGGCTCTTCAAGTTCGCCAAGTAGGTAGGGAACCTCTCCTTGGAGAGGCTAGGTCGTGTTCGAGGGAGCGTCATGACAGTGACTCCGAATGAGCTACTATGTTGATCCAGCTGGTGTGAGTTGAATTGCGTGTGTGATGGATGAGCCAGGCTGCCAGAGGATGAGGCGCACGTTCAAATTGGGTGTTTTCCGACCTTAGCCCAGCAACTTCGTCCCAACCTGCAGGGCTGTATTCGTAGCTGCAGCGCATGAGGTAGACGAGCAGCATGGGCGGAGGCAGTGCAGGTCCAGTCCGGGCAGTCAGTCAGTGGGGCTCGCGTCACAGGGTACCTTACCTAGGTAGGTAAGGTGTGACTGGATCGCTTCCACCTAGTTTGCTGAGTGATTACATAACACAAAGCTACCTTCGTGTAGTAAGCCCAGGTAGGTCATGTACTTTACCTTACTACCTAGGTACTATGTAGTAGATACCTTTTGTGGGTAAGCTAGGAGTGGGAGGGAGCTCCAGGGTGGCCCAAACGCTACCTACCTGATGACCTCCAGCTCCCACCGACCTCCAAACCCATCATGACGCTTCACCATAATTACCCCCGACGTTGTTCTCCTTTTCCTCCAATAGCACGTTCCGGGGACTTTGATGTACCATTATCTCTTGGTAGAATATGAGGTTTCTTGATTGAACTCAGCAGCGGCCATGATCAGACCATTGCCTGTCTCGAGCTCGACAAAAGAAACCAGCGCCCCGGCCTTTCGAATCGCCGTCTTCGACAACAAACTGCCATTACGACGGTATAAGCGCACCGAATACGAATAATCGACCCAAGCGTCGGCCGAGATGTATTGGCCCATAGGAACCCCCAGGATTTTTGCAACGAGCAGCAGATCTGGTCCTGCCTTCAACCTAGTCGTCTCTCACGATGGCATACCCAGCCCTTTCGACAACCGATCCGCCGACGGATCCTCGCCGTCTTCGCACCCGGCCATTCAGTCACCGTCGCAACGTGATGATGTCGAGCTGGCGGCTCCCCTTACACCGATGACACCGGCCATTCAATCAGTCGACGACGACGACGCCCAAGATCCAGCCATTTATCGCCAGTCGCCGCGTCTCAACACGAACCTGCCCTTGAAAGATCCCATCCTCGCCCTTCGCATATCCCGCGGCGGTCAGCTCTTTGCCGTCATCACCTCTACATCCATGGCAATATGGCAAGCGAAGGTTGGTCCCCTCGAATTCGGCACTGTCCTTGTATCTGCCCATGCTCATGTTGCCTCAGCCTACAGTGATTCTCGCAGTAGTTGTCCGTTCCGAATCATCTCTTGAGACGTATGGAGAAAACGTTGATCTCTTGATCCGGCCCGACTCGGCGATTCTCGTCGTTCGAACGACTTTGGGTTACCTCATCACATACTCTTTGGCGACAGACTCCGAGGCTCAAGTCTACAAGCCTTATTTTCCAAGCTACGCGAACGTCCAACGTCGTCGTCAAACCCACCACGGGGGACCGGGTAGTGCAACGCCAGACCAATACCTCTGGGGTCCGGGCGAGGGCCAGGGGGTTCGCGACGTCAGCGTTCGCTTCAGGATGGTTATCAAAGTCGACGCAGGCATAGAAAGTGCACTGGCTTTGGATGACGAATTGGTCGTGGCAACGCGCAAACCGGCAGCTATCCAATGCATTCGTTGGACCCCGGACCAGAGCGGAAGCCAAACCAAAACAGAAATTATCAGTCGAATGGGCTGGCTGGAGAAGAAGATCACCGTTGTGGAAATGACGCACGATCGACCCATGAACCTATCGACGTGGATCACGAGCGACGGCAGGGTATATGCGGTGCAGCGTTTGCACCCGCGGGAAGCTTCCCAAGCCGACTCGCAGGATGTTGACCCCAAAAAACTGTTCAAGGGCCACTGTTTCCATACGCCACAGAAACCTGAGGAATTCGCCAAAAGAGCTGTCATCAATGCAAGGTTCTCACTCATTGCTGTAGGTTGTGCAGATGGCAGCATACGTGTTTATTCTGCTCGAGACTATGCCGGCAATATCCCGCCATCTCACGCACACATGAATCCCGTGTCAGCGACCGTGTCAGGCTCACTCGCCACCCTGAGCTACTCGCCCGACGGCTACTGCTTGTTCGCCGGATTCGAAAACGGCTGGGCCATCTGGAGCGTGTACGGAAAGCCTGGCAGTCACAGTTTCGGCGCTCATGAAGCCATCGTTGAGACGAACGGCGAGAACTGGATCTCTGGCGTTGGTGACGCGATTTGGCTCGGCAGTGGCTCGGAGCTTCTCATCACGAATCGTCGACACGAAGCGGTTTGGGTTTTAGAAATGGCCAGGAGTGCGGTCGTGGGTTGCTACAACGCGGCGAATCTGCAGCGAACGGTGCTCCAGACAAGCACGAATGTGATGATATACCGTGGGTATGATTTGCCGGATCTAGCAAGTATCTCCGCAGAGCCTCACCTGTGGCATACGACGAAAGTGCCGCAAGCATATCTACTCCAACAGTGGCCGATTCGCCATACTGTGATCTCGCCAGATGGGCGGTATGTGGCCGTGGCTGGGCGGCGAGGCCTGGCTCATTACAGCGTCAACAGTGGGCGTTGGAAGACGTTTGTCAATGAAGCTATGGAAAATGAGTTTCAAGTCAGGGGCAGCATGTGTTGGTACCAGCACATACTCGTAGCTGCAGTCGAGGCAAACAAATCGCACGAGCTGCGTCTCTACTCGAGAGAGTCGCCTCTCGACAGCTCACTTGTGCTTCACACTCAGCAGCTGCCCGCGCCAGTAGTCTTGGTGGCGTCGTCAGGTGAGGACTCTCTGCTCGTCTATACGTACGAAAATTTGCTCTATCACTTTATCTTTGCGCCTTCCGGCGGCTCTATAAGATTGGTTCAGCTTGGGCAGATTGCATTCCACGGCATCGTTCGGTCTCCCGCTAGAGTTCGTGGTCTAAGCTGGATATTGCCGGACAGTCAGCTGCTTGACGGAGATCCGTCCCAGGACGTTGCAGTTGCCTCGGTCTTGTTCCTGGTTGATGCCAAGCTGGTGTTGCTCCAGCCGTCATTGAACCACGAAGGTCATCTCAAGTACGACATGAAGGTTATCGCTCAAAACGTGGAATTCCACGTCAGCATGAGAGACCAACCGCATCTGGATGCGACAGCTGCGCATTCTGAAGAAGCTGCGGGTGCGAGCGGAGGCGTTTCATTGCGGAACTCCCTTTGGGTATTTGATGGCCACGAGTTCAAGCTTTGGCCCGACGTGCAGGAAGTGCTTCGGGCGGCAGCAAACGAGGTTTCGCGAGATCTTCCCAAAACAATATCGGTTCCGCTAGATTTCTATCCCCTTTCGACCCTACTTGGAAAAGGTATTGTGCTTGGTGTCGAGGCCGATCTAGTGCAACGACGAGACATAAGCTTCTCCTTCTTTCGCTTCACGATAAGGGTTCGTGACCTCATTCTTATTCCGGAGAACCCTACTAAACTTTTCATCACAGACGCACCTTTTCCTGCCTGACATCTTGCGCTTCCTGCTGACCGAGAACCGCGCTGTGGACGCCGTCAAGCTGTCGGAGCAGTATCAGAATCTAGAATACTTTGCGCATGCGCTAGAGATTCTACTTCATAAAGTCCTGGATGACGAAGTGGATTCGGGGCCAGCGCCGGAGGATGCAATTCTTCCCCGTGTTCTATCTCTGCTGTCATCATTCAAGCAGTATCTTGACATTGTGGTGCAATGTACGAGAAAGACGGAGGTCAGGCAGTGGAGGACACTCTTCGCCTACCTGCCGCCCGTGCAGGAACTCTTCGAAGAGTCTCTTCAGCGAGGATCCCTCAAAACCGCAGGTGGTTATCTGATCATCCTTCATACTCTGGACGAGCTCGGCTCCGCATCAGAGCAGACGGTCCGACTATTATCCAGGGCAATGAAAGAGGGCGATTACGAATTGTGTAAAGAGTTGGCGCGTTTCCTGGCTGCTATGGACGAAACCGGTGGCTCCCTCCGTGAGGCAATGGAGGGCGTAAATATAACAGTAAGAGGCGATCAAAACTCTTCTGGGATCATGACGAGGCTTGGGGTTCCTAGCCCGGGAAATCGAGCCATCAATGGCTTAGGACTCAAGTACGCAGAGCATAGCGATGAGATGGAGTCAGAGGGCCAATCTGTTAGCGATGCTGCTAGTTTCAGCTCCGACGGGCGCTGAGTCCTTCGGCATTCAATAAAAGACCAAAAAAAGAAGGAAAGAAAGAAAACGGGCCTTAGACTTGTTTTGATCATGCTCTGATGTGTGATGTCTTTCTTACTACCGTCCTCAATATGTTCGTACTCGAGTCGAGTGCTCATTAAGAATAGCTTCATCTCAGCCGGATTTAAAGTGCGTAAGTCTACTTGTGCATAGGTCTCGTGCATGAGATACCTACCTTAGTAAAGGAGTAGGTACCTAATGCACGCCGCCGGGCGGACGGGCAGGTCTCAACGGGTTTTATATTTATAGGGGGGTATAAATTATAACTAGGGGGGCCTAGAGAATATTTAGGCTATTATTATAAAGAGTTATTTAAGTTATATAGTACCTATATATAGTATATATATATTATAGAAGTTACTATATATTAATATTAAAATAATTTAGTAATATAATCTATATTTAATATCTTATAACTATATATAAGTAATAAAACTTATCTAGCTTTACTTTAAGTCTTACTTTAGCTAGGTATATATAGAGTATCTACTAAATACTATATTAATATTATCTTAATATTATTTTATTATTATTATAATATTATTCTAACTTTAATTAAACTTATATTTATAATAGCTTCTTTTTAAATTAATCTTATTACCTTTTTATTTTCTCTTATTTAATATAATCCTTTTTTTAATCTTAATTTTAAGCTCTCTAAATTAGAGAATAATAATTAATCTTTACTTTTTATTAAGAATATAAATAATTATAACTTTAACTTAATTACTATATTAATATATATAATAAATAGGTAGCTTAACTTTAATATTAAGTATTTTAATAATTTAAAATTAATATCTATAGAGTTTTAGCTTAACTTAATATATAATATAGACTTAATAAAGATAGTATATCTACTTACCTAATAGTAAGTATATACCCTATATATACTAACTATATATAGGATACTATTAAGAAATAGGAAATACTTATTATTAATAATAGGAAGTATAAAGTTACTATATTAATAATATAAAATTATATTATAATATTAATATATCTAAAAACCTATTAAAATAGAATTCTATATTATATTCTTTATAATATAAAAGATTTTAATCTTAAGAAAATAGAGACCTAATAGATTATTTTAAATATAATATAAATAATTTAATACTTAATATATTATATTAATAAGCTTTAAAAGAAGCTATATTTAATTTTAAAGTATATTAAAGTTATATTAAATATATATTAAGCTTATACTTACTATAAGCTTAATAAAGCTTTAAATTAAGTTTAATATTAATCTTATTAATATAGAGGGATTAAATACTATAAATTTACTTATCTCTTAATTATTACTCTTAATTTAAAATAAAATAAGAGTAACTTTAAAGAGGTATATATCTAGCTAAAGTTAATCTATAATATATAAGAGGTTTTAAAATTAATTATAGAGTAACTTATTTAATATATAGAAGAGTTTATATACTTTTATTATAGATACTTTATATATATTTACTCTATATTTAGTTTCTATATTATAATTATTTAGATTTAGAATTAAAATCTTATAGGCTTATATTTATAGCCTATTTAACTTCTACTCTATTAAGAGAAGTAAACTTATTTTAAGTAGTAAATCTCTATTTTTTAATAAAATAGTATATATATAAGATATTAAGTATATATATTAAATATATATTAACTTTACTACTTATAGATTACCTTTATTAGTTATATAAAGAATAACTATTTAGAATTATAATATTATACTATAAATATTCTATAAAGTTAAAACTAAGTTAATATTTAATATCTTTAAGGCTTATATAATTCTATTAATATATAGGAGGCTAAATAAGAATATATATATATTAGGAATATAAATATAATATATTAAACCTATAGTAAATAGATATTTAGTAGGTATTAAGTATATATAGAGTATATATTAATATTATATTAAGCTTCTCTTATTTTTAAAGCTAAAGTACTATTAATATATATCTATATAAAGTTAAACTTAACTTTTATATCCCTCTTAATATTATTAAGTTTCTATTTATCTTTCTCCTTAATAGAGGCTTATACTCTTATATATTAATATTTCTAATCTATCTTTTAATCTTATTTATAAGTTAAATTACTTTTAGCCTCTCTTAAGAGCTTAATATTATATTAATTATAATATATATATATTATTATTTAAGTTTACTCTATACTTAAGCTAAATATATATATAGGGAAGCTCTTACTCTACTTAAGACTTTAATAGATCTATATTAAATTTAGTATTAACTTATTCTAAGTAATTTATAAGATATTATTTATATAAATAAGGTATTATTTAATAAGGATAAAATTACTATTTTTATTTAATAAGTATAGCTTTTATAGTACCTAAAAGGATACTGATTTATAGGTATATACCTATAGGATAAATATAATATATATATTTATACTATATAGATATTTAGTAAGAGTTTACTTTAAATAAAACTAAAAATATATAAAATTAATAAATATAAGAGGTTTAAATTCTATTAAATAGTAACTTCTATATTATTTATATAGCTTAGAAAAGTATTAATATATTCTAAAAGGCTTATTACCTTAAGGTTAATTTATCCTATAAGATAGTTTATAAAAAGATAAATCTATTTAAGATCTATAGATAGGGAGAAGAGGTAAAGTATAAGTTTACTCTCTATAGTATATATATACTATATATATTAACTTTTAGTAAAAAGGTCTTGAATTTAATATCTATATTTAGATAAATATAAATATATATAAAGGGTATTAATTAATCTTTAAATATTTCTTTACTATACTTAAAGAGGTCTCTAGCTTATTAGTTTATTAATAGTATTTATATCTATTTTTATACTCTATAGTATATATAGTTATAATAGATATAGATTTCAAATAAGTAGTAGGTATATATATACTTAATATATAGCTAGTATATATTAACTTTAATTTCTATATAGGGTTTAGTAATTTCTTATATACTTAAGACCCTTTATAAATATAGAATAAATACTTATAGTACTTATTAATCTTCTATAAAGTCTATATTATATATAACTAATAAAAGAAGTTTTTAAACTACTTTATTAATATTTAATTATATTAAATATAAAAAGTAACCTTAAGGGAGGACTACTTTTAATATATTTCTACTATATACTAATAATATTTTAAAATAAAGTCTTAATTTAAATAAAAAAAAGTAAATTAGATTATTATTATATTTATCTAATTAGTTAATAAGATTCCTTTTTAATAATAGATATTAATATAGAAAACTATAAATTTAATAGAGTTAAGCTATATAAAGAATAACTCTACTATAAGCTAAAGGTAAATATTACTTTTAATAGTTTTAAAGTATATATTTAGCCTATATATATAGAGTATATATTAAATAAATACTAAAATAAAGTATATTATCTTTAGAGAAATTACTATATATATAGATATAATTACTTTAAGTTAAAGCCTATATTAATAGATAAATAGTTTAAGGCTTATTTAAATCTTAATAAATTTATACTAAATATATTAATAATAGGAATAATATATATAATAGTAATAAGTTAACTTTAATATCCCTTTTAACCCCTTTAACCTCTTAAACTCTCTAACTTTAAGCTTAAATATTAACTACTTAATCCTAATTAGAGATTCTCTAATATAAAGAGGAGGTTAAATATATATATAATATATATTTAGTATACCTCTATTATTATTTCTTTTTATATTATACTTAAGGAAGTATCTAATTTAGCAAATATAAGAGGGAGAAGATTAAAAAGAGAATAAAGAGGTTATTATTCTCTAAAAGTAAGTTTAAAACCTAAAGTACTAAAAGTAAAAGTATAACCTAAAAGTAGAGATTATAAAGCTTAAATAAAAGCTAAGTTAAGTTAAAGAGTAAGCTTAAAATAGATTTAATTTCTATTTATTATTAATATATATTAAGTATATATATAATAATAGATAGGTATATATAAATAATATATTAAATACCTATTATTTATTTATAGTAATATATTATTTAATAGATTATATTTTTAAGAGTATTATATCTATATATATAATATATATAAAGTATAAATAATAAATATATTATAATTAAATATTTTTTATTTTAATATATTACTCTATATTTACTATATATATATAGAGCTTAAGCTAATATTAAACTAAAAGTTTCTTACTTAATATTAAAAGATACTTTATATTATATTTATATTATATATATATAAAAGCTATATCTATCTAAAAGGTAGGCTACTTAAAGACTATATTTAAATTTAAGTTAGTATATATATATATAATATAGATATTAAACTTACTATAGAAAGTATTATACTTAGTATACTTATTACTAATACGCTTAGTAGCTAGAAGATAGTTAAGATTAGTTTTTATATAAGATATATATATATTAGATATACTTTTAGCTTAATAGTAAGTAGTAATAAAGCTACTAAGAAACTTAAAGCTTAATTTATACTTAAAGGTCTAAGTTCTCTTTATATAGAATTAGTATATATATTATATATAATAGATAAGGGTATACTTTATATTTATTAGAAGAAGGAGTAAATATAAGACTAATATCTTTCTATAAGTATATTAGTAATTTATATTTAGTATATACTATATATAGCTTAAGTTTTTATTCTATTTTAGTTATATTAATATTTAGTAGGTTTATTATATATAATTTAAATAAGGGGAGTATATACTTAATATATACTTACTCTATACTTTATACCTTCTTATTAAATAACTTAAAGATACTTACCTAAGTATTTAGTAAGAAGAGTAAAAAGTTTAAAAGAGGTATATACTATATATATACTCCCTATATATATTAGCTATTTTAAGTTATAGCTATATTTTAAGCTAAAAGTTAGCTAAATAGATAGTAAGTATATAATAAGTAAATAATATCCTTTAGTTTAATATATATTATATTTATATAATAGAACTAGCTTTTAAATTAAGTATAAAAAGTAGAGTTAATAGTATTAAATTTAAGTATTAGCTATATATATATAGGGCTAATATAAAGTATATTTATACTAGAGACTCTATTTTATTATATAACTTATTAATATAACTACTAAGAGGGCTATAGCTAATATTAAGTATTAGCTATATATATATAGAGTTTATATATAAATTAAACTTATTTAGGCTCCTCTATAAAGAGGTTATTATACTAGCTACTAAAGTAGATATACTTTTTAAGATTACTATAAGCTAAATTAATACTCTATATATATTAAGCTTAAATAATCTATAAACTTTATACTAATAGTTTCCTTAATATAGTTAGTATTATTATAATTAGGGTTAATAACTATATTAAATTAATATATATATAATATATACTTAGAGTATATAATATATTAATATTAAGATACTATTAATAGATATAATAGTAGAACTATATATAGTTAGAGCTTATATTAAGTATATATAGGTAGAATACTTATAGAGAGCTAATTATTATAGTAATAGCTATACTAAATACTAGAGTTAAAGTTAATAATAATAGGGTAACTAAATATATAAGTTAGGTATATATAGAGATAATACTATAAAGAAGTAAAACTTATATATTACTATTAACTACTAAAAGATAAATACTTATAATAGGGGCCTCTATATATATACTTAATATTTAATTAGTATTAAGAAGAGGGGACTTAAACTTATATATATTAATTATAATAGTAATTACTATATATTATACTATATAGTATATTAATAGAGTATATATTAAGTAGAGGTTAAAGACTTACTATTAAGATATTAATTCTAATTTATATTAAGAACTTTACTTATAATAAAGTTAGTTTTAATCTTAAATAGACTTATACTATATATATATATATTATAATAAAAGCTAAAATAGCTAGAATTAATAGCTAAATTAATACTTAGGTTAATATATTAATAAATAGATATTAAGATAGATATCTATATATATTTAATATATACTCTATATCTTTTAGTACTATTATATAGTAATTTACTTATTATTATATTATATTATAGTATCTATTTACTTTTAAGGAAAAAATTTTTTTTTTATAGATATTAAGTAGAAGTTTAATATATACTTAATACTAATTAGATAGTAAGCTAATAGAAACCTTAGTTAGAGTAGGTATTAAGTTAAGTAGCGCTTAGTTACTAATTTAACCTATATTATATATAGATATAAGTATATATCTAAATAAAAAAACTTTTTATATTAGACTATATAGGTGGGATAATTCTATATAATATAGGCCTAAAGATTCTCTACGCCCCCCTAGCTTCTTTTTGGACCCCCTGGCAAACAGAACTCCGGGTCTGGACCACCGCCCCCTCCCCTGACCGCCCGCACCAAAAAGAAAGCCCCGCCAACCACTTTCTGCCTTGCAGTTGGAGCGCAGAGAATCGGCGTCAACCACAATCCAACTGTAGACATTTCCTACTCGCCAGGCATCTCCACCCCCATCGTCCCCGCGATTCCACGAGCGTATCGTATTCGAGCGACGACTTGGCCATGCTCTGAGGGCTCGTCACGAACGAGTCGCACCTTCTTCACCATGATGGACGACTTCGTCAGCGAGTCGGATAGCGACTACACGAGCTATTGGCGCGACTGGGTGAGTAGCCGAACCTATTGGCATTTGTTATTCTATCAGGACGACCTTCGGAGGACTTTTCCACGCTTTTGATGCCGGAACACATCACGACCCGCCGACGCGCGTTAGTTGATGGTGGCCGGGCATCGCTGCTTTCCACGGCCGAGAACAGTGCTTGCTAACAACGGGGCGTTGCGCAGTTCATATCCTCTCGAGGCAACGAGTACTTCTGCGAAATTGACGAAGACTACCTCACGGACCGCTTCAACCTAACTGGACTAAACACGGAGGTTCAGTACTACCAATATGCGCTCGATCTCATTACAGATGTCTTCGACCTCGACTGCGACGACGAGATGAGGGAGACGATCGAGAAGTCAGCTCGACACCTGTATGGCCTGGTTCACGCCCGATTTATTGTTACGACGAGGGGCCTCGCCAAGATGGTAAGTTTTACAATTTTGCCTCAACGAGGATGGAGGAACTCCAGACGTTGAAACGTACGCGACTGACACGGGGAACTCTAGCTGGAGAAGTACAAGAAGGCAGACTTTGGTAAATGCCCGCGCGTCATGTGCCACTCGCACCCGCTACTGCCCATGGGTCTCTCCGACGTGCCCAACATGAAGCCAGTAAAACTCTACTGCGCTCGCTGCGAGGATATATACAACCCAAAGTCTTCACGGCATGCCGCCATTGACGGCGCATACTTCGGTACCTCATTCCACAACATCATCTTCCAGGCTTACCCGGCCCTCATTCCCACCAAAAGCGCCGAACGGTACGTGCCGCGGGTGTACGGCTTCAAGGTTCATGCCTCAGCGGCGTTGATCCGGTGGCAACACCAAAAGAAGGACGAGATGCGTCGTCGTTTGAGGAAGATGGAGGTTGACAGCGGCTTTCGAGACGATGAACTTCTGGAAGATGAAGACGACGAAGACGTCGAATTCGAGGGCATTGATAATCGGGTGGCCGTTGGCAACGAAGGCGTCGCCATGGCCTAAGTCATCCGGTCACATCACACGGTTTGGCTTCTTCCCCATTGTCGTCGATGCAGACTTGAGGATTCAGGCGGGGAATTAAGGGGCACGCGATGTTGAGCAAGCAATCAATTTGGTTCTACCCGGGCCTGTTTCAATGCTCTTACTTCTATTGCATTGGTAGATTCGGTCCGCGGAGTAATGATATAACGGTTTTTATGATCCAACCCTGTTGGCCTCATGTGACGTATATATTCCGTCGGGTGGAACGAGGTTCACACGCGGCATCGGGTATGACCCGGACTGTTCGACTGATTCGCGTGACCAGAACTATTTGCGTGGGCTGTCCTGGAACGATATGAAGCGTCGGAGTTGCGTATGAGCAGACCGCTCGAATCACATCAAGCGTATACCGTCAAATTCATCTGAGAGATCCTTAGCTGGCAACAACTTGGTGGCAAGCGCTCGTTGAAACTTTCCGGCGAGCACGGATGCCTGACAGGCATGAAGTGAACCGAGAAGGACGGCGAAGGAGGATTGGCTTCTTGTGCGAGCCCAGAGCATTTACAGCTACCAGAGCGCATCTTGGACGGGGGGGGGGGGGGGGGTAAAAAACCGCCATTGGAATAAAAAAATGTAAAAAATTTTTTGCAACCCCCCCCCCCCCCCGCCCGCCCCCCCCCCCCCCCCCCCCCCCGCCCCGCCCCCCCCCCCCCCCCCCCCACACAGCCGACATTGGCAGTAAAAAGAGGAAAATCTGGTTTGCGAAACCATTCAGGGGCAAGGTCGCCGCCGGGTTGCTAAATGATACGGGATCAGGGACGTTAAAAGCAGACGATCGAGTTCTTCACAAATACTCCCCTATGCTTTTCATTTGCTAGTCTATTCCATAACCGATCGTATCTGTATGCCGTGCCTGGCTCCCAAAAATCAAAACATAAATGCGTCAGACCGCCAAGTTCATTCAGGCGGGTGGTATACCGTAGAACTCCGATCATGCCCAACCTGCCCCGTGAAATATGCATTGGGTACTACTTTTCCGCACTCCATTCATTAATACACACATGTCAGAACCTGTTTTCCGGGCCTGAGCCGTCGTGGGAACCCGTCTTGCCCACATATTGAGTAGAGGTCGCATGGTCCACCGGGCGGGACATGTACGCCTCCTCCTCGTCGCCAGAGCGTATGAAGTCTCCCTTGTCGGTCGCATAGCTGTATGAGCCCACTCCGGACCACCACGCCTTGTCATGGCTGCGAGGACCCCAAGCCCAGCCGGCGCCTTGACGAATCGGTAGGTGGTAGTAACGGAAAGCAAAGATAGAGGTGAAGACGCCGATCAAGTAACCAAACAGGATGTCGAATCCGTGATGGCGGAAGTCGAACCAACGAGAGCCTGCAATGAAAATAGACCCGAACCAAGGTAGGACAACGATAACCAGAAGATAGATGGGGGGCGCAGCGGCTTGACGTCGAACCGCAGTGACCATCTTGTTGTGGTCTGCGAGAATCCTGGCAGCGCCGGCGGAGTCGGGGTTAAGAGAACCCCCTTCTCCTGATCGAACTTGCTCATATTCGGAGCTAGACTTTTGCAGGCGGGAGGGGAAAGCCGAATGAGAGGACGCATCGCTGTTAGTGGCCACAAATGGCATAGTAACGGCAAACTTGCTGGCGAGAAAGAGGGATAAATAAATGAGGCCTGCCGCAGAAGCGCTAGAGTGACCGGAGGGGTAGCTGCGGAAGCCGTCATCGAGGGTGTGCTTGTCGGTGTTGGTGCAGATTGCAGCTGAGACGAGCTGGCCAAAGCCAGTGGTGCCGGTCAGACCGGTGATGTTGGCTACAGTGCCACCGATGATGTAATTCTGGATGTTGTCGAGATCGGGGCGGCAGCGGGAGAGAAGATCGGGTCGAGGCTTTCCGAACATGTTCTTCATGCCGTTGGTGATGAAGAATGCGCCGACGCTGGCGAGAGCGAGACCAAGCCAACCGACGTGCAACTCCCACAGCTTTCGCTTCCAAATCAGACTTTTAGGAGTACCCTTGGGAACGGTGTTTCCGGGGACGAGGACGAGGCAGACGAGGGCGATGACGATGATGGGGACGAGAACGGCGCAGATGGCGGCGAGCCACATGGGAACGGTTTCGTGCTCGGTGAACGGAAAGCTGGATTACGTGAGTACGGTTGAGTAGAAAACTGGAGAGGGTTCGATGATGTCTTACGAGATGTTTGGGTCGATGACGGAGAAGGGTCGCTTGTTTGGGGTAACGATTCCCAAAACACCAGCGATGGCTGCCGTGACGAGCAAGACAAACCAGTCGAAGACATAGGATCCGATCAAGGAGGCGGTCCAATGACCTCGACGTGGACGCACTGAGCGCCGCTCATATGGCGCTGGTGATTCGGGCATTTTGTAGTAGGAGGGCCTCGACGAGGGCGATAGGTTGGCGAGGGGGATGGACGAGGACATGAGGCGAAGGGGAGGAAGAGAAAGATTTAAGAAGAAGAAGGCTCGCAGAAGAAAGAGGTCATCCGGAGGGGGGGGGTCCAAGCTACTTCAGGTGAACCAGACTGGTAAGGCAAGGTACCTGGGTAGTGGTTACCTTACGGGCTGGGCGCGGGCGGGCTGGCTGGTAGGTAAGGTAGGTACGAATAGGTAGGTAACGAGGTATCCGCAAGGGAAAGCAGAAAGAGAGTTCAAGTGTGTTAGGTATTCGTATGGGGAAGGGATCCGCACGAGCGCAGACGACGCCGTCGATGGAGGTACAGTCCAAGTCCAGTTTGAGGTTGGCTGGAACCGGGGGTGGTGGTGGGCTGAAGAAGGTCGTTGTTTGAATTGGGCAAAGTGGCCTGGTCTCGAATTCTTTCCCAGGCCGAGTCACGGAAGGGAAAGGACGAGTCAAGTTCTCCCCGGCGCCGGCGGAAGGAGCCTGTGAGGTGAGATGCGGGCCGCGTTGGGTAAGCTCAGGGTCAAATCAGGAAGGCCTAGGTAAATATCCGTGAAGAAGGGGGAGGAGGAGGAGGCCTGAGAAGAAATGGAGTAAAATACGTAGCGCCGAGAAAGGGCAGAAACGTTGAATGGGCGACAATTGTTTGGCGAGTGGAGTGGGTGAGACGGCAAACGGAATCCGGTCAAAAGTCCGGTCACAGGATCAGATCGGTTCAATGATCAGATCAATTCAGTAAGGTATTTGTAGTATGATACCTAGAGGAAGGAACGGACGGGAGGCGAAAAAGAAAGATAGAGAGAGACAGTAGAGAAAGAGGAGAGAGAGGTCGGCAATCCTAAGCAACTAGAGGCACGCAGCGTGACGAATCCAGCAAGCAGTCGCGTGGCAGTGCTGTTGACCAAGGCGATTCAAATTCAGCCCTTCAGCTGGTATAACTAAGGTATTTCATGGTTGATTCTCAGCTGTGAGAGAACCTACCTACCTTGAGGTAGGTAGGTACCTACTAATTGTTACACGGACACACAGCAGTAGTCGAACAACAGGGCTCATCCATCCGTACCTCGACTTGACGCTCCGTCCAACATGATGCATCTTTATCTTTAGAAATGTTGCGAGGTGCCATCTTGATCAACACGCATTGCGCAGCAAGTCAAACGGGCAGTCTTGGAAGTGCGCTGTATTCCTCTTCCAAAGTCGTCTGGAAGTGTACGTCGATGCGTGCCTACCTACCTGGGTAAGGTGTATTCAATCACTCTTAGCAGCGAGGGGTCCGGTCCTTGTAGTAGGCCGTTTCGGCTGATGTGATGGTCGAGGTTGAAGTTGTCGGACTTCGGACGCTGCACCTTCCGGTCCCCTTCTTTTGTTTGTCTCCCTCCTCCCGTCTCCTCCTCTCCAAATTCGCAAACCCATCAGCAAGACGAGGCAAACAGACAGCTACCGAGAACGGAAGTAAAAAAGGGCCTTGAAATCAAATGTTTGGGGAGGCGCCCGCCCCGTCTGGTGCGACTGCGGCCAGCAGGACGGGAATTTCTCACCTCTGGTCCAGGTCCCTGAATGAGAAACGATTTCTAGGGGCTCAGGGGTATCTTACCTAATACACAGGTACGTACTGCGAAAAGTACTTAAGGTAGGTACCTCCCTCCCTACCTTAGCGAACCATGTCGATTCCGAATGGCTGATTAGTCGCCGCAACCCCGTAAAAAGTCGTGGTATGGGTGGGCACCTTAGCGCTCTGCATGGAGCTTTCTCGTTGGTCGATCCAGTCACCTCACAGTGTGGCTTGGGCCTTGGCTGTGGAGAAGGAAGGCAGAGATGAACACCCGACTTGCCGACCTCACACTGGAGGGTGAACACAGCCCAGATGCTGACACTTTCTGACTTTGCCAAGCTGCTCGTCAGCTTCACTTTGACATCGACCTGCAACACAAATTCCCAATCCATTCTCTATGCTCCTGTGTGAACCAAGGCCTGTTTAATTGCGCAATTACACCACATAGCAGATTCTGCAACATACGGATACCGTCGCCGTCGTCTTTGCTCAACCAGGTGCCTTAGTCAACCCTACGATTCTTGCTCACCAGCCTTTCTGGACCACAGCCGGGTCTGATTCCGCTTCGACTTCCCTACAAATACAGATACCTTGCCTTGCGGCTTGCCCTGGCTTCTCGACCTCTTGCCCCCTGACCCGTGGTGCCGTGTGTTGGTCGGTAACCCGGCACTGAATAGCCTTGCCAATGTCGCAAACGCGTGGCCTGGATCAATCGCGAGTCGCCCAGTACGCGCCAGCACCAGCATTCACGCATCTCCACGGCCCGAGGTAGCCCGACCAGACTCTTATCCATATCTAGGTGTCTGTGGGTAAGGTACGGACACAGAGTCCAGAGTATTGACGGCGAGCAGGCCCTCGTCTGATGACGGACCGTTGAGATCGTGGCGCCTGTCATCACAACGACGGGACCTACGTACATGCCCGCTTCGACCTCTCTCAGACCCTTCCACTCGGGTTCCAAAATAACTGGCCGCGCCGTTCTGGTGGTGAGTGCCAACAAAACTGGTCATTCACTTTGGAACCCGATTGCCTTCCTGTGCTGCCATTCCTGCCAAGTTCTAACTTCAGGTGAAAACACCCGAGCTCTTGGCACTGACGTCTATTCGTACAAAACTGCTAACGAGGCGGATACGGATACGCTGTTCATCTCGATTTCGCTGTGGTAGAGGTAGTCGGCTACTTCACCTACGTAGTACTCAGCATTCGTACGCTGGTAGGCAGTGCACAACCAGAGACATGCAGCAACGAGACTGACACCATCGAGTCTAGTAGGTGCGCGTTGCGCGCGCACCTCCCGGCACTCTCGGCCACCGTCGCCATGGAGGGCGCGCAATTGTCCCGTTTCGCACCTTGCTCCACTTGATCGCCATGACAGGGCCATCTGTACTGAAAGCCACCGCATCTTGTCCTTCGTCCCGAAAATCCACGTTGCGCCGTCGCGAGCTGCGATGCGCGCGATGAGCGCAGAGGGTGTGAAAGGCTGTGGCGCCGCAATCACCCCGAATCTCCCAGCCTCTTCCTTCTCTTCCTCTTGCTCTTCATCAACCTTGAACTTGCGTGTACGGATGGATGGGATGGATTATGTTGTACGTACTGCGTCCTCTCATTCCATCGGCTTGACCTTTCTTCGTCCAGCAAACGCCAGCAACACCGTCCGTAGTCTTTCCCATTCCCAGCATGATGGGTGTTGCAGATGACGATAGCTAACACCCGTCCCCCGAAAAGGGTGGCCCCTGGAGCCGGGAATCGGCAGCTCCCAACTTCCCGATGCTTTACTGTTATAATTACTGTGTTGGGGGAATTCTCCGATCCGCGCCGACTTACCTTCAACATTGTGTAGCCTAATAAATGCCAATAACGCCCGGTGGCAAAGCTCAACACAATTGACTCAGGTTCATTCAGTAGGCGACTTCAGCCTCGTAACCAGCGCCTTCCCGATTCAACGTCGTCTACTGCTGTCGGATAACCCCGTAGCTCCCGCTCTCAAGCTGCTGAACCTGCCGGTCGTTGCGGCCCCACTCCCGGCGAGTGCCCCGGCACCCCGGGTAGCCTTGGGCTCACGGAGCCCGTCATCTTGTTGTGAAATCTTCTCCCCCTTCCACGACGAATCCCGGGTGGTCGTCTTTTTCGAAGTGCCCTATTTTAGACGAAATAAAATGCGCTTTGAGAACACCACACAGCCTCGAGGCCTTGATGTCAGGGCCTCTGGCTTTTGTGCCGTGGAGCCGAATTGGTCGCTGAATGGCTTCCGCTTCGACATTGCGAAGAAGCCACCGGAAGCCAGGACAAAACACAAAGTTTTTATTGTTTCGTTGATCTTTACCCGGGATCTCAGTCTCGTGTTATTGCCCTTCTTACGGCGTTGTACATCGAAGCTGGCTTTTATTCACCGATGCCGATGCCGCTGGTATCCTCCGACTCCGCATCATTTCCCACGGTTGTGATGTTTGACCTCAGTTTGAATCACGACTGCGGTCACTACTTGATTCCCGTCAATTCAGATCTTTTTCTTCGAGATGGACGCATCCTCCCAATTATCTAGCTGCCATCGTGCTATAAACAAGAACATGGTAGCTTCGTTTCAAGATAACTTGGACCTCTACCCACGGCCCTGGTGGTGAGCATCAGCTAGGTTATCGTCTCTATCTTCGCAACGACACTCATTTTTACCGAAGCGCACACCGCCGCCGTCAGCCCCCAGGCCATCCTTATTTGCTCCTTAGCTCCAAGTTCTGGCGACGGCGTCGGTGGCCTTTGCAGCAGTGCAAGCCTTCCATAACTCTGGAGGCGCCTCATCCGTAATACGATGTGATGGTGGTGTACTAAGCTTCATTCTAAGCTTGATCTAGCACCTCACTGACTCTCAAACGTGAACCCCTTTGGGCCGCCATGACCGAAAATGATACATTCCGGTCCGCCTCCGATAGTCCTCTGGCTCACCAGTTGTCGATCCGCATCTCCACGATCCATATAAACTGGCTCCCGCCGCCGCATTTCTTGGCTCAGATTGATGGGCATCCCAGATCGCGGCTTTTACTCACTAATTACCACCTACAAAACTCTTGTTCTTCGGACTGTATTAGCTGGATATGTCTTCCAAGCTCGAGCTCCTCGTGCTAGCCCTGGCTCTGCCCCTCGGGGCCTTGGCTTCGCCCTCCTTCATCCTCCGCAGAGCCCCCTCGCCTGACAACACTTGCGGAACTACCGGTAACGGGGGGAACCCTAATGCATACTCATGCCCTACCGATCTGCCGTGCTGCTCCGTCAATGGATGGTGTGGAAGCACCGACGACTACTGTCTGACGTCCAACGGATGTCAGAGCCAGTTCGGCAATTGTACTCAAAACGGTGGTCCTGCCACTGGAAGTGACGGTGGTGACGGCGATTCCGGCAATACTCAGTGCGGGCCAAACAACGGAAACGCGTCTTGCGCTGCGAATGAGTGTTGCTCTGCTTCCGGGTTAGTGAGCTTCCGTATAACCTCTATCAGCGAAGCATGTCTAGTTAACCTCTCAACAGGTTCTGTGGGACCGGTCCTGGTAAGATTATGCTCTCGTCGCACAACAGGCCCTCTAACCTGAGATACCAGATTACTGCAGAGCTCCGGATTGTTTGTTCCAATTCGGACCCGCTTGTGATGCTAACCAGAAGCCGTCGGGACAGAACACGTCGAGCATTGCTCGGCCGCAGCTTGGCGATGTTGCTTACGGCGGCCCAGGTGTTTATAGCTGTATCAACCCAGGAGATGTGGCCTTGACGTTTGACGATGGCCCCGACAAGTACACGAATGACCTGCTGGACCTCCTGAAGAAGTACAATGCTTCGGCTACCTTTATGGTTACGGGTAACAATAACGCCAAGGGTGAGATCGATAACCCGACTCTGCCGTGGGTAAACATCATCAAGTGAGCAGCCCCAAACTTCATCGCCTCTGGCTGCAAGCTAATATCGCATGCAAGGCGCATGTTTACCGAGGGACATCAGATTGCCAGTCACACCTGGTCTCATGCAGATCTGGTATGTTCCTCACGCAGTGTGTCCCGGATACACACAATCTCCCGCCCTCATAATGATCACTATGAGATGACAATACTGACATACAATGCCCTACTAGTGCCAGATCACCTCAGCTCAGCGCAGAGATGAGATGTACAAGCTTGAAATGGTTTGTTTACTTTTCCTTCCAAAAGTGAAAAGTGTTGTTTCACGACCTGCAATCTAATTCAACGATTCACAGGCTCTACGCAACATTATCGGCGTCTTCCCTACTTACATGAGGTAAATCTTTCGACCTAGGATGAAATGCCTTTTCGCAATGTCAGGCTAAGACTCGCCTCTTTAGACCCCCCTTTTCCTCCTGTACCGCCGAGTGTGGCTGCGAGGATGACATGGCCGCGTTGGGGTACTCTGTCATCTACTTCGACCTCGACACCCAGGACTACCTTCACGACGACCCTGCCTTGATCCAACAGTCTAAAGACATCGTCGACCAGTCAATCGCTGAAAAGCCGGCGCCCACCGACAACTTCCTGGTCATCGGCCATGACATTCACCAGCAGACGGTATACAATCTCACCGAGTACATGCTGCAGAAATTCCAGGGCAAGAAGATGGTTACCTTGGGGGATTGTCTCGGAGATCCCAGAAAGAACTGGTACCGCGCTGATACTCGCACCACGTTGGGTGCTTGAGTGGTAGATGCTGTTGAATCTGGATGGAGCTGTGTTTGTGTTTTCATTTGCATTTGCGTGGATATGTACATGTATGAGAGAACTACGATGATGTATATAAATAATGAGGACGGTTCGCCTATGATGCACAACAGAAATCCTTGCTTGAACTCGCATTGCTTGCCTACAGTGTCACACTTTGGTCGCTCATTCGTGGCATCCCGTCGTGCGTCTGTCCCAACGTCTGTCCCAACGTCTGTGCCCGCAATCGCTCCTGCTCCTCGTGCTTACAAGACCCTACGTGTTCTGCATATATCGGGTTCAAAAGCGAGTGAATAGGACGAGACCCTGCATACATGACGAGGGAGACCGGGATGCTAGGGCCATGCGTGACGTGCCGTTGCCCGGCTCCGGCTCCGGGAGGGTCCAGAACCAAAACAATCGCGGCATACTACAAGCGTGAGCAACAAAACATTGTAGACGCGTAGAGACTGACGTCCTATACCGGTACCGGTACCGGTCGCATAGGGACAACAAAGCTCATACCTAGAAGCAAAAGAGTCTCATCCAAGCCCTTGAGCGATCCAACGCTTGAACAACAAAAACGCAATGCATTGTATTTACCCTTCCCTGAACCAAGCATTCTCCGAACAGATGTATGTACAATTTTTTGCGCGATGGCCGTCGCCCACCACCCCCAACTTCCGTATGTTACTCCCCATCCCGGAGCCCCAGTACTCCCAGGTCCATCTCCCAGAGCGCCCCCGAAGAGAGATACCCCGAGACGGGAGGACGCTGTGCCGACGGTGCCTGAATGCGACACTAAAGGAATCTCTGCCTTGCCAGCCCAGTGGGAAGACAGAGTCAACGAACTCCAGCCAAACCGTCCGCTTTCGTGATATCCTCGACCGCTGACTCCATGCGCCATTCGTGAGACAAGAATACGAAGCCCCCATGCACTGGAAAAATGTATAACCGACAACAAATAGCAGCAAAAAAACAGCTGCTAGTATCTGACAATGGAGCCTCAACATTGCGACCCAGACAAAACAAGTAATAAAGACCAACCCATCCTCCCACAAACCCGCGTGGGGTTTTGTTTCCGAGGTGTTGGCCCTGAAGAAGCGCGACGAGATGATGCGGATTGTCGCACAATTGTGGTGCGGTTCGTCGATCTATGCATTCGTAAGAGTGGCCGTAAACGCTGATGCTCATCCAACCGCCCTGATCCAGGGTATCCTGTAATACCAGAGCCTGCTCCAAGACACGAAACTGGCGTGTCACTAGTAGTTGTCGTCTTCAGGGTAGTCCTCATCTCTGGCGGAAATCTGGTCCAAGGAGAGATGAGGATCGACTATGCCAAAGTGAGGAGCGCTCTTCTTAGCCCATTGACGCGTGAGGATCGAAGCTGCGACCTGTCAGTTTGGAAAGAAAAGTGAGAGAGTCAAGCCTGCTCACCCTTGAGAAATTTTTTGCTGGCGTATTTCTTGAAGAAGGCTTCGTGGACAACTGGGCGAGCCAGGTAATCAACCATGAGGCGGACAACGGGTTCAATTTCCTCCTCGTTGTAGCCGGCATAGAACGCAATGGTGTCATCCTATCCAATGTCAGTCAGAGACCAGTCAGGACATAAGGAGTACACCGACGTACCCAATCACCGCGGTCGAGAATGAGGCGGGCTAGGTACATAGCACCGGCCGCAACGTGACTGGGGCGGTAAGCCATGAATCGATGATCCAGAAGGCTGATCTCCATAAGATACTTCCCAATGGTACGGCACTGGATGTCGTAGTTATCAGCCTTGCTGATGCGACGAAGGAAGTTCATGGGGTTGGGGTAGCTGAGATCGTAGTTCAGGGTACCAAGAACAAAGCGCTCAGCACTTAGAATCTCAGCCTCGCTGAAACCATCGTCGGCAACATGGCGAAAGTTGGCGACGTGAGGCGACAAGACCTCCTCGTACTTGGAGGCAATGAACATGGCTGTGATGCCGACAAGCTGCAGACGGTCGAGCTGAACGACCTTCTCGGAAAGGAATCGATCAATGATGTTGATAGCCAGGAAGAGAGTCTCGGGGAGGAGGTGGAAACGAGTGTGAACCTCAATCAACCAGTCGACAAGAATTCCACGCGTCTTCCACTCCAAATCGTCTTGATGCTCCATGTAGTTGGGGTTGGGAATGGAGCTACACTCCAGGTCACGAAGGTATTCGAAGATTTCGTTGGCATACTCGGCTACCATCAAGGGATCGTCCAAATCTTCCTCGTCGAGGTTCTTGACACCTGGAGGGTACCCGGGCTCGGCGGGCGTCGTGTCGACAGAATCCTTAACAGGAACATCGGCAGGCTCAGGCTTCTTCTCGACAGGCTCCTTTCTGGCTTTCGGTTTCTCTTTCTCGGACTGAGTGGAGTGGATTCTCTTGCGCCGGGGCTCGCCATCGTCAGTCTCAACATCACCGGAAGGAACCGGTGCATTCTTGTCTCTCGTGCGCTTGACGACACCGGAACCCGGGGCGCGCTTGGGCTCGTTCTTCTTGTTGGGCTCCTTGGGCTGCAGCGCAGATCTGGTCGACGTGGTTCGGGACTGGTTTTTGGTGACACCGGTAGGTTGGGCAGCCTTCGAAACGAGGCCGACCTTGCCGGCAGCCTTCTTTCCCTCGACGCCGTCGGCCTTGTTGACGTTGCTCACATCGCCGAGAGCATTGCGCTTGCGTGCACCTGCTACCGCGTTGGTGGTGACGGTGGTCTTCTTGGTGACCTTTCCTGCAACGGCCAGCTCATCAACGCTCAACGCGGCTGCCTTGGCACGCGTCATACGCATTGAGCCGCTGTTCTCGTCGTTCTCGTTTGATACGAGGCGTGTTGTACGCGTCGGACGGGGTTGCTACAGGGGATGGTAAGCGAGATGGCAAGACGAATGGGGCCGATCCCAGTGGTAGCCACGAATGTAAATAGGAGATGGGGGGAAGAAACGGACGACGCGGGCAGAACTTACGGGCATCTTGTCAACTGATATCTGAAGATGAGGTATTTGCAATGTAGGAATCTGAAGAGTATGTGGTCAGCATCAGACGCGTCGAAAAGAAACCAACCGCAGCTGAGGTAAGCAGCGGGAAGCGAGGCAGGCCAATGCAAGGGTGAGCGCCACGAAGGGTGAAGTTGAGCTGTTGCTCAGGTAGAAGGCGGAGTTTTGTGGTTGGAGAGAGAGAGAGAGAGAGAGAGAGGAGGAGAGAGAGACAGAGAGAGGGGAATGAAGGTCGAGACATGCGCACCTTGGGAATGATGATGACGGGCGACTCGAACGCGGGCAAGATGTTTGCTCTGGTTCGACGCCAAACACGGCTATTATGGGAAAGAATTAGACGCGTTCGCGAGGCCAATTGCCAGAGGAGCAATGATGGAAGATGTCGTCGGCAGGTGTCGGTAGGGTATCTCGAGGGTAGGAGAGGAATTAAGGATCCGGACTTGGGGGAAAAGAGGTTGTTTATGTGGGAAGAGGTGGAAAGACGATGTGATGTGTGTGTTTTTGCAGAGGCAGTGGGAACAGAGGACGTGATGTGGTATGTAGTGGGTATTGAGAACGGGGGTGGGGTACGTACCTTTTTGGATCGCGGCTCGCGGTGGCCCTGGTCTGGTCTGGTTCTGCTGCCCTGTCTGCAAGTGCCCTGGTGTCTGTTTCTGGTCACCACAGTAGCCGGCGTAAGGTAGCTAGGCGGTTGGCGGAGGCGCGAAGACGGACAGGGAGTGGCTTCTTGACTCTCGGTTAAGTCGCGTGTCTTTGTCGTGACAGATGACGGAGGTAGTATCCGTAGTCGCGACGGCGTTCGGAGACGTCTTTTGCGAGTAAGTTTATGTTTTCTCGTGCACACACAGAGAGGAAAAGAATCCCGTCTTTTTTGTGCGAGTGGAAGAGGCGGGAAAGAAATAGCAGCTTGGATAGAAGCTGGAAGCTACCTACCTTGGGTAGTGAATCAGGCAGTTGACCGGATGAAGCTGTGAACTGGCGACTGGTTGGTGGTGACGCAGCGCGTGGATATCTGAGAGTGATGGAGGCTGGGACTTGTAGGTACAAATCGACGACCAAGGCGTTCTGTTGCAAAGGATGAGATGAGATGTTGGACTTGACGCGTGAATTGCTTCAACGGTGGCACTATGTATGTGTATGTGTGGATTTGGTGAGAGTGAGGATGAAAGATTGAGATGGAGAAAGGCCCTTGGATGGAGTTGGACAACACAAGGCCAATAAGGTCAAGGTACAATAGAGAGATTGACTGGAGGGTGGTGATTTCTCGCTTGCTTAGGGTCAAGTCAAGTCAAGTCCAAGTCAACATGAAAGTCCTCAAAGGTAATGTCGTGTCAGTGTCGTTGGTTGAAGATACCATCGATAGAGATGGTCGTGGCTTATGAGGAATTGGCAAAGACCGCGATCGAGGTGCCAAGCGAGCAGGTACGCGATTGCAGTGTTGCGCCTCGGGCTGCACGCGAAAAGCCTTGGGCCAGATGGGTGGGTTGCAGCAGAAAAGATGGACAGGAAATGGGGCCTTACCCCAGTCACAATAGCAATCAACACTAGCAACCGCGGGGCAACCACTTCACTATTGGCTGCCTTCTCAACTACACGCTAGTCACGCCTTCCACGCTCGTGGTCGTGTCGAGGTTAGCAAACTTATGGACCTCCAGCTTACCTAAGGCGACAGCACTCAGAGGCTCAACTTTCAAGGCCCCACTGGGCTAGCGGGATCCGACCTGGACCTGATCGGGAACACTGAGGTGAAGGTCGGTACACAAGATGCCTACCTTACATAATATTCTGCACCAGCCACCCGTGGACGGCAATCTACCTAGCCCGGTAAGGTACCTTAGGTTAGGTCGGGTAGGTACCTAGGTACCTATGGAACCTAAGCCCCATCCCCGCCGCTTCGACTGTGGCTACAGCTGCTCGCCCGGCGCCGGCAGAATAATTATTTCCAAATCTCGAAATCTGCACTACACCCGACCTCAGCCAACCAATCTTCGCCGACCCGGAATCAAAGCCATCCCCGCCCACGATACGCCACAGGGACGATTCTCGAGGACCGCGAGGGGATTCGGCCTCTTCTTGGGTGTCATAGAGCTCGGTTGACGACTTTCCAGTTCGTTGCATACCCACCACCCTACTACAAGCCATGTCGCACTGATTGGCCTCTCCTGAATACCAACAACGATTTCGAGCATCAGAGAGAGATATAGAGAGATAAAGAGATAGAGAGGGGGAAGGAGAGATCACGTATCGAAACCGCACACAATCGCCAAAATGCTGGCTTCGAAAATGCTGCTGCCAGCTCAAAGGAGCTGCGCAGGCCTGGTAGGCTCTCCAGCCATCCGCCTTCTTCTCACCAGACAGTATGCCACCGCGAGAAAATCCGCCGAGAAGCCTTCCTCCAAGACGTCTGTGTTGCTAGCCAGTCCATTTGCCGGCTCTCAGTCTTCCGAAAAGTCTCAAAAGGACACCGCCATCATGCGCACCTACAAGCCACGGACACCGGGCGTGCGACACTTGAAGCGCCCCATCAACGACCACCTGTGGAAGGGTCGCGCCTTTATGCCTCTGACCTTCCCCAAAAAGGGCCATGGCAAGGGCGGCCGCAACTCATCCGGAAAGATCACCGTCAGACACCGTGGAGGTGGTGCCAAGAGGAGGATACGCATCGTCGACTTTCATCGACGGCTGCCCGGTCCACATCTTGTCGACCGCATAGAACACGATCCCGGCCGCAGCGCTCACATTGCCCTGCTCACGAATGAGTCATCGGGTCGCAAGAGCTACATTGTGGCCGCCGAGGGCATGCGCGCTGGCGACATTGTTCACAGCTACCGTTCAGGTATACCCGCAGATCTCCTCGCCGCCATGGGCGGTGTGATTGATCCTGGTATTCTGGCTGCCAAGACTGCGTACAGAGGCAACTGCTTGCCCATGCACATGATTCCTATCGGAACCGTTGTCTTCAATGTTGGCTCGACGGCCAGGGGCGGCGCCGTCTTCTGCCGGAGCGCTGGCACTTATGCCATTGTCGTGTCCAAGGAGGAAGAGACCAGGGACGACGGAACTAAGGTCATGACGGGCAAGTATGTTAACGTCCGTCTTCAGAGCGGCGAGATCCGCAGAGTCAGCAAGGACGCCTGCGCCACTATTGGAGTTGCCAGCAACCCTCATCATCAGTACAGGCAGTTGGGCAAGGCTGGACGAAGCCGCTGGCTGAACATTCGTCCGACAGTTCGTGGTGTTGCCATGAACTCTGGTATGTCATATCTTCCCATCTCTTACAAAGGCTATTCATCTACGTTTCTAACCGTTATTGCGTCCAAGTTGATCATCCCCACGGTGGTGGTCGTGGAAAGTCCAAGGGTAACCGTCACCCGACCAGTCCTTGGGGCACTCCGGTAAGCAATTCCACGGCAGACGTCTTAATTATCCAAAACTTTGCTAACCACGCTGCATATAGGCCAAGGGAGGTTACAAGACCCGTCGTAAACACAACTTCAACAAGTGGGTTGTCGAGGCCAGAGTACGAAATATGGGCAAGAGGAGAGACAAGAGCCAGGCATAAACAACCATCACACCTCCATGCGTAGGCTGAGAAACGCCAACCATCGAGCTTGCGAAGACAACGCTTGATGCTCTCGTTGTAAATGTAAGCTATAGTATTTGTATCATAGAGCTGTACGCGCCGAGCTGCCGATCCCTAGCGCTCGTCAAGATACTGCCACTACGTCGTACCATTATCATGTTCCCACAGCCATACCATCCGCCTACTCCAGGCCGTTTGATGCGGCCAAGGACCAACGTGCCCCTACTAGGCCTTGGCTTCAGGTCTGTTTTCGGGGGGTTCGGCTGCCTCGGTCCGTTACTCCTCTCGGCCGGTTCCATCTCCGTCGTCTCCGCTCGCGTTTTCTGCATCGCGCTTGCGCTGTTTCCACGCAGCTAGTCCACCGCTGTAGGAGTCTTTGTACGCCTTTTTGGCGGCTGCGAGCTCCTGTTTGGCCCTTCTCTGCGCCTCCTGGAATTCTCGTTTCTCATTCTTTGCGTCTTGTACTACCTTGGTGCGCCCTTCCGTCATGGCAACTAGGCGATCCCAAGTCGGAGGCGGCGACAACATGTTTCCACCGACCAAGAACCAGAATTGCCTTGGAACCGGGTCATGCCCGAGAGTGGCATTCTTGGACATTTTTCTTTCTCTTCTGGGTGCCCGTGGGGGGTCGGGGGTTGAGATGTCAAGCAGTCGAGGCAGTTTCGAGTCGATCCTAAGCCGACGGGGTGGTTTCTGAGTCAGGTGGTCTCATGCGCTGGCTGCGATTAGCGCTATCTCCGTGGCTGTTTAATTATCTTCACTTGCATGGCGAACAAGCTCGATTGCCGGGTAATCTGGTCTTTGCGGGAGAACATTTGAATATGTAGTAAGTAATGCACCACCCAAACAACCATCTAGACCTCAGTCACTACATAGCTATCGGTGATTCAGGTCTTGTCGCCATTTGATCTGACGTTTGACGTTGGAGCGTAGGATTGTCGAACTGGGTGAATTACAAACAAATGTCCGTCGTCAGACGATAAACGCCAGATGCGACATATCGTCACCAATAAAACCAGTCACCAAGCCACAGGGGTCTAGTCTTGTGGGCAACGTTTCAAATGTTAGGAATTGGAGAAAAGAGAAAGAAAGTAGAAATCCTCGCATAGCTTTTGAAGCCGTGTTCTGTTTCGGTCGCACTATGGCACATTACAACAGCGGCGATGACCATGTCATTGGCATACAGGTCCGCATGCATGCCGGGCGCCATCTATAGGCCTGCTTTCCGGGGGACCTTGTAAAAGAAAGAAAAAGAAAGAAAAGGGAAAACCCCCGATAGACCCTTCCGTTGGGATGTGCTTTCCTCATCCCACAAGTAGTGAACCATAAACTCCTAATGCGCCTTTTGTACTGTGTGTGGCCAAGCATTCCGTCCAGCCATCGTCTAGCTCATCCACATCCCCATTCCCATTCCCATAAGTTCAGAGACTCGTAAAGATGATGCGGTGTCGTTTGCCGGTTCTCCTCCATTCGTGGTACGGCGTTGGCGTCGCGGGCGCCTACAGGGAGCCCATGCGCTCCTCAACGCTTCCCCAGTACACGACTGGGCGAGGCTCAAGGATGCTGAGTTCACTGCCAAAACTTTTACGCTCCTCTTCGAGATCGACCATCGATGGCTGCCGAAAAACGATGCTATTGATGGTGCTGACTGGGGACGATGAGGTGGTGGCGTATGAACCCCTGTCGCTACTTGCACGGGACGAGGCGGAGGAGGAGCGACGAAATGAGGTGCGCAACTGACTGGGGGAGAAGCGAGCGGTGATAGATTGGAAGCGGGAAGAGTGCATTTTGGGCAGACCGTTGGTGATGTTCTATTCGTAATGACTGCGCTTGTGGATGCGGATCGCTGCTCGTGCAGATTTCGTGGGAGGGAGTGCAAGAATGTACGGTGGTTTCGTTCGGCGATAAAGGGCCTGGACGTTTGCTTGTGGTGCGGTTTGAAGGAGAGGCGCAGCCTGGGTTGGAAAATGGTTGTCGAACGAGTGACGAGAAGGTAATGTGGTCAAAGGTAGGACAGCTGGTTCAACCACGAAAGACGCATGGAATGAAGAGAAGTCAACCACCAGGGAGAGTCGAGACCAAGTATGAAACCGGGTTGGGGTAGGTGAGCAGAGAGAGAGGATCCGGTGATGGTAACAGATGCGGAGGCGGATGAGGATGTATTATATCGAGTGTGGTTGGAGGGAGAGTGAGAATGGAATAGTGGCAGTTGCACGGCAATGATGAGCAAATAATAGCCCCCTGGGATGGAATCAATCGCAGACGAAGCAAAGTGAGGTAGGAATGAAAGAAACAGGGGTAGGGAGGTGGGAGGAGCTTAGTACGGATACGCATGTACTTTAGGTAGTGTATCGTAAGGCACCGCGTGGAGAAGCGGGTTCCGTCAGGGGGATGACGCAGGCAGGATCAATGCGAGAGGGAGAGGGCCTCTGGACTCTGCCTCTTTTGGTAGGTAACCACAATGCGGCTTACGGGGATCTTTTCGGGGAGATGGTCTGACAGGGACACCGATACCATGAAGCAGATGGCGACGCAGGAAGGGTATTGTTCAGACGACGCAGAGAAGTATGACGGTGCAGATACGAAATACAAAGCCAGCAGACTCTGGAAGCCGTAGAATAAGAGTACTGCAGTGCCTACGTTCTTATACGAGACGAGAGACTACCCCAACAACAGATGCTTTTCTTCACAGCTCGTGCTCCTTACCTACAGAGGGTACCCGGCCTACCTGTCGTGTACAAATGAAGATGTGAAAGCTGGCGGTGAAGTTCGGGTTGGCCGCCGTGGCCGTAGTGGATCAACGCAGTGATATGTTTATATCCGGACATTACCTTGAACTGTACACTGATAAATCGAGGCAACATGGCCATCCAAGACCACCTCACCGATTGAGTATTCGTAGAGTCAGACTGAATACCTACGTCGGGACCCAAGAGCAAGAGCGGGAGCAAGAGCAAGAGCAAGAGGCATCCAGGATCCAGGAGTCGGTGCAGCGCAGTCTGAGGTCTGTAGCAGCCTCAAGCTCCCACTGGCTGCATTGTATGATCGACGTTGGGGTTGCGCTCGCGCCAGGACAGGGGCTTTAAAACACGCTCTGCCGTCCAGGGACGGGTGGTCAGCTACGGTCTACTCTGTACACGACCCACCCATCAGGTATGTACATATCCGTAACGTCAAGTACGATAAATACCGCGACCTTACCTAAATAGGAACCTTACGGATAGATAGGTACGGATAGGTACTTGTATTCAAGGTACGGTACCGGGTGCCAAGATCCATGGATCGTCTTGGTCTTGGCTGACCACTGCCAAAACTCAGTTAACGCACAGTGAGTTCCCGCTAACAGCGCAATCGCGAGGACCTTATCTCAATTCGCCCCTGTAAGGTAAGCTGAGTCCTTCCGATAGCAGGATAGACTTCTCACTGACAGGAAATCAGGGGCCAACACTAAGTCTCAATACCCAACTCCCGCTTCTAGATCCCAGGTCTCGACACTATCCGCAGACCCTGGCACGACAAGGTAAGCGATCCAGACAAAGAACGCACGGCTGTTTCAAGGGCATCCGCCAGCGAAATTGCCGATGTCATGCTCGAAGGCTGACGGCGGCGACGGCGACGGCGACGGCGACGGTGACGGATGGCAACGACGACGACGACGACGACGACGACGACTGTGCCACACCGCGCCTGGCCCTTAGCTAGCGCTGCTAAAGGCACTTGCGACCCTACCTTACCTATACACGAAAGTCACCACAGTCCCAGTAGCAGACTGGACCCGGCGCATGAACAACCACTGCGGACCCCGCGTCGCATTTTAACGCACTGCCGCGAAGCCGACGATGCGTTCGTGCCGTTTGTTGGCGTCTTGCTGACGTGATGTGGGAATCGAAGACTTCTGGAACCTCTTCGCCGCTCGTCGTTCCCCGGGACCGGGGACCGGCCGGGAGCTGTCCGTTGCCAAAAATACCAAATGCATCAACTTTTGTTTTCTATGGGAGACAGTGATGTATTATCTACACAATTTGGCCATAAAGGCTCAAATGAAGTGGATATTGCCGAGGACCGAAAAGAAAAGGTATTGCCGAGTCAACTGAGAATAGAGCGGCCACGGCAACTTGCCATCATCACCATTTCCGTGGTAGCGTATCCGTCTTGCCCCTTTCAGTACCTTGGAAACACGCTCGCTCGCTCGCTTGCACCCTCCCTGGCCTTATCTTCACTTCAGGGCTGCGTAGTCACAAACATCGTTACATACATCAAACCACGAACTGGAGTCCCCGGGCTGTTCCCTCTCGTGATCAACCCCCGCTGTCGCACCTTATGGCTAATGGACCATCCGCCGTTAAAACAAGGTGTACTGTAGGTGTGTGACCTGCTCCTGAGGGGTCCTCTCGTCGGTCCGGTCGACAGACAGGACAGAATACCGTCAAGAAGCAGGGGCTCGAGGTCAGACAGAGACGGCCGCCCCTCCATTTTCTCCTTGCCCTCGCCCAAACCTCCTTGCCCAGGGCCTTCTCTGAGTCTGAAGCCTCGCCTTAGTCTCCTCTTCCCGGCCACATGTATGTAGAATGGGATCGGTAGGTGTAGCCTCAACCCATCATACTTCTCCCGGCCAAAAGACCCTGGTCGGAGAATACAAGGAGGGGCACCTTGAAACAAATGTGAGCATGAAACGAGGAAAAGCCGAGCAACGACGAGACACGACAAGATACGACCAGGCCAGACTAGACCAGACGAGACGCAACATCACAATTCGGAGAGTCGCTTACCATTGGTTTGGACTTCTCCTATTCCCCGACTCCCTCGGAAAATCGTGAACCCCGAGGGCTCTCGAGAGACTGTATTCTCATCTCATCTCATCTCATCTCATCTCTCCGGACTTATCGTCTTCTCCCGTCACTTTCCTGGACGAAGACGTATTATAGGTCGGCGCCAGGAAAAGTAGGCAGCCTCAAACGTACGGATGGCCTGGTTACTAGGGAGTTCTTCTTTTCAGAAGATTCTAGTCCAGGTCATTACGGGACGCAGCACATGCGATCTCCTCATCCTCATTCTCCATCAACCACACCCGCCGGGAATTGCCGGCGTTGGCTGGCTGTCGGCGGTTACCCGGAATCCGTCCGGGTAAAGGCCAGGCGAGTTTCTAAATTCGGGATTTTTCTCGATGTGAGCACTAGATCGATCATTTGTCGAAAGTACTGCTTGCAGGAAAAGAAGGCAAAAAAACCTCAGTCAGATTCTTTGCCCGAGCGAACGAAGCGAGATAATCCCACTATACCATTCAATGGTAGTTCTCAGATACTTAGGTTTTGCGCAAAATCTTTTCAACCAAGACACCTGCCAAGAAAATGTCGATAATCAAGACGATCGACAAAGCGCATTATGACCTCGGTGTCATCGAGGCATCTCGCGACAGAATACAAGAATGCCAGCATGGGGATCTCCTCCCACCCCGGCTTCTCTTGCCTCGTCCCCGTCTTGAGCCCTGAGCTTTGACGATACCGGATTACCGACAACAGTGTAGAGTTTCATGTTTTGTTCAGCTTACTCAACCTGTCCTCCCTCGTAGTCATCGGATGAACGAGAAACGACCTGCACAACCTGCGCCTGATCATGATGCCGAAGCAGCAGCTTGTCGGAGGGGCCGCGCGCAGACCTAGACTATTCCAAAACGCAAAAGCAGGGCCCAATCAATAACAGATACGAAAGCTGTCACGGCCCGGCTACTTGATAAGCCCCATGTGCCATTAATCTGACGTTTGTCGGTGTCAGCCCGTAGGGTACAAGTTGCCTGTAGTTATTAATCCTAGTCTACACTGCAGCCTCCCGATTATGTACCGCCCGACATTCGCAACCATGACCTTGACTTCTGGCTGCCGGCTGCCCGTCTATAGCGCAATCATTAGGTTCGTGTCTGCAATGGATCTCCATGATCGTTGTAAAGGATAGATTCTACACCCCCACCCCTTAACGCCGTCGCTCACGAACAAAATCAAGACAACCCAAAAAAAAAAGTTCTCCTCTAACTGCGTCTATCGATTCCAATCGGATTTGCGAACCGACTTTCGTACTGTTGCACTCCGCCGAATACTCTCCAGCCAGATGGAGTCATCCAGCATATTGCTGACTTGGGCAGGGCTGACGGGGCTTTGTACAGGGCTGACGGCACTTCCGCGTCTACTGCTATGGGCCGACGAATGTCCGCCCTCTTGCAGCTCGAAACTGAATGCTGAGTGCGCCGAGTTATCTCCAGGTGTTGACAACCCGGATCTCGGGAAGCTCAGCGGGTGCTGGTAGTCCGAATCGGTAGATGCCACGTCTTGCCCGGGTGTCCAGCTCTTGTGCGAAGATTTGTTGGGATCCTCCACCGTCAACAGAGCGGATCTAGTTTGTCCTGTTCCGGCCACTGGCTTGGATTTATGACGGTGTTCGTCGTCGTCGACAAGGATGTGGGGAATGTCGAGCTGTGGAATGGCCGTCATTCTCGCCGATTTTCTCATGTCAATGTGCTTCTTGAACTTGCGCGTCCAGTACCTGGCGGTCATGGCGTTAGTAACAATTGAAACATCCATGATGCTGGATGGGTAGGTGAGCTTACAGCGTATCAAAGAATCCCAACACGATTCTTCGGCGCACTTCCTCCTCGACACGTTGGAGCCGGGCTCGTCGCCGCAAGAACTCTTCGAGCCTACGTTTCATGTTAATTAAGCTCGCCGCTGCACTTCATCACAGGACACTTACTTCAAGCTCTTGCTGTCATTGATGATGTTGTAGTGAGCCAAAATCATGAGAACCGAAGTAAAGGAGATGCCCTTATCGGGATCCGCAGAGACCATGACTTCCTCGAAGAAAATATTGAAACGACGCCGCCTTTCGCGGACCTTGTTGATGTCGATCTGGGCCAGCCGTCGGTTGAGCCGTTGGATGTCAATTCCCGCACTAAAGTTGCTCGCCGACGCAATGGACATGTGTCTCGCCCCTGAAGCCTCGATGTCATTGCGAACGTCCTCGAGGATCTGCCTGACGGAGTCTTCGGCATCGTAAATGCGCATTTCGAAGACACCAGACAGTTCGCCCAAAAGCCGGGGAAATGCGTCCTTGCTGATAAACCCGGTACCTGCTGGGTCGACACTTCGCCATGCCTCTTTAAAACGCCGAATTTCGTCGCGGTCGACAGCGGCGAGGCCGCTGGATCGTTGGTACACATAACTGAAACTCTCGTAGATGAGAGACACGAACAAGTTGACAAAGATGTACATGCTTAAGATGTTCCAGGCCACGAACAGGAACCTAGCCCAGGGTTTGCTACCGCAGTCGCTGTTGAAGAAGTCCGGGTTGTCAACGCAGAGAGGCGGTTCTATGGTGGCATAGTCCTCCATCACTTGGTTCCAGCCTTCACCGAAACTCATTCGAAAGATGAGAATGAGAGCGTTCGGCACGCTGCGGAAGTTGATATTGCTCTCTTCGTTCTCGCCAAAGCGAGTCAGACTGAACGCTTGCGTGAGAGCAATCGCAAAAACCAGAAAAAAGACAAGCCATGTGGCAAGTAGATTGCCGATGGTTGTCAGACTGGCAGCCGCCGTTTTGAAGAGTTGATCCAAAGCGTCATTGCGGGGGATGAGGAGCAACAGTATAGCAACAAGAAAGAACTTGTGCAACTGCACGTACGTGTCGCTATTCCGGCTGATGATGAGCACCGACGTCGAGACAAATGCGCCGGTGACCACCGCGAGCGAGTATAAGTCCCACGAGCTCCTCCTGAAGCGGGCCCAGCCAAGACCAACAATACGGATGGCGATGTTGGCCATGTACACAAGGGTGAAAGCCAGAAACAAGCCGTCTCTGGCGTCCGTCCACCACGCTGGTTCGCCGTGATATTCGAGAAGAAGAAGTAACAGATGGCATACCAAAACGTAGGTGACAGCTGTGTACCACTTGCCCCTCTTCTCTATTGCACGCTTATGACACCATTTTTTCCATGTCTTCTCAGACTCATCGTATGAGCTTTTTGACGGAGAGATTTGTCTCAGCAACTTTCGCAACTCGAGCCATGAGCGCTGTTCGGCCGTCAAGAACGCAACACCGGTCTGTTCAGTGTAGTTACGCATAAAGACCGAGATGAACAGCGTGAGAACAAAGACGGTGGCAAGCAAGTTGAAGACGACGAAGAACATGGCATTGCCTTGTCTGTTGAGCTCCTGCGGCTGGAAGCCGAGCCCAGTAACAGCTTGGGAGGCGAACGAAACGTCCGTCCAGCCTTCCTGGCTCACGATCTGGAAGAGAACGAACAACGAGGATGCGAAATCGTCAAAGCTGAAGTAGCTATTCGATGGAACGCGTGGAGCAAGCATCGGCCAGTCGTCGTTGAACGGAGTGTGGTTGAACTCGCCGAAACAGTCCGAGATTCGAATGATTGAATCATCGCCATCATTGCAAGACACCATTTGGCCGTTGAACAGGTTTAGTCCATAGATAGCGAAGGGAATTAACAGCGAGATGGACACGAACGCAGCCTGTACAATTTGTGAGCGACAAGAAAACGTGGACGTAATGTTGAGGAATAGTTACTTACACTAAGAATCTTCCATCCGCCTACAATAATGAGTGAATGAAATGTATCCCTGGCGCTGTCGCTCACGTTGAGCAGACGAAGAGCACGCAGAGCCTTGAAGGCTCCGATGGCTCTAGAGACAGCACCGTCATTGGCAAGCAAGGTACCGACGTTGATAAGCAACGTAATAAGCACAATGCCGTCAATGAAGCCCCAGGAGCTGCGGTAGTACGCATTCGGGGTAAAGAAGAAGCCATCCGCGACGACCTTAATGACGGCTTCAATCGAGAACACAACCGCAAACGCCGTGTCTGTCCACACATACCAAAAGGTGATGCTGAACTCAGGATGCTCTGCTTGATACTGCTTCTGATAAAGTGGCGTTGTAACGCATGCAATGACGACCATGGCAACAATGCACGCGTAAATAAAGGCGGAAGACGCATACCACGCGATCTTGTTGGGCTCGACGCCGTCAAAACGCTCAGTTCCGCGACCAGGGCCAACGATCCTCTGACAGAAGCGACGAATAGGGTTCTTGGGTGTGAAAATGAAGAGAGAGTTATTGTAGTTTGGGTGCCGGGCCAGATACTCGCGTTGAGCCTTCCTCCGCGCAGAGGTAGCAGACACAGCTTGTCGCGCCATCTGTCGAGGGTCGAGGGTATCATTGGGGCCGTCAAAACGGATATTGGAGTAGAAGGGGTTCGGATCCTTGCTGCTGAACGTGGACCTGACCCTACCCCACATCGAAGACAGGAAACCGGGCTTCACTTCGCCGCCAACGGCCATTGTCTGAGCCCGCGTAGGTGATTGCTGCTCATCGCCTTGGTGTTCATGTTGGCCCTCCACAGAATCGTCCAAAAACTCGTGAACGACTGCATCCTTAAGGAGCATTTCCATCATTGCCGGACCATAGTCAAGAGGGTCTTTCTTGCGCCTTTGCTTGCCGAAATGGAAGATGTTGGACAGGGTAAGGTTATTGGATGATTTGCCGAGTTCTTTCCTCTGCAAGAATGCCTTCACCTGCTCAAGGCGCTTCTCGTCCTCAGATACGTCAAAGTTCTCTTGAATGACAGCAATGAACATGTTGACGAGAATCAGGAACGACAAGATGAACCAGCCGATGAGGAACATAGCACCAATCCAACCCGTGTTGTGTTCGTTCAGATACGAGGTGACATTATACAGCATCGATGTCCAGTTCTCACTTGAGAGAATCTGATACATACCTAAAAACGAGTTATAGATGGTGAAGAAAGAAACCTCGTTGAGATCACCGGAATCGCTGTGTTTTGGAATCTCGCCTCTGAAGAGCTGGGCCGCAAGAATCGACATAAGGAACGTGATGAGAAAGACGAACAGCATCAGGTTGGCAATACCATTCGAGTTTCCCAGAACCATAACGATAAGCTTCCGGGTCATGGGAACAGCCAAGACGAGACGGTATACTCTCAGGATTTGGAAGACGGTCAGCCAGGCATAAGGCTCCCCCGAGTTGCGTATCGGCGGTATCAGGATGATGCTCGTGATGACGGCGAGACCCAGGTCAACGAGGTTGCGACGACTCTTATGAAAAGTACGCCAACCAGCGGCTATGCGTACAGCTATTTCAAAGTCCAGGAGAATCGTGACTACGACTTCAACCGCATCAATGAATTTGCCGCGGCTGTCGGACATCCTTGAGCTCCGGAAACATTGCGCCAGAAGACCGAAGGCAATGACAGCGATCCACAGGAAGGTGGTTTTGTCGTAAATCTGCTGCAAAGCAGACAAGTTCCTTGGCGGCTCGTCTACTGGTTCCTGCACGACCGGCTCCTCTTCCGTAGTGAAAGCACTCGCCCTGCTCTCCTCACGAATGACCTGGAAAGAAGATGTGATGACCGCAATGAGCAAGTTTACGAGCCACAACATCAGAATCATGATACCGGCGCCGAAAAAGAGAGCTGCGGGTAGATAGTCGGAGTTGGTGGTGTAGTACATGATGTCGGTGAAGGTGTTTGAGCTGATGATGACGAACACCATCTCAACGGACTGGAAGATGTTATCGAAGCTGACGGTGCCGTTGAAGGGATTTTCTTGCTGGAGACAGATGGACCCCCGAGGACATAAAAATCCCTTGCCAGCTTTGCTTCCATTTTTGAAGTCTTTCAAAATGCTGGCATCATCCAATAGGACCCAGGGCATCGTTTCTCCCGTGTCATTGTTGAGGAAACCGCCGCAAAACTGCATGTCGTTGGTGAACGACTTCGTCTTGTTGGTGGGATCTGTAGGGTCGAGCCAGACACACTGGCGGCTCAAACTTGCTTTGAAACTCTGTACGCCAATGATGGCGAACAGGATCCAGAAGAAGGCTATGAGGAAAGCGACGCGCACGAGGAGCGGCGCGGCCTTTTTCAGGCTTCGTAGAATAATCTGGACATATGTAAGCAACGTGCCGAAACCGAGTGAAACTTGCAGACTTACAGCTGTGCCGTTCGTAAGGGCGAGCAATCTCAGGATTCTCAGGCAGCTGATCATGCGGAAGACGAAGAGATGTTTTTGGCTCTCGATCCCCGTGATACTGAGTGCGAAGGATATCCAGAAAGCCACGACGGCCAAAAAATCCAGTCGGTTGAAGGAATGGCGCAAAAACGCCCTGCGGGCAAGTTGGAACCTTTGTTGCTCTTCGACTGTCTGAGGTAGCGTTTGACCTTGCATGATAGTAAAGGATCTCTGGAACGCAGACGGGCCGAGATTGATCTGTCGATTGGCCTTAACAGACTTCTGACGTTGCGGTTGAAAGATGTTTCTATACTGGTCGACGACCGCAGCTCGAACTCCGCGCTGACGATCGATGGTGCTGTACTCCGAGGCATTCAGGATGAACCCGGAAACCAATATGCGCGCCACTAGCTCCAGGGTGAAGATGATGAACAATACCAGCATGGCCCAGTCGACCCAGGTAATGCCCCATCTTTCAGGACGAGGATGAGTGAAGACATCAGGGGCTGATTCTATGGCTAGTAGGACAGCTTGCATGATGATGAGAATGAGAATGAAAGGCTCGGTGAAGGGGTGCACCAGAAGGTCGCAGAGCTTAGTTCGTATCGGATGATCAGGAGGAAAGATGCCCAGTGACTTTCCCTTGAGAGGATTCTTCATGGGAATCCGCGGCGGCATCGGTGGTGGCTCCGCAAAAGCAGGTGCCGCCTCGGGTACCTTTTCGGGTACCTGGGAGAAGTGTGAGTGATATGATGTGTCGGTAAACATTTGGGCGGAGTTGTGTAGTTGCTGACGGCGGTCTGGCGCGGGTGAAGGAGAACGGCTCCGCGAATGACGGTGGTCGACAAGCTCGCCCTCACCGCTGATGTTGACGACACGTTGTGACATGGCTCGCATAATAGAGCCAGCTCTGTACAGGGCGCCGGTCGTAGATGGGGAGCGAGAGCGTCTTTGGTCTCCTCCCGGACTCAATGTGTTCCCGTAACTGCGACGTCCGGCGCCCGCGGCGCCGGGCTCCAAGTCATAACCAAGTGATCTCGCATCTCTGGTCCTTGACGGTGTGTTGTCAATATCCGAGACAGTCTGGAAACTATCCCTTCGCTGAGCATCTCCAACATTGGCGCTTAGGGATCCAGAAATGGGCTGGGCCCTCGAAGTGAGTGGCACCCTGTCCTCGTAAAAGTCATTGTTCGTGCCCTCGTCATAGTACGGAGACGGGCGGTCAAGTGAGTCGAGAGAGGGTGAGTTTAAACGTGGGATTTGGGGCGGCGGCGGCGGCGGCGGGGGTTGTTCGATATCAGGTGGAAGTGCAAACTGTAGCGCCGAGGCATCGATTGGCGATTCGGGACTTCCAGAGCTGGTGGGAGCAGCAACGTAAGGCTGTTCCCAGTAAGTAGACAGACCCAGCCGGTTGGGAGACATTGGCGGCGCTGAGGTTTGCCCTTGACGTCCGCGCTCGTAGCCGGTCTGGGAATCTGCCTGCAGATGCTCCCTACCGGACCCCGAAGTCTCGTCCGGCCTTGAATTCATCTCGAAAGATTGGTCTCGGTTTTGCATTGTAAGCGTGAAGCAACTCCTACGGGAGCTGTTCAGGTTTCGACGATGGGTGATCGGTCGGTCGGTCGGGTTGACGACTTTGGAGAAGTCGTTCCACGAGGGGCGTCGATGTGGTTGTATGTATCTATGTCAATCGAGGAACAGCCAGAGACATGTTCAGGATGATTGTTGGTGTTCGTTGGCGCGCATGTCGAGGTGCAGTGTCGGATCGAGCGCGGAACGAAGAACGGTTTCGGGGCGAATGGTTGAGATGTTCGCAGGGTCGAGACAGCTACGGCTGTCGCCGTCTCGGAGGAAGCTTTGGACGGGTGCGTGTTCAACCCGAGGTGGTTACAATCGAGCGAACGGGAGCCGAAGCGATTTTGTGTAATGCCTCTGGATGATGGTGTTGTTTGGCCGAGGATTATGCAAGGTTCAGTGTCTATAGTGCTGACCACGGCAAGGCAATGTGTCCGCGATTCCGTCAAACTCAGTACGGGGCCGTAATTGGAGGGCTGGTGGGATCAGAGCGATGTTGACAGCTGAACTTTTGGTTGTATTCATGAGGTTGGAAGTCAGAGGCTGAGTATCCATGGCGAGCAAAGCCAGTGTTCAAGGACCCAGACACTGTAAGGAGACCTAGGCGCGTGAAACCGCCCCAGCTGTTTCTATTTTCAGCGCCCAAGGCGGATAGGCGGCATGCAGAGTTCCCACCGGGCCAGGGATGAGTAAAGTATTCTCACAGTGCAGAGGAGAAGAGTGTTTCACTGTACATACCCACCGGGTCTCGAGACTGCCTGGGTAAAGTATCCCCCCTGTCTTGGCTCCGACGCCGTGCCGGGTGCCTTTTCGGGAGGGCTCCCAGTCTCCACCCCTGCCAGGGCCGGCTGGGCTGAGACGATGAGACAGCAACCGGCGGAAGAACGGCACGCCCAAAAACTTCTACATGTTTGTTACCTTGAAAAGTAACCCACAACGGAACGAGTCGGGGCCACACATGTATGGAGAACAATGAAGACATACGGAATCAATTCAATTCAATACCTTACTAACTCTGGAGATGACTATGCTCGCTAGGAAACCAAGCCGGATGCCTAAATCCGACCAAGTAGAGGCGCTACGTAACTGATACGTAGCTCCCTCACATTCAGTGCACTGTGGGGCTTTTCCCTCTCTTTTTCCTTAGTCATTGTTCAAAAATTAGAAGTTTAAGGAAAATTGCATATGTAGAAGACCATATTATTCTAATTGGTAAGATGTCTGAGGTAGTAACTTACTAAGAGTATACCTTAGGAAGAAGAGCGTTAAGTCTTGGGGGAAACTCATTTCCCTCTGCCTTTTGACCATCCCCAGCGTTAGATTATGTAATCTTTGCTTTGGCCGGACCCATATTGGATGCTACATGCGGTACCACGACACGCCCGAACGCGTCCAGTCTGCGCTGCGACTTGCAGGCAAGGTAATCTTACACGCCTGCGCGCTTTGGCAGCTAATTCATTCAAGTGAGGTAACGACACACAGCCTTGCAGACTTGCAGACTTGCAGACTTGCCCTGGCGTCCTCCATCACCGATATCCTATGACGACCCATCTCGAAATTCCACGGCATTATCGACCCTCTCGGACCTTTGTATCCAAGCAGTATTCCCAACTTTTTTGGCTGCCTTTGACCGCTTGCCGCTTTCTCCCTTCCGTCGTCCCTACCGTACTAGGTTAGTCGCCAGAGCTGCCTTTTGCGCCGTCATCATTGTCATCGCTAACGTTCCTTCCAGACTCTCCCGATCGCAGCTCCAACCATCACCGACGACCCGTCTCCATGACGCGACTGCCTGAATATACATCTTGAGGCGGCATTATCTCCATCAAACCCATCATCTATCCACAACACGCCGACTCCGTCAATCATGGTTTCATCACGCAAACGGACCATCCAAGAAACTGATGACCACCTAGAAGAGCCCACACTACTTCATCGCATTCGAAATCAGTGGCAGTTTGCCAACCTATGTCAATGGATTTATCTTTTCGGCAAGGTTGTCAAGATAGACGATAGTCTAGACACCGAGGTACGCCAGTGCCACCTTTCTCGGACTACTAGTCCTACTTCTAACCTACGCTGCCGCAGGACATCGAGACTGAATGCCTCAAACCGAATGCACCCGTGCTCCAAGACATTGGCCTAGCTCTTCTGAAATTCATCTCGTCACATCGAGGCTTGACGTACGTTTCGAGACCCACGTTGGCTTCCGATGCCTAACTAGTGGCAGGCACGAACTATTCGACGAGTATACGAGGCGGCAATACACAGCTAGGGCCCCTGAGAAAAACCCATTCGGTGCAGAAGAGGTCGCTGCGAAGTTCGCCGACTTCGACGTGTCAAAGAAGGTATTCACCGGCGACTTCGGGCCGTCGATCATCGTTGCTGACGCAACTGCAGATCCGGATTCTCCAGCAATTAACACAATGGGTCATGGTTCGCCCCGAGCGTGTCAGAGAGAAGATGGAGGAACAGAAGGACGTTGATCAAGCCACCTGGGTGAGTTTTACACTGGTCGCTTCCCATGCTGTCGGGTCAAACCATTGACATATTTGAACAGCGGATAGAACCCATTGGCTGGGACAGAGACGACCGCACCTACTTTGTTCTCGACGACAACCGTGTGTATCGCCTTACCGATGCTCCACCGAAACCAGTCACCCCCAGAAAGAGGTCCAACAAAGCCAAGTATGGCTCTAGGTCCAACAAAAGACGGCGCGTTTCTGCAGCAAACGTCACCGACAACCTGGATCAATCTGCGAATGACCCCGAAGAATCTACCCCCTCTGCGCCGGAGGAAGACGGCCTTGGTGGCATGAAGTGGGAGTGCCTCGCTGTCACACTGGAAGAGGTACAAGTGCTCATCGCATCATTTCTCAAAACCAAAGACGACAACGAGAAGGTATTACGCGACTCGCTGCAAGAGCACTTGCTACCCATTCTAGAGAAGCAGGAGGAATCGCGGAAACGCAAGGAGCAACAGCGGGAGAAGGAACTGTTGAACCTCGCCAAGATGGCAAATGCCAAGCGGTCGAGCCGAATTGCTGGCAAGGTTGAGCTGCAAAAGCAAGAGGAGAAGGCCAAGTCGGAGGCACAAGTCCTTCACGCCCAACAAGTTGCTGCGCGCAAAGAGGAACAGCAGCGGCTCAGACTCGAGAGAGAGCGTGACTCGAGGCTGCTATCCCGTGAGAATCGCCTCAAGGATCGGGAGGCTCGTCGCTCACAACACGAAAGGGAGCTTTCGCAACTTTCCGAGGATAATCGCAGTACCTCGGGCCGTGCGTCAGAACGGCGACTGCAAGCCGAGATTGAGAAAAACAAGCGTGCTCTCCGGGAGCTTGACGATGAGGATGAGGAGGACGACTGGATCTTCGATTGCATCTGCGGCGTTTATGGTCAAGTTGACGACGGCACGCATAGTATTGCATGCGAGAAATGCAATGTCTGGCAGCACAGCAAATGTGTGGGCATCAGCGAGACGGAGGCTGAGCGGCCAGAATTCCATTTCGTCTGTCAGACGTGCAGGCGACGTGAAGAGGAAGCGGCTGTCAGACCGCGGACGACAATTAAGCTGAAAGTCAATCGCACAGGCGGCTCCTCATCACCGCCGAATAACCACCTTCTGAAAGCATCTAGCTCGGAGACTTTCTCCAGCAAGCTGACGGTCGGGATATCCGTGCTTCCGCGGCCGGCAGAGGAGCCGGTCGATGCGGGCAACACGGAGGCTCAGCAAGCAGGTCAAGCCGATGTTCAGGCCGCTGAACACGGGACTATCCCTCAGGATGGCGGATGTGCCACGAACGGCACTCAGGCCGTCTCTGCGGCTGGTCCCTCGGGGCCGTCAAATCCAGCCAGCGGTACACCGTCAGCAAAAGGGGCTAGCCCCGAGCCCACGACCCCCAAGGCAGATGAGAAGTCTCGTGGCAGGGCTGCTCTGTTTTCCAACATGGAGTCTCTCCCAGACGGCATTGATGAAATATCCGCCAGTCCCATGCGTTCAGGAGCAACGCCTGGCCCCCTTGACGCCTCATCTCCCAGGCCGGGAGGATCTAGCCTGATGGCCACTCCCATCATCAGTCGCGAACACGGTGTTCCCGGCTCGGCACATTCGTCATTTACATTGCCCTCCGCGGAGGCGGGACTCTCCCCAACCAAGAACTCCCCCCCTTTGCCCCGTCCACAACCACCTAGCGTCAAAACGCCGGCCCTACCTGCTATCCTACCACCCATCGCGACGTTGTCACCATCTCCGCGTCAGCAAATTCTGACCCCCCCAATCAAGTCAACGGAGCCGGCCCGACGTTCACAACAGCCGGGGGCGAATACTGGTGCTCTTTAGGTTGAGCACTGAGACTCCGAAGCTCGACGTGGATAGAGAGATCCAGGGAAATTATGGGTGAGGCTGAATACGAAAGCAGAAGAGCCTCCGTGATTAATGCTGGTCACGGCTGCGCAGCTTGTGTTTCGCGTTTGTATGGGTATTGTAGGACGTGTACGGATAGTAGTACCACGAACGACCGTTTAGAGCAGCAATGACTAGAAGAGCCCCCTCCGTGAGTCCTCGCCGTGGGGTCGCGGAGAGTTTTCCACCTGGGAGTAATCCGTATACTATTGGTCTGGCTGCGTTCTCGCCAGTACGATTTACGATTGTGTGGTTCATATCGTAACTTCGTTGATCAATGAAGGGGTTTATACTCAACAACGGTCTGCAAGGACATCAATCAAGATGATTGTCAATACCATCAGAATGGCTGAACAGATCGCTTCCAAGGCACTGCCCGATATCGGAGATGGGCGATGATCAGTCTGGCCAAAGACGCCGCGGAGAGTCAAGCGGAGGTTGTTACTGAGGCTCCGAGTGCTAGAACGGTCGTCAGTAAGACCACACGCGTCCGTCCGTTTACTGGGTTGTATATGCGCCTTGCGCCGCATGTCTCGGTCGCCCTGCCTGTTCTGCAAGCCATGCTACTTGGCATCCTCCTGGCCACACACTCAGCATACAACTTCTGGTGCTGTTGGTTGTTGGTTGAGTGGTTGGTTGAGAGCCCTTCACTCCTGGCCCTGGGTCGGCGAACTTGTGGTCTAAGTTCTGAGACACGATCGGCGGATGATTTCTTCTTGAGGGGTGTTTCTCTACGCTACGGGCGATCGCGTGTGTCTCACCCGGAGAAGGCGGCATTCAAATGGAAATAAAGTCTTCTCAGGAGAGTGGGCTTACCTGCTGATCGCTTCAAATGCGACCGAGATTTGTCCTGGGTGACATGAGGATGGAGACGTTTGGAGCTGTTGGGTGTGTGAAGCTGTATGAGGTCAAGGTCATTTCGGGTGACGTCTCAAACGGTCCCTGGTATGGCCGGCCACGCCCGATCGCGGCCGTCACGTTCCAGGTGAGGACGTTTCTCTTCTCTCGAGGTAGATGCAACTCATCATTGTATCGGAGTCATGCCTGTAAGGTAGATGGTGATCAAACAGTGACAGAGCAAGAGCTACGGGCGCATACATGTATGCGTCAATGGTGGAGCGGCCAGACCGCCGGTCAGAGCGAACCTGAACACTTGGGGGTGACATGCTTCTGGCAGGTCCGAGGTGAAGACGAGAGTCAACGGATGACCTGAGCGAGGATGGATAAGTGGCTGCATCTTCAGGGCCGAGCCGCTCACCAAACAGACATGGCCTCACCCGCCGCTCGAGGTGGCAGTGGCGATCACTGCCTCTGTCATCCTTACTGCCACTGGCCTAGACAGCCTTGCACCAGCGATTCAGTCGATGCCAAGCGTCAGTTGTCAAATATCAAAATGTCCGACCAAGCCGGCGGCCGTTGTGCATGGCTGATGCAGGTGAAGGTGGGTAGATAGATAGATAGGTAGGTCGAATGCAGGGCGGGAGAAGACTACGGCAGGCATTTGAGTTTGGGGTCAGAAGCCGTGGTTGTGGGATCAGAGAAGTCGGGAAACGTCCTCTGAAGTGGGCAAGTAAGTAAGTGCAAGGTGGGTGAAGAGAAAGGAATCGCGTTGGAGGAAGTGAGAAGTGAGGGGTTTAGCCAAGAGGAGAGGCGGTCGTGGAGGTTGGACATGGTCTCGACGCTGAGGTATCTAGGTACTCTAAGGTAGTGGAGCCAGTCAGTCAGTCTAGGTCCAGTACTTAAGGTAGGTAGGTAGTGTCAGATTCAGAGACGCGGTGCCGGAGATGTGGCGCGTATTAGCTGCAGACGTAAGCCGCAAGCGCAGACGAGCAGGCGGGGGGGATTGGCTCGGAGGATAGGTCAGGTATTCTTGAGTAGATGCCAGTGAGGTGCCTTACCTTCACCTAGGTAAGGTACCTTACCAGGTAAGGTAGGTGCAGTAAGAGGTATGCAGACGGAGAGATACCTTCCCTAAGGTACTCCGTAGTGTCCAGATGTCTTACCAGTGATGGGGCTGCAGGCGTGCGCGGGGGGGCGGGGCGGATTTCAGATGAACAGAACCAGCTCCAGCTCTCCCGCACACTGCAGATGGGGCGCAGGGGAAGGGCAGACGGGCCATCCGACTGGGCGGGTGGTTCGTCCTCCCGGCCGGCCTCTGAGGCGTCAAGTCGGGTCAAACAAGGAAAGGGCATATCTTAAGGTAAGGTATCGTGTATCGTGATCACTACGGTAGGTAGGAGTGGAAGATCTCCAGCGAGTAAGGTAGGTAGGTAATATACCTTACGGAATAAGGTACCTTCAGGTGGGAGGTATGCCTAATAGGAGGTCAGGTACTTACCTTCCTCTGTAAGGTACCTTACCTGACTGATGACAATCGGAGAGTAAAGCAAACAAAACATGCTTTTCAGGACGGGGTCTGGATCTGGTCCCTCCCTGGGTGTTGTGCTCTGCTAGATGCTGATTTGGATGTTGGACGTGGAGTTGCTGATTCGCCAATGTTTCCTATTCATGCAGCTCTGAATGGAAAACGGGACTGCGGTAAGGTATCTATCGAGAGAACCAGGGTCTACCAAAGGGGTTTACACTAGGCACCTTACCTTACCATGTACGAAGTCTTGGTGGCACTGACATTGTGGATGCCCCATAATGTATCCCCACCTATTTTACCTTACCTAAGGTTAAGGTAGCTACAGGTATAGTGTAGGTAATGTGCCTACCTTACTTCAAGTATCCGTACACCCAACGGCAGGTGCAGCTTGAGTGAGGTGCGGTGCGATGCGGTGCAACCCAAGGTACCTTACCTAAACGATGGAAATGGGAATGGGAGGGCGGAAAAGACCATGGTCGTGCTGTTGGGTAAGTTGGATGCTGCTGATGATGAGGTAAGTGACGGTGAGGCTCAAGATTGAATGATTCTCGTCCTCTCCGCCCTTCTTTTCCAGCTGGGCTGGCTACCTTGACTAAGGTACCTGGGTAAGGTCAGCTTAGTAGGTCAGTAATGTACCTTGAGGTAAGGCACCTTACCAGTGTACCATTGTATCTACCTCCAGTGTCCACGGTCCCGGTCCACGTAAACTACCTACCTAGATACCTGCCTTAGGTACCTTAGTGTACCTTACCTGGGTACCAAGGTAGGTGCCCAGGTGGGTCACAGACGCCCCATGCCATCGGCACCAATGGAGCATGGAATGACAGACGCCTCTGGCGCCACGTCCCCACTCCCGCTCACACCGCACCGCACCGCGTCAAGACGGCTACATATTGAATCAGACATCAAAGGACGGAATGCGCCACGGTCTGCTTCTAGAGCAGCATGGGCCAATCAGACGAGACGCTACCAACGAATCCGGTAGCGGCGAGGGCGCAATACGCAAGAAGAGCAACAGCATTCTGATTCTGATTCTGAGAGCAAACACAACCTACCTTACCTTAAGCAAACAAACATTCCATCCATCCATCCATCCACCCACCCATCATCAATCCATAGCACCATCTCTCGGCTCTCTCGCTTCCCTCGTGGTCCCGTCTTACCCAACACTGCTCTTCCATTACCGACCCTTTCCTCCTCTCCCACATCGCAGTTTGCTGCTACCCGGGCCTTCGTCCTGCCCATGCCCAACCCCTGCTCTGGCCTTGGACCCGATACCAACAGCGACCCCTTGCTTCCATCTTTTTGCCCCAGCTTCTCTGCTTCCCTTTGCCAATTGTTCTGCCGTGCCAACCAGAGTCATTGGGTGAGAAAAAACAGCCACGTGCAGGTGGACATGACACGGAGTGGCTTGCTGGGAGGAGAGGCACCTAAGCACCCAGACAATGTTAATCACTCAATGGGACACCCGTATTGAAGAATCGGAAAAAGTCTACGGATACAGGTCCGAGAGAGACATGGCCATCCGACGAGACTAAGAGGAGAGACATTCTCCACGCCGAGCCTCTTATCTCAGACTCAAGGCTCCCAGGCCACAGTAGCTAAGGTAGGTCGTATATCACCACCTCGTCTCATATTCCGGCTACCAGCGTGAACCAGTGGGGGAGACGTTGCCAGACATGACTTCCATCGTAATTCAAGCAACATGCAACGACGTGGGTCTGCCATGGTCACCGCCGGCCGGCCTGGTTACTGGGAGATACACCACCAACGCCGATTCCAACACCAACCACAACCCCGGTACCAACACGCCAGGATAGACATGGACTTGAGATATCCGTAGACGGACCGACACTCTCTCTCTCTCACACACACACACACACCCATGCTCCACGGTAGCAGGCATCGCATCACACGGGTGGCCCCAGGTACTAAGATCCTGGCCCAAGATCCGCCTCTGTTGGTTGTTGGCAATCAACCGCCTCAGAGCGCAGGTGTCTCTGTTGGCCTTCCCAGGTCCTCTTGAATGTTGGCCAGTTTCGTATACAGAGTATTCGGCAGGGCAAGGCATATTGCAGGACATGGCTTTGGCCACTGGTGACAGCATTATAGCCAAGGCCATGACAACAGACACCACTCTCAAGACCCCAGAAAGACCGTGGACCCAGCACATCTCGCTCGTCTTAACCGAAGACGGCCAAACGGACTGGCAGAGGGCAGCGAACAGCGGTCGAGGCTGGCTAAGGCCGTGTACCTTGCCTTAGGTAGGGTAGGGCTGGTATACGGCGCCTGGCGCCGCTTTCAAATCCACGTCCGAATGCGGCAATCAGCTAGATGCTCTTTCGGACGCAGAGAAGCCAGCGACGGCATACGACTGAGGCTAAGGCAAAAGAAGCAGAAGTCCACCAGACATGCACATGCGTAACATGTACACATAAAACCACCCAGCCCGGCCGAACGCTTTTCTTTCATTCCTCCTACCCAGGTTATGATTCAATGAATGAATCCCCTCTGACGACAAAGGCCGGAACCCCTTGGCTTTGACTTGCTTTGCTTCTCGGGCCTATCTGACCCTTGCCTTTGGTCTTTGCATCGGGTTTCCTTGACCACTCTCGGGACGGCATCACATTCACGCCAGATAAGGATTACAGGTTTCCATCTCTCCGGAACGCCGCCTACCTCCCATCCAACAATCCAACACCAACAGGGGTAAATTCCAGAGAGGTCATCATCCAAAGACAGGTAACCTTGGAAAGACGGTTAAAGAAGAAGGGAGAAAGAGAACCGATCCGCTGGAAAGGAAAGAGGCGGCATCCAACAACTATATCGGGTAACAGAAGGGAGGATCCGATACGAACCAACATCTTCCGAATCGGCGAAAGGGAAGAAGAGAGTCCCTTGAACAGCCCTCACTGCAACAAGAACGGCATCAATAACAACGACGACGACAACGACGACGACGACAACAACTGGGGAGAGAAAGAAACCTGCCGAATCTGTAAAAGGCCAGCAGCAGTTTTCCACCTTCACCAATTCTACCCCTGCCATAAAGAAGAGCGGCTATTCATAGAGCTTGCTATGCTTGGCCTTCGCTTTACCGCCGCCCCCTTGCAAGCCTGTTCAGTCTGTCCCGCCCACCAGAATCTCTAAGCTCGACATTGTCGTCGCATTCCATATCCCAGGGGAACGGTCCCGGATCACCGCGGATCCCTGCTACTCGGCTGCTTGCAAGTCATCCGTCCCCTCCTGGTCCCTGCAACACTGCACCACCACATCTCACCTCACGGGTTGCCTTACCATACCCTCGCCTATACCTAGTCCTGCGTCTGCACCATCCGAGCCACTTGAGGTACACCTCTGCCTGCTGCTGCAACTGCAACAGAGGACTGACGCTTGCTGACGCTCCAGGAGATACGGCAGAACCAGACACCAGACGCAGAATTGGACGCAGAAGAAGATATAGAACAGGACCACGAACAGGACAGGACGCTCGTTGTCAACAAAACCGTTCCTTTCCCTCCTTTCCCCCTCCTCTTCCTCCTCATCTGCCAGGCTTCTTCTCCATTTTCCTCCCACCCTCCCAGTTGATGCACACGCCACCCCCCGAACATCACCAACACTGCAGCCAGCATTTCGACATACTCTGAATGCAGATATCTGCGGTGCAGCTGCTTCTTTCAACCCTTTTCAATCCCGCAGTCACCGGCTGTTTTTTCCTCAAGCATTCACCCTTCCGTCTTCTGTGCCGTGCAACATTCGCCTTGCCCAGCCTTGTCCTACCATCAACGCCCATCACCGGACCATTATCCAACGCCTACTTGGTTATCCCACAAGTACCAAGACCACCTCTGCTTCGAGCCAGGAAACCGAAGGAGTTTGGGGTGGATCTTCCCGGGTTACGGAAGACCATATGCTCGACTGCATTTGACGCCTCCCATTGCCTCTTCTTCGCCTTCTCTGCACTCATTTTCGTCTCTGTTGCCATCGACTATCGACTGGTTCCGGTATAGTTGGAATCGCAGACCAACTTCACCTCTCCTGCACCATTTCTTCTCCCTTCACTTCTTGGGATGGCACACAACGGACCGCCGTCTCCAGCCCCCTCGAACGATGATATCTACCCCCACGGACTGCACCATTTAGTACGTCCGAACGGAGCCACATCGTTTCCAAGAGAACATCTTCACCCGCATGGTATGGGCCACCAAACGCCATCTCGATACGGCACGCCTGGTCCTCCACAAGACATGTCCTACGATCACCACTCTCCGTACTCGCACCGCGGAAATGAAGGCGGGATGGTACGTAGTAGCCCAGTCCGAATCTCGACTTAGAAGGCCGGACTCGCTGACGAATCAAGCAGTATCACCACGCCGGCTATGACACGAGCGGCGGCACGCTCTACGGTCCCTTGTCAGGAGAACTGGGTCACCAGGTAAGCAGCCGAACAAGGATCAAATCATGAGATCACTACTCACATTGTGTCCGCCTAGCCATACAGTACTCCCGATACATCACCACCGACACCGTCTCGCGCATCAGACGTGTTGACAACTCGCAGCGGCCTCAACATCCACAAAGGAACTCCGAATCCTAAGCCGCTCGCTGCTCGCGCTTCCCGTGTCGAGAAGTCGACCCCTCGGAAGAAGAAGGAACGTGCCAAGTCGTCGAAGAAGGTGGAAGGCATATCGAAGCCTTTAAGCGAGCTGGCAATCGAGCAACCCAATGTCCATGTGGCTGACATCGAGGCCTACGTCAATCGATCCGTGGAGACGCGCATGAAGGAGGTCGAGGAGAGCAAGACGCCTGGCAGAATCAAGCGGCCCATGAACGCCTTTATGCTGTATCGGAAAGCATACCAGAACCTTGCCAAGAACCTCTGCACGCAGAACAACCATCAAGTCGTCTCCCAAGTCTGCGGTAGCGGTTGGCCCCTGGAGCCTGAACACGTACGCGAACAATTCAATGAATGGGCCAAGACGGAGCGAGCCAACCATCAAAAGGCCCATCCCGGCTACAAGTTCACGCCGTCAAAACCGAGACCCAAGGCGCGAGACGGTGAAGGAGATTCCGACGAGGGCGATCTGGATGATCTGGAGTGGGGTGCGAGTCGGGCAAGTTCGAGAAGCAGACAACTGAAGAAGCCAGGACACGGCCGGAACGATGCCCCGGCGTCCATTTTCCATGGTTACCCTCAACTCTCGGGCAGCCCGATGGGCCTAGGAGTTCAGACTCAATCCATGTACCATTACAGCAACCCGGGCAAGCCTATTCCCGCACCGTACAGCCAGACGAACCTGTCTGGTCAGTACTACCAGCAGAGCGTCCACCAGCGACAGGACGGTACTGGGTTCGTCGAGGACGTTCTCATCAGGAAGACACCATCACCTGCAATGGGCTATGCTCCGCCGCCAATGGACGGCCGCTTCGATGCTTTAGGCCAATACGGACACATGCCCCATCCCGATGGCCTTGAGCCCATGATTGATCCGGGTCTGATGGGCCACGGAGGCCACGGGTACGGCGATCCGTACGGCGACCCGATGCTTGAGCCGAGATGGACGAACCCACTTGAGTTCGGCAGCGGAAGACAAGACCTGCTTGACGGTTTGTCGGGCTATGATGAAAGTCTTATGCATGATTCTCAACTTCAGATTTTGCGGGGGCAAGAGAGCAGCTGGAGAGTGGAAGAACTCGAGGGGAGTCATTTTAATAACTGGATAGACCAGCCTGAGTGAAGGATGAATTGGGAACTTCATTCAATCTTTGCGGGATTGTTCCGCGCTTGCGGAAAACGGAGCCAGGCGTATGAGGTAGACAATCGGCGGACTTCTGCTTTTCTCGGGTCGAGGTGGGAGAGTGTCTCATTGACGGAGTACTTGGATGAATAAGGACGGTCGCTGAAGGTAGTGAAGCGAAGCATTGTGAGGAGCCGGCAAAATGAGGACTCTGAACGTCTCTTGATAGAAACAACTTTACCTCGGTCTTTCGCGGTCTCCCGGTCTGTGATATCTGCGAACAGAGGCGCTCTTCGCGTGCCAGAGCTTCCAAAGAATGAAGGTCTCATTGCGAGGATACTTGTTAGGGCTTTTGCAGTAGAGAGGTCGGATCACAACTCAATAATGTAGCATGAGGTAACAATGTGGGAAGCGATTCCTTCAAGAACGGCTCCAAGAGTTCCTGTTGGGCTGGTAGGAAGAGTTTGTCCGCAGAACTTCACATGATGCTCTGGCGTTGAATAGAGGCTCCCTTGTATCAGAATGGACGAATAGGCAATTGGTGGTAGGGAAGGCCGTTGAATAGGTTTATTTCCGACTTGCATGCAACATGCGTCCAAGCATATGCAACAAATGATACCTTCTGGCTTAGCTGCATATAGACGACTAATTTACATGCGTGAAGGTGCCTACCTAAGGTAGGTACCTAAGGTGGGTAGTGCAGCAGCTGATGTAAGCCATCTGGCTGAGGCATCCTTCTTCTCCATAAACTTCCCCTACCATCAGCTGGTACCTAGGCCTGCGTTCTACTTCCAAAACAGGATCGACCGATACCTTTCAGCCTCGAGGTGCTCAGGCAGTCAGTTTGCTCTACTCTCAGAGATCGGCGCCAGAGGTTTGCAACGACCGAATACACTTCAACGCAGCTCCAACGCGAGAAGCCTAGCTACTTTGGCCACGCAAATCAGCTCACACACGCGATGACGTGGATTTCTCGCTCCACCACAGCCATTGGCCTCCTGCTGCTGGCTCATGCGTGAGTCCGGCGATGCTGTCGTTTCCCAAGCCATCGGGTCTAACTCATCTACTTGCGCAGATGCTACTCGGCGCAAGAGCACTCGGCTCTGCAATCCTTTAGAGCCGCGTCGCCACTATCCACCTTTGCCGTCCCAGCCACGACCTCGCTTCCGGTCGACATTACCATTGAAACGGGCGTCGCAACTGTCGTCATAGTCCTTGGACTCGTTCTTGGCGCCCCCAATCTCCGCCCGATTCAATGGCGTGTCTGGGCTGGCAAAATCGAGAGGGAGGGCGAGGCGGGATTTCTCAACGGCAGCGGCGAGGTCGAGAAGGACTACATGGGTAATCCGTTTCGTATCCTCGAGAGCAGGCCGGGCTTTGTCGATATCCGAAAACAGAAGCGCGACTTCGCCAACTGGGCCAAAGGCGACGAGAAGACTAAGCCGACAATGGCTTCGGCATAATGCCAGCTTGCTCTTGGGTTTGAAAGATAGATACAGACCCGTACCCGACCCCCGGAGATAGGTATCATAAGGTAGCCAACGTAATAAACTTTGATACACTGGACCTACTACGGGTGCGGACAAACCGTGCCACTCTTCTACCACCGGCCAAACGGATTCTTGGGATATGCCTAGGTAGGGTTTACCCAAGATGTCAGTTGCGGAATGTGCTGTCCAAGGCGCTGCTGATCGTTGGTTCACCGATACACGACGTCGCGGATAAGTTTCTCATTCTTACCGTCCGCTGTTTTACCTATGATTTGTTGCACGATGATGGTGGAGGACAAACCTCAAGATATGGTAAGCAAGAAGGAGCGACATAGTATGGTTGCACCATACCTACTGCTCACCGCACCTCCTTCCGGCGTGACCATCAGGCCAGGAGGTTACGTCTGTTTCTAACCCCACCTACCTTCCCTTCCTTCTACGGAAACCGCCTACCTTAGGTACGTTACCCACCTTGGTACTCACTTCAAGTTCACAAAGTCCCCTCCCTACCTAGGTAGGTAGGCAATAATCGCCCAGCGTTGGCTTGTCGGTTCTCACGCTTCACTAGCCCTCTCTGGAAAACACGATGCCAGGAAGGGGTTCTGGCTACAACCCACGGTACGGCCGGCCTCGTTCGAGAGGAGGCTCAAGACAAGGCGCAAGGGTTACTACGAGACTACCCTCCAACTCCAGAGGCCACTTGTCCCGCAGCTTACGCGGAAGCCCACGTCTCGTTCATCAGAACGGGACATCGCCTATCTTTTCCAGTCCTCACGGAGCCCAGCAACCGTCACTTCCTGGCCGAGTGAACCCAATTTCAGGGCTCGACTTGGATACGCAAGCAGGGCCCCGGGAGCTCATTTCAGGTGCGCGAATTCAGCTTCCGTGGCCTGATATCAGCCTCCAGTCAACCCCGTCAACAAGCTTGCCTAACAACGCTTCTCTGCCGCCGCAATGGACTCTGCAAGGGCAGCCAGGAGATCATGGAGACGCGACAATCCAACTACAGCAAGCAGACGAAGTCATCATGGCTATCGACATCAAGGAAAGCAGGCTTGGTTGTGCCTTTTACACCTCCGCCGGGGATAGCCTGCGTCTGCTGCACGATGCGCCGTGTACCGAGGCGTTACAGCTTATAGATTTCCTCATGGTTCACGTAGAGCCCACAGTGGTGCTGTTGCCGCTGAAGGTGGCAGACAAAGTTCTCCATTTCTTCGAGGAGCACAAGAATACAGGCAGGCCTCCCGCTGAGATTTGAACACGACCCAGCTGACCTAGTTCTGCAGGCGATCCTGGGAAAGAACGGTATATCCTCCGGACACTTGGGTCGAATGAGTTCAGCCACTCGGCCTCTGTGGACAAGCTGGCAAACCTTCCCATCATACGCGCAGGACATGCTATGGTAACAACAACTGCGAATCGCTTGCCGAATGATGGCGCGGAGAATGAGAATCAGAACATCAAGGTGATGCGCCTAGGGTCATTCGTCGACCTCGACTGTATCATCTCGGTAAGCTCAGCTTCAATCCCCACGGCAAGTGCTGAAGACTGACAAAACTTAGATTGGATGCGCTGGTGCCATCTTGGGAGAAGTTCTTCGCATGCGCAGTGCCCAGCAGATACCTGAGGTGCCAGAGAGGGCTCCCATCGCCGTACTGCAGATGTTTGTGCTTTCAGACTTCATGCTCATCACCAAAGATACCCTATCCTCCCTCCAGGTCTTTCAATCAGAAATCCACCCGAGCACCCTCGTATCTGGCGCAGCAACTTCCGGGTCAGGGTCAAAGGAGAGCCTGTCTGTGTACGGCTTATTTCGTCCTCTTGCTGGTACACCTCAGGGAAGAACAAAGCTCCAGCAGATTTTTGTGCGCCCTTTGGTCAGTCTTCAAATAATCAACGAGAGACACAGGACTATAGAAGTTCTTCTCCGAGCGGATAATACTGAGGCCCTTGAGAACCTGTCCCGTGCCCTGCAGGAAATCAAAGATGTACGAAAACCTTTAGAACAACTACAGAAAGGTGCAGATGCCCAAACTGGTACGGCTATAGACCGTGGAGTTTGGTGGTCCCTCGCTCGATTTTCAGTCAGGCTGCTCAGGCTTAGGGATATCGTGTTTGAGCTGCAGCATGCTGACAATCTTACCGCAGTGAAAAAGGTGAGTCCAACAACCAATTTCTACTTCAGTCATGCTAAACCCGGTTGAAAGGTCATCGACACAATCCCTGTTGGTGTAATGAAAGATGTTGGGGCGAGGATTGAGTCCATTATCGACTTTGACGAGGCGAAGGCCAGCTCGCGTATTGCAGTGAAGCCAAACGTCAGCCGGGAATTGGACGATCTGAAACGAAAATACCACGCTCTTGATTCTTTCCTCAACGAAGTTCGAAGTTCCATGTATCAAACGCTGCCGGACTGGGCTTGCCCACACGTTACTGGCTGCGTGTTTTGGCCTCAGTTGGGCTTTTTTACTATTGTCTCCTTGAGCCCCAACGGAGCCCCTGCTTACAAAGGGCAAGGGTCCGACGACGAAGACTGGGAGGTTGTGTTCATCACTGGTGGTAACGCCTACTGCAAGAACTGTCGAATGGTCGAACTAGACGCTCAATGGGGCGACCCGTACTCTGATATCGTCGGTGCGTCTCACGCGCCCACTCTAGGAGTCATAGGCTGACATGACTGCAGATTTAGAGATTCAGATTCTTCATGCTCTTTCCTGCGATGTTCTTCAGCATTCGCTGGCCCTCAGCCGTGCTGCCGATGCCTGCGGTGATCTTGACTGCCTGGTGGCTCTTGCGCGCGGCGCGCAAAAGTACGGCTGGACAGCTCCCACGATGACCGAAGAAAATATCATAGCCATTAAGGGAGGCCGTCATCCTCTTCAAGAACTGGCTGTGCCTTCATTCATTGCCAACGACTGCAGCCTAGAGGGAGGCTCTATTGACTCAGTGCACCATCCTGAGACGACAGCGCTCATCGTGACCGGCCCAAATCACTCGGGCAAGAGCGTATACATCAAGCAAGTTGCTCTCATTGTGTATCTCGCTCATCTGGGAAGTTTTGTCCCCGCCGACCTGGCTACGATAGGAATCACTGATCAGATACTCACGCGTATTTCGACCAAGGAGAGCGTGTCTCAGAATGAAAGTGCTTTCGGGATAGACCTGAGGCAGGCAGCGTTTTTAGTTCGGCACAGCACACGCAGAAGTCTCGTGTTGATAGACGAGTTCGGAAAGGGCACATCTGCGGACGATGGGGCTGGTCTCATGGCTGGTCTCATCGACCACTTCACCACACTTGGCCCCGAAGCGCCAAGGACTCTTATCGCGACTCACTGCCATGAGATATTCGAGGGCGATTACCTTCTGGAACGGCCAGGTCTATCCCTTGCACATATGAATGTGCGTCTCGACCTGGCGGCTGCGATGGAAGACCAAGTTGTGTTTCTGTACGAACTTCTTCCCGGTAGGAGTACTTCGAGCTTCGGCAGCAAGTGTGCAGCATTGAATGGTGTTAGCGACGCAGTGGTGGAGCGAGCGGAGGCAATCATTCTGCTACTGGCGCGGAGTGAGGATATTGGAGCGGCATGTGCTAAGCTGGGTGAAGAAGATCGCGTCCGTCTCCAAAAGGCCGAGTGTGTGGCCAGAAGTTTCGTGGAATTAGATTTGGGAGATCGTGGTCTCTTTACAAGACAAATGCTAGGGCGTTTGTTGGTGGGAGTCTGAGATCATGTACTGCCCTCGTCTCCCCCCTTTACTGTATTCCATTTGCCACCCTCTGAAGTTTTACGTGATACTTTCAGATAGTCGCAAATCAGGAGTATATGCGTTCTTTGAGGTTGGCGGGGATAAATCTCACTCAGAATTGCACATTATGGGTGGTTCGGCTACACCACCCCGGTCTCAGCCTGCATGGTGCTGCCCGCTCATTTCAGATAGGCGCCAGCGGCTGTCTGTAACCGCCGGGAACAAACAGACCGTTACCTTCTCGGATCTTCCTCGCAAATAAGAGGAGATAACGCAACAGGACTTTCGCTCATCGATACTCATCAGCTGCCAGGGCAAGGGACATCACCCAAACTCAACATTTTGGTGCGGACTACATGACAACTCGCATGCGTTCCCTCTGAGCCTATACTCAGTCTCGTTTGCTTCGGAATTTTGTCACGGTTTCTTCTCGACGTCGAATTATGTCAGCCCAACGGCATCCTAGTCTTCGGAGTAGGTTCCGTGATCTCGACGCGAGAGACGTCTATGACGAGGCTGTGAGGGAGGCCCAGAGCGACAACGCCCGTAACTTCGTCGTCGAATTCAATTTTCAAGAAGCACACGTCGCCTTCGATCTGAACGCCGATGAGTTTGGTATTCTTCTCGACCAAAAGCCACCCGAAGGCATCGTGCGCTGGATCAATATTTGGTCACCGAGCACTCAACGCCCATCTGTCGAACGCATCGGTACCCATTATGGATTTTCGCACAGACTCCAAGCGCTCATGACATCTCCTGCGAAGCGTTCTCCGGGGAAGTTCAGGCCGGCGCAGACGTTTGACCCCAGCGATATTGAAGTTGGACTTGCTCCCAGCGAGACCAAGGCTCTTTCACCTTCGGAAGTCCCGCCACAGGCTCTCGAAGACGTCGAGGTCTACCAGCTAGTGAAGGAAACAATGAACTATACATCCATTGACTATGGAAGACAGTGTCAGTCCTATCAGTGCGTGGACACTGATTTCGAGCAACGCCTGACAAGTTGTAGTTCTCTGTATCGGTGCCAACTGGCTACATCGCCGCCCGGCCGTAGGCAAGCCGGGGCACAAGAAGACTCTACTACCGCCAAAACACTGGTCATGGCTCACCCTGTGTTCCGACTGTAAGCTTTTTCGGTTTCATGTTCCTCCCGTGCTTCACTTTTCCCGAGCAAAAGGGGGTTATTCCCGCGCTGACAACTCGTTCTAGCCGTCGTGCTATCGTTGCACGAAGCGCCGCCATACGAGCAGCCCGACAGCACCGAATGGGTTCTGAGTGAGCTTAAGAGTATGAGGTCTAACACCAGTGCTGTGCTGCACCAGTTGTCCGATCACGGCGTCGATGAATATCGAGACAGGGTCGTTACACTGAAATCGGTTAGGAAGGCGTTCCCTACAGAATCGGCAGGGAATCTCTCTGTGCATGAAAGCGCTAGTAACCTGTACTGGCCCTGTCTCGACCGTGAGGTCTTCAGCACCAGATTTACTGACCGTACTGCCATAGGTTTTTCTATCTTTTCGAGGACTACTCGGGGGCTGTGCCGGTTTTAAAGGCGTCTCGTTCCGAGATCAAAACCCTAGTGAGTCTGATCCAAGTGATCAATGTGACGTCGAAAATAACCATAGTCAACGCAGAGAGACGGGATCCTCACGAGTAATGTAGGTTGCGGGAAGGAGACCTTTCATAGCCCCCCACAAAGTAGAACTGACACTTCACAGAGCCGAAGGAGTAAGTTGGAGACTGGCGATGTCATCCGGCCCCTACATACCCTCAGAAGTGAACTGCGGCAGCTCCAGCATTTGTTTGAGAGTTACAAGAGCTTGATTAGACGACTCACCCGAATTCGGTCCGTCGATGGCCACTGGCAATGTTCATGCGACGCTCAAGAAATGTCCGACAATCACACGAGCGAGGTTAAAATCGCACCCTCGGCAAGAGGTCGCTTCGAACGACTAGAAGACAGGCTGCAGTTGCTGATGTTGAACACAATTCAAGAATACTTGGACGAGCTGAACGCTCTGTCTAGTACGGTAGGTCCCCAAACATTGCATCGGATTCGGAGCGAAGCCAGCTTGTTGCTAATTACGTGGTCACTTCTACAGTACTTCAATCTTACTGCGCAAAAGGATTCACAGGCCACCGCTCGCCTCAGCAGGAGCGCCACTCTGCTTGCGAAACTGAGCGTTTTCTTTCTCCCAATCAGCTTCATGACCAGCTACTTTTCCGTCGAGATACCCGACCTTGTGGAACACTACACGCCCAAGATGTACTGGATCTGCTTCGCTGTGATTGCGGGCATCTCCTTTCTAAGCTTGTTCTTCTTCAGCCGACTGCTGGAGCTTCTGATCGACGTGTTGGAAGGCTGGTCCGACTCAGTCTGGAAGAGGTTCTTCGACAAGCGGGACGAGAGAGACGACCACTGAGACGATGTGCGTCGGTACAGACGCTGCTGCTGGAGCAGTGAATTCGCGGCGCGTGGTTGTCGTTGTATCGTATATTTATGCATCTGAGACATATCTCTAGTCTTTATTATCATGATTTTGTCGAGTGAAAATCTCGGCCAACACCCGTACGCATTTCTCTCGGGACATGTAGCGGCCGGTTGGGCTCTCGACTTCATCGCATAGCGCCAAACATGACGATGCCCACACCAGCAGCAATGCTCGCTATGCAAGCTGCGGTGGGACGCGCTGCGGCGTTGATGAAGACACCGCTCACAGTCGTTGTCTGTGAGCATTGGTCATTGTTGATGCCATGACAGGCCTGCGAACTGAGACTGGAACAAATCGGAGTAGCAGAGGTTCCCACGTCCGGCCGGGTGGCGGCCACGGTGGTTCCGCCTCCGCCGGGAACAGCGACGGTGACACCGAAACCTGCATCACCGTTCAGCTGGGTGACGCAGCTTTCGTAGTTCCGGGAGCATTGCTGGACGGCGTCGGAGCATTCACCCCGGTCGAGAGACATTGCGATGAAGGGGAACGGGAAGTATTGATTCGGTACGTAAGAGACAGCCGTAGGAGCGGCGGGAGCTGTTGTCGGGGCTGTTCCGGTGCAGACGGCTCTGCCCAGATGGCTACATGTTAGCTTCTTCAACATCGTGTTTCAGGCACTTGAATTCCGTACCCGGAAGGGCAGCAAGCGGGCCTGTTGCTGTCGTCATAGCCGCAGACCTGACCCGATGCGCAACAGATGCCGTCAAAGTCTTCGCCCAGAGAACTCGAGCATAAGTTGGTGCCAGCAGGGCAATCTTGACGCCTGGACAACAAAGCTCCACCGGCCAGGTAAGCGGCGGTCGGGGTCCGGGTCGGGGTCGGAGTCGGAGTCGGAACCGAAGTCGGATTTGCGACTACTGTCGAAAGCAAAAGAGCAAGCGGTATCGCCCAAGTTGATAATCCCATTTCGTGTGATGATAGTATAGGTATGAAAGTGCCTTTGGCGCACTTCCGTCTTGCACTCGATCCCGTCCGGAGCTGGTGGAGCAACAACCAGTTATCGTCGAAGACCTCGCTCAGAGCTGTTATATCTGACCCCGAACTACTGGTTCAGTCAAACGCTACTAGCGAACGCCCTGGCCGAGCTGATCAAGATTGCGAAGTCGAGCTAAATCCCGGAAGGGATAGAAAGAGACGAGAGAAGAGAGATGCGGGAGGGTTCAGAACCAAGGTGCGGAGCGATGGTGTCTTATTTCTCTCGAACCCTAGCCCAGGTCCAATACTCTGCAGTACGACGGTAGAGCTTACCCACTTACAACCGCACCTTCGGCCATCACCCCATCTTTGTTCCCCGTTCACGAACGCCGCAAGGCAAGGAAGGTATGGTACGAATAAGCTGGCTAGGTAGGGTTCCCGAGCAGCAGGATCAGTGGTAGCTTTGGGCACCTTGCATAAGACCTAGTATTCGTACGGATACTGCCAGACGCCCAACCAACCCCCCGACCCCGCTTGCATGCCTGTGCCTCTTTGGTGGGTTACATGCATGCAAAACCGGAATTGACAGGCCAGCAAGATGGATGAGGGTGACAGGTGGCTGGGCAGCTTTGTGGATGGCGAGGAAGGTGCAGTAATTAATTAGTGGGAGAAGGACATCGCATGATGTCATTGGACCACGCATCGTTGGCACAGCAACCCCCACCACCACGCCGGCCACCCGTTCGAACTTCGCTCACCTGACCCGGGCCTCTTCTCTACTGCGTACGGAGTACGGTGGTGTAGCCGCCCCCGTACCCCGTACCTTAGGTATCGACAGTCGTCAATTACCCCCCCGGACGTGCGCTAGAACCTGCCGGAGTCGTTGGAGCGCTTTCATATCGCCTGTCCCCTGCTCATTACCATATTCCCGCGCTCCCTCGAGTTCTTTCTGCGCCTCCCGTGCGAGGGAGCCCAGGTCACCCCAGACCTCGTCGGTGTAGCTCGTGAGCACCTCGTTCCAGCCGTCCATCCATAGCTCTCTTGCGCGCTGCGGCTCGACATTGCCAAAATGGTGCTGAATTTCTGCTGCGCTATTCCCCCACAAGAAGTCTGGTCTGAAGTCGAGAAGGACGGCCCAATTGGAGCCGACCCGCTCCCCGTTGTGTCGTCCAAAGAGTGCTTCTCTCAACGACTCCTCCTCCTGCGGTGACAAAAATGGCTGGATACTGTCGTCGATGCCCTCGTAGTCCTCACCGGGCATATTGAGAAGATCTGCAACTTGTTGGCCATCTTGACCCTCTTGTTGGCCGATGGCAGATGAGGCTCCGCGTTGGTGTTGCAGCGCAGTTTCTGGTTGCGAAGGCCCTCGAGATTGCAAGTTGTCCTGACTGCCCAGGAACTCATTGTAATGAGCTTCCCCCGTAGTAAGTGGATGCCGCTGGTGAGCGAATGCCTGCCCAACACCGGGTCCAGGACCAGTGGTATGGCGGTAGGTTGCCGTCTCGCCTTGTTGGGCAGACGCGGACGTCGTCCCGGACATTGCTTTCCCAGAGCCCCCACTGGAAAGATGCTCGGGTTGATTCGAAAAAGCGACTCGAGAAAGACTGGCTGCCGAGGTGGTGATGCGGCCAATCAATGACGCATCACTGGATGAGTGATTTGGTTCTTGAGTGCCGTCACCATCACCCTCGCTGTGCTTCGACGCCGAGGAAGAGCCAGACGGGGCTTCCCTTTCTTTGCCCTTGGAATCAGGCGTAGCGCCGTGGTTGCTCTGACCCATAGTGCGGGATGATTGGCTTTGTGAGAGACACAGAGGAAAACCAGGCTTGGTGGTTTAATATACTGCAACCATGATTGCTGAACGGGAAGCCGAGGCCTTCTCCCCGCCGCTTGCTTTCGGGTACTCCCAGCGGCGACACGTGCCCGGACGGGCCAGAGCGGAGCTAGCGTATGAGACCCAGTCTCAAGCTGGGCCGTGAAATTTCACAAGGAGGTATAGCTTGAAATTTTATGATGTTGGGCACAGTGTTAATTGAATCATAGGCAGCATGGCAGAGTGGTCTAATGCGCAAGACTTGAATCCTCACATTCTCCATCTTGTACCTTCGGGTGCGCAGGTTCGAACCCTGCTGCTGTCGGTATTATTTTTGTTTTTTTTCTCAATGGTTTAAAGCTTCTATCTCTATCTACTTCTTCTATTTAAAGGATGCCTGCTCACTATACTATATACTTTATATAAGATAGTTAAAGTATCTATTTACTATAAGTTTTCTTTTAGAACTTAAGCCTTTTCTAGATTTACTTCTTACTATATAGTTAAAGTAAGTAAGTACCTACTTAGATATTTATCTATAGGTAGGTATAAATAAAGAGATTAAAAAATATTTACTATTACTAAGCTTATATTTATAGTTACAAGTAAGGTTAATAAAATAAAGTAATATAAAATAGAAAAGAAAAGAGAGAAATTCTTCAATTTTATTTAGTATAATAAATAAACCTACTAAGATATAATACTAAAGTACCTACTTACTTATATATAATGTTTAAACTGTCTTTCTCTATTTACTTTATGCTTTTTATTATTAAAATAAAGATATAGCGCCTTTAACTTTGCGCAAGAAAATTAAAGAGATGTGAAATAGATATGTTCCCCGTGGTGGTCTTTGTGGCCTAATTTAATTGCAAATTGATACCCTACCTATGCAGTAAGGCAGGAGGCACCTTACCTTTCTTAAGTATTAAGCGTTTCTTAAGGTGCCTAATCTTACAAAGTACTTTGTTTCCAAAGCAAGTCTGGTTGCATCGCAAGTCTGGATACTTTCGCCTCAGGCAGACACGTACTTGTCAGGCTTGAGGGTAGTACCTAGGGTGGTACCTAACCTAAGGCATTCATCATCCCCCGCTGTTTGCTGATGCTGGTGGTCCTGCCCCTAAGTCAGAGCAAGGTGCAAAGTATGGCGGGGCGGGGAGCCTCTGCTTCAATCCTCAGCGTCTGGACACCACCTAACTCATGAGGGAGGCACCTAAGGTGGGAGAGGTATCTACCTGCCAGGTAGGCCCCGGGGTACTTTACCTTGCATTCCTTGAGGTGCCGCACCCGCTAGGTACCTACGCCTGCGAGATCCCCAAATTCGTCGTCAATTTGCTGTGCAACCCGGGCATTCTGTACACCTTGGTTTGTCGCGTCGTCAGGCAAGGTCTTCTGAACTTCCACCCTCATGACATCTCGAAAGAGCCTCTTCTCCTCTTCATCCTACTCTTCTTCCAAGTACTTGCAAATCCACTTCGTGACTGGACTCAAAGGTAAGGTACAGACTATCTGAGCTGGAAGACGACCCTCTCACCTTTCGCGGTCACCTCACCATGGGGGGGGGGGGGGGGGGGGGGGGGGGGGGGGGGGGGGGGGGGGGGGGGGGGGGGGGGGGGGGGGGGGGTTGTTGTATTAGTACCAAATCACTTTTGGGGTAAACAACACAATCCCCCCCCCCCCCCCCCCCCCCCGGCCCCCGTCCTCCGTCCCCGTCCGCACCTTACCTCACCAACCAAACCGAACTAGATCCAAATCCAAACCAACCATCTTTGATCCTTCTTGCCTGAGCTCTTTGGCATCCCTTTCACCTCCGCCTTGCTCGACATTGACATCAACATCAACCACGACTTCAGCATCAACACCAGCCCGCCGCATCTTTTCCCTGACATCTACCTTGTCTGTTGGCCCGCTGCCGCAATTGCCCCTCGCTGTCGCTAGCCTTTGCTTGCGTGTTTTTGCCTTGACAGCGCACTCGATTCCAACCATCGCCCCTCCTCTGCCACTCCCACTCCCACTCGCCCTCCGCCCTTCGCTCTCCCGCCTCGACCTGCGTGCGACTCTCCTGTGGCCTGTCCCAGCCCTACCGCCTGCGTCCAACACTGAACGATAAGCTCTTGTCCCGCTGCACAACCAGAGCTTGCACCTTCGCCCTCGCTCGACGTGCCCCGCCGCTCCCCTAGGTACCTCAGGTCCCGATCATCAACTCCCCAATATATCACATACCGAATCCTACACCCAGCTGGACAGCAAATATGGTGGACAGCGACACGAACTCCCCGACGTGGAAGTTCACCCAGTACGTTCTCACCCATCTGCCTGCATCGACCATGCCCAGTGTCCCCTCTTCCCACCCCCTCTCTATTCTTGTTTATGCCCCGCCTTCGTCATGGCTGATTGCTCACACGGCATACAGGTGCTTTGGAGACAAGGGCGACGTGGAGGACATCACCGAAGGTATGCCACTGGTGAATCACTCTGCTTGCCCGTTTGGTCACTCCACACCGCCCGACGGGCCCAGCTTTGCCAGCCCCGGTTCAAACCTGTCTAACGTACTGCTTTTCTAGCTGATATAATCTCGACGGTTGAATTTGATCACACGGGCAATTACCTTGCGACAGGAGACAAGGGCGGACGAGTCGTGCTGTTTGAGCGAAACGAGACGGTAGGTCGTGTCTGGCTGCAGCCGGAGCGCTGCCTCGTCGCCGTTCGCCGCCGTAGAGTTCCCGCTGATGCCCTTGCTTAGAAAAAGACTTGCGAGTACAAGTTCCACACGGAATTCCAGTCTCACGAGCCCGAGTTCGATTATCTCAAATCCCTCGAAATCGAAGAGAAGATCAACAAGATCAAGTGGTGCCGCCGTCAGAATGCTTCCCACTACCTGCTCTCAACAAATGACAAGACGATCAAGCTGTGGAAGGTTTTCGAGAAGTCACTCAAGGTCGTTGCCGAGAACAACCTGTCCGATGACTTGACCCCCGCCAACATCGCTGGCGGCGGGGGTGCCCCGAGACCGACCCCCGCCCATCGATTCAAGAACTCAGAGGACCTTATCATGCCCCGTCTCACCCACCACGACACCGTCGTTGCCGCCGTTCCCCGTCGGACCTACGCGAACGCCCACGCATATCACATCAACAGCATATCTGTCAACAGCGACGGCGAGACATTCATCAGTAGCGACGACCTGCGTATCAACCTGTGGAACCTCAACATCCAGGATCAGAGCTTCAACATCGTCGACATCAAACCGGCCAACATGGAGGAGCTGACTGAGGTCATCACCGCGGCAGAATTCCATCCCCTGAGTTGCAACTGGTTCATGTACGCAAGCTCCAAGGGCACCATCAAGCTTGCCGACATGCGAGAGAGTGCTCTCTGCGACCGTCATGCCAAGCGTACGTTCACCTTCCGCGTCCCCTGCTCAAACTAGCCCGCCGCTGACATGTCTTGCTTGCCGCTAGTCTTTGAGCAAGAAGAGGACCCATCCTCGAGATCGTTCTTCTCCGAAATCATCTCCTCCATCTCCGACGTCCGCTTCTCCTACGACGGCCGCTACATTCTGTCGCGCGACTACTTGACGGTCAAGATCTGGGATATCAACATGGAGCGCCAGCCCGTGAAGACCATTCCTATTCACGAACACCTGCGTCCGCGTCTTTGCGACACATATGAGAATGACAGTATCTTCGACAAGTTTGAGGTCGTCTTCTCAGGCGATGCCAAGAACGTCATGACCGGCAGCTACAACAACAACTTTATGATCTACCCGTCTGACCCCGACAAGGAAGTCGAAGTTGTCCTGCAAGCCGACAAGTCGGCGTTCAAGGCGAAGAAGGTTGGCGTGCCGACGCCCATCAACTCGGCTACTAGCCCAACAGCCACCAACGGTGGCAAGAAGGGAGGTTCCCGTGCCGGTAGCCCTGCTGCCGGAGCCGGTGGTCAGGGTCAACGAATGCGCAAGGAAACTGATGCCGACCAGATTGATTTCAATAAGAAGATCCTGCACATGAGCTGGCATCCCTTCGAGGATAGCATTGCGATCGCGGCGACGAACAACGTAAGGGTTTCCTCCCCTCCTGTTAATCCAGTCAACGAGAAGCGAAAAGCTAACCCATCATGTACCCCACAGTTATTTGTCTTTTCTGCACTATAGATGAAGCAAACGACCAGGGCATTCGATGTCTGGACTGAGTGATGAAGCTCATGAGCGGCACATGGCGCAGCAGGGCGTTTTGCCAAAGTGGATAGAGGGCGTTGGGTTCTTCGACAAAGTCGTTATGAGACGAGGTCAGCTGTCCAAAGTTTGCGTCGTGGCCGTGGCGTGTTTATACTACCGCCAGCATTGCCGTACTCTGGGATCGGGAGGCCGAGGCGAGCAGCAGAGGGGAAGCTGCTGACACAATAAATAGGCCATCATACAGGTGCTTCGGGACGGGAGATGGTAGACAAGGGCGGGGAAGCGTGGAGAGAGGGAGACAGACATGGGAGAAGAAGCACTACGGATAGATGGACCCGCTGGCCGTGGCACGGTTGGCGATGCCTCCCTGATTTCCAAAGCAGAATTGAAGGCAACGAGATTCTCACGTGATCATGCTTGTGCGAGAGGCTTGAATGATGTGTTGATGCATATTTCGTTACATGTGAGGAACTGTGTCGAGGGGACCCAGAAGCCAGGATAGGCAAGTGGGGTTAAGGCCAATCCGCGATTACTTGCATTGCGCCCGCGATCTGTCCTCATGGAGTGAGTGCCTATTTGAGGTGCCATCATGGTGGACAGTGGACAAGCGCCAACGCTCACCAAAGTACGGATACCTTGGTACGGACACAGGGCAGGCACCGGGTGCGTGCTCCAGGGCCGCCCTTACGGTATTAGCGTCAAAGTGGAGCTAAGGTACCGCACCTTACCTTCCGTACCTAAATCCATATAGGTACTTTACTGCACAGGGCGAAGCACGCCTCACACAGGGTCGGCTACTATTGGCCAGGCTATGTCGTTTACACTTTGACGGTACTCTGTACCTTAAACTCAACTCCAACCGCACCAGGCTCTGACAGCCTCGATGACCTCCTCGACGACATCGCGAAGACGCGGCCAGCCGCAAGGCACCACATCGATGACTTCGGAGAAGATGGACCCCAGCGTCAACCCCCGAGGTCGGTATGACAAGGCTGCTTCTCCGGCACCCAATGGCCTGGCCATGAATGGGCATGCTTTGCACGACACCGAATCCGAAAAGCCCATCCAAGCCGCTGGCCGCATTGTCGTCGGCCTCTTCTCCCAATGGATTGCTGTTGGTGTCATGTTGGGCCTGATATTTGGCGGGTGTTGCTCCAATGTTGGTGCATACTCTATCCGTGGGTGGTTCCGCGTGTGCTGATGATATCGCGTAGGTGTACGCCCTCGAAGCCATCATCAAGTAAGTACCCCTCTCGAGGTTCACCCACCGGTACTGACCAACTATCGCTTCGCAGGGTCGAGCCATCGAGCGGAACTCTCTTGACTTTTGTCCAATTTCTTTTTGTGGCCGTAACCGGATATTTTTCCCAATTCGACCGATCGAGACCACCTTTCTTCCTGCGACAGAATAAGGTGCCACTGCGTCGCTGGCTTGTCAATATTGTGCTGTTCTTCAGCATCAACGTGTTGAACAACCACGCATTCAGCTACGACATATCCGTGCCCGTCCACATCATCCTACGCTCTGGAGGCAGCATCACTACCATGATTGCCGGGTCTCTCTATGGGAAGAAGTACTCGCGCATCCAGATTGTGGCTGTTATCCTGTTGACTTTGGGCGTCATTACTGCTGCCTGGTCCGATGCGCAGTCCAAGGCAAGCCATACCAAGACCATTCATTTGTCCTCAAGTGCTGCCAGCTGACATTCCAAACCGAGAGCAGAGCACGAACAAGTCACCCGACCAGATCGACCGCCCAGCTTTCGGAACCGGGCTCGTCATTCTTTTTGTGGCCCAGATTCTCTCGGCCATTATGGGGCTCTACACCGAAGAGACTTACAAGAAGTACGGACCGCAGTGGAAAGAGAACTTGTTCTACTCTCACCTGCTGTCTCTCCCGCTCTTTTTGCCTTTTACGCCCTCTCTCACTCGTCAGTTCAGACGATTGGCAGATAGTCCGCCCTTATCTTTGCCGATGCTGGGGCAGACATCGAGTCTTGGTCTCGCGGAAGAATTGGGGGGAGGACTGGTTAAGCTTCACATCCCGAGCCAGTTGGTTTACCTCGCGACCAACGTTCTCACACAATATGCGTGCATTCGAGGCGTTAATCTTCTGGCGGCCGTGTCTTCGGCACTCACGGTCACCATCGTCTTGAACATTCGCAAGCTTGTCAGCTTACTCCTCAGCATTTGGCTATTTGGAAACCGTCTGGCCGTGGGCACGTTGATAGGAGCTGTCATTGTGTTTGGGGCTGGAGGACTTTACTCTCTTGATTCTAGAGCCAAGACGTCGCGGGTGCAGAAAGGCGGCAACAAATAGACTTCGTAAGTTAGATTTACTTATATACACAGCGGGCAGCTGAAATAGGTGGATTAATTATCATGATTGTTGCACTTGCGGGATGGTGTGGGAGGAACGAGTGACGGCCCGAATGAGGAGTTCAGCTGGGTTGCGTACCTTTTTCAATCTCTTGAAAGTACCTTACGTGGCTGACGGATCACTGTGGTTGAGTCACGGATGGCATCTCTGACGGGAGCATCTGGATTTCCTAGGTATCCCAAGGGTTATTATGCTTGAGGGCGTTCTGGGATGCTTACTGTCAGGAGCGCATCGTCTACACGTGTGACTCAGATGAAATAGTCAGGTAGGTAGGCAAGGTATGCCTTAGTTTTGATACGCAGGACCCCGCCGCGACTTAGGTTGGATGCTTTCGGAGGTCGGAGCCAACCGCTGACCCTCACCGTTTGATGCACATACTCGTTACTGCGATACCCCAAGATCTTATTGACAAGTCCATCTCCATCGCGGAGGTGATTAACCGGTCTTCTTTCCTTCTTCTTTCTTCCTTCCTTTCTCGGGGGAAGAGCTTCGTAAGACACCACGGCAGAGACCAAATTGCGTCTCGCCATGGCTGGTATGTACACTTCACAAGATCTCTTCCCCCTCTCCGAACGTGGCAGTTGCGTTCCACGCTGGTAAGTTGACCATTTCTTGCGACCGAACCCCTCCATTCCCTGTACCCATGCTGACAAGGCACTCGGTCAGACACCAGCTTTTCTTTCCAAGATCCAACTTCCACCTCGACTTCCCCAAAGCGGGGCGCTGCATTCTCTCTCCACGATTTGGAGACGGATTCCGAAGGAGAGCTAGGCGCCCAGGTTTCCCGAGGTGACACAGAATCCGAAGGGTCAGGGGAGCAAATCAAGGGCGACGTACCGCCGTTGGACACTGACTCTACCCTCGATGGCAAGGGCCAGGATGGGGCAGGCTTGCAAGACGGCATGCTTCCCCGCGACCTTCCCACACGCACCGCCTTCTACGATCCCGTCGCCGAACGCCAGATGAGCCAAACAGATGCCAAACTCTTTTACCAGAGGAGCCAGATTGGCCAGCTGCGGACGGGAAGTGCTCTGTGGTCGCAATCCTCGCCTCATGGCAGTCCACTTATGGTCGGCTCTGAGCCTCGCGATGTCCCGGCCGGCTCGAGGGTCTCTGACCATCCTGTGGACTCTTCTCCCCTGGGCAAGCAGAAAGGTCAGTTCAGAGGCAAAGCTCCAGTCCGGGAGGACGTGATGCTGCCGGAACCGACCCAGAACTTTGGCCAGGCCACGTCTACGCCTCCACGAAGCCATCCTTTCCAAGACGGCGCCCACGACCTCGCACAAGTCGCAGCTCAAATGAGTCTGGGTCAAGCTCCTGACAAGCACTCAAGCTTTTCGAGTCAGACGGGTGGTCTTGGTGCCGCCGCCTTCTCCGACACGGACCCTCACATTACAGCCGAACTCAGCTCCATCTCCAAGAACATCCAGAGCATCATGGACCTTCGCCAGAGGTACATCAAGCTATCTCTTCAGGGCCCTGACGACAACCCTAAGGATGAGGCTGCGTGGTCAATCTACCCCCCACCGCCTCAGCCGGCATGGGGTGCTGAGCATGCACGTGCAGCAACATCCACTGAGCCGCCCACCGGTGCTACCAACAGTCTGAATGGGAGCATGGTTCTACCCCCCCCTACTGCTGCTGCTGCTGCTGCTGCTGTGGCAGAATCGGAGCCAAAGCGGACTTCGAAGAAGCGAAAGCCTGGCCAAGACATCGGCGAAGACTTTGACATGAATGATCTCCTTCCGGTGCCCTCGGCTCATAAGATGACGTTCAAACTGGACGACAGCGGCGTCTACCAAGTCTTCGAGAGTGAAGATGCCGAAGCGAACGGGAAACCCCTCATCAGTGTTCCGACGATTCGGGAGTTCTACATGGATCTTGATCATGTTCTTGGTATTTCCTCTGACGGTCCTAGCAAGAGTTTCGCTTTCCGCCGGCTACAGTATCTCGAGGGAAAATTCAACCTCTATGCACTTCTCAACGAGTATCAGGAAACCGCGGACAGCAAGAAAGTCCCTCACAGAGACTTTTACAACGTTCGTAAGGTCGACACCCACGTCCACCACTCTGCCTGCATGAACCAGAAGCATCTTCTGCGTTTTATCAAGAGCAAGATGAAGAAATGTCCTGACGAGGTCGTACTCTTCCGCGATGGCCGTCACCTCACCCTGGCAGAGGTTTTCCAGAGTATCAATCTGACGGCATACGATCTCTCTATCGACACTCTGGATATGCATGCACACACGGACTCTTTCCACAGGTTCGACAAATTCAACCTCAAGTACAACCCGATCGGCGAGTCTCGTCTCCGAACCATCTTCCTCAAGACAGACAACTTCATTAACGGCCGCTACTTGGCTGAAATTACCAAGGAAGTCATTGCCGACTTGGAATCGAGCAAGTACCAGATGGTCGAGTGGCGCATCTCTATTTATGGCAAGTCTCTCGACGAGTGGGACAAGCTAGCCGCCTGGGTTGTAGACAATAAGCTTTTCTCTCACAATATCCGATGGCTCATCCAAATTCCTCGCCTGTACGACGTCTACAAGGCGAGCGGTCTCATGAATACGTTCGAACAGGTGGTTAAGAACGTCTTCGAGCCTTTATTCGAGGTGTCCAAGGACCCTTCAAGCCATCCGAAATTGCACATCTTTCTGCAAAGGGTGATCGGTTTCGACAGCGTCGATGACGAAAGCAAAGTCGAGCGACGCCTGTTCAAGAAGTTTCCTGTGCCGAAGGTATGGGACTCGAAACAGAATCCTCCGTACAGCTACTGGATCTACCACCTGTTCTCCAACATGGCGTCCCTCAATGCGCTCCGAAAATGCCGTGGTTTCAACACATTCGTTCTACGCCCGCACTGCGGCGAAGCTGGCGACAGTGAACATCTCGCCGTTGCTCTACTATGCTGCCATAGCATCAGCCACGGTCTCTTGCTGCGCAAGGTCCCGCTCCTGCAGTACATTTTCTATTTGGAGCAGATTGGAATCGCCATGTCGCCGCTCAGCAACAACGCCCTCTTCCTGGCTTATGAGAGGAATCCATTTTACCAGTACTTCCGGCGGGGATTAAACGTGTCACTTTCCACGGACGACCCTCTGCAGTTCGCTTTCACCAAGGAGCCGCTGATGGAAGAGTACGCTGTGGCGGCACAAATCTACAAGTTGAGCTCGGTAGATATGTGCGAGCTCGCTAAGAACTCAGTCAAGCAGAGTGGGTTCGAGACTGCGATCAAGGAGCAGTGGTTGGGACCCAACTTCAAGCTCCCCGGCAAGGCAGGTAACGCAATGGTCAAGACGAATGTGCCAGATCGCCGAGAGGAATTCAGGTACCAGACGCTTCTTGAAGAACACGACATGTGAGTGTGGCAGAGATGCCGGCTTCAGCACAAATCACGCAGCCACCTAACAATGATCCCAGGCTTCGCAAGTACATCGCATTTGGCGCCAAACGCTCCTCTGAATCCATGACCAGCGCGGATCAACAAAGCATTGCCCAGACCATCATAGCTGGGCAGCAAGCTGTAGCTGCGTCCGCTGTGCAAGGACAGGGTGAGAGGGAGCTTGAAATGGATGCGTCTACTGCTGGAACTGTGTCCCGCAATGACGTTATGGCTTCCCCTGGCAGTCTCTTATCAACTAGGGAGGAATCGTGGTCTGCTGACGCCCACACTTCGGGTCAGGACCCCAGGCTTTTCCCAGGTGTCATCAGTCGCGGACAGACGGGCAGCAGCAGTCTGTTCCACGATGACAGTCAGCCGTGATGGGCGAGTCCTCGAGGCGAGCCGTATCGCAGGTGGAAGCCAAGTCGCTAAGGATATACGCAGGGGGCCAAGGGCGGGTTAAAATCGGGATGGTTCTTGGAAATAGGGCACGTTTAGACCGGGACTATCATTCTCTGCCAGGAGTTGGCACTCGCGCTGTTGATGAGGGCGCGTCTAGTTGGTTGTCACAGCATTCGTGTACACTTGTCTGGACGTGGCGACCCATTTGGGATAAGTGATGAAGCAAGTGAGACGAAGACGAGTTTGGAAGCAGCCGAGGCTGGCGATAGCATTAAGATCAAACATGGATAACCCTCTTAAGCGAAGTCGTCGGCATGACGGGTCCCATCTCAGTGAATCCTGACTTATCTGGCGCCTCAAGGAAACAGCTCGGCCATTAGCCAAACTGTTACGTCGGCTATGGATGTGATACGTAAATGAGTGCGCCCTCTTTACTCCCGTCCTTACAGGAACGTACCCGACATGACGAGAATTACACAAGATGACAGGCGGCGGTCCCAGCTGGGAAAGGTATCTTATCTTATTACATGCCACCCAGACCTAAAATAAAGATGCACATCCCCGTAGTGCCAATTCTTAAGCACTATAACAACCTTAGTAGAAATATGTGGGTTGCGTAAACGGTGGCGGCATGGTACTATATATAGTATAGTGCTAAGGTGGGATATAGTGATAGATATAAAGGACAGTAGTAGTATAGTATTATAGATTAACGCGGTGCTATAGGCTAGTATAGCGCCATAAGGTGCTAAGGGTGCTAGAGGTGCTATAGTAGGTGCTAGGTGCTAGGATTAGGTCTAGGTGCTATTAGGTTTTATAGGTCTATATGTAGTTATATATTTATTTAATATATATCTATTTAATATATTACTACCTAGCTACCTAGCTAGGCTACTAGCTAGCTACTATACTAGCCCGCGCTTAGACTAAAAGATACCTAAGTCTAAATCCTACTACCTAGTTCTAAATCCTACTACTACTAAGTCTAAATCCTACTACTACTAAGTCTAAATCCCTTATATAAACCTAATATAAACCTAATTTTAAATCTAACTATTTAGTAATTATTATAAAGCTAAAATACTAACTTAAAAGTTAGTTATTACCTATTTAATTAATATAGTGATTTATATACCTTTTTATTCCTTAGTAGATAACTTAATAAGATCTAATAGATAAGGTAATATAAGAACCTAATATATTAGTAATATAATGTTTTATAGTGCTATAATTAATTATTAGTTAGGGTGAAAATTATTAACCTAAATTAGGAGGTATACCTCTAATACTAGTCTATTATTAGTAATATTTAACTCTTATTATATTAGATAGCTATAATAGATTGCCTATGAGTATAAGTTATTAACTATATTAATTTATATATATATACCTTAATAATATCTATTTATTAAATAAACTTAATACGCTAGGTAACCTATATCTATTAGTAATATAGAGCCTCCTTACTATTAGTACTAGATATTAGCTTAGGCTCCTTATTATTAATAATATACTAGCCTAAATTAGGTATAACTATAGGTAAGCTAATAATAATAGCCTTACTATTATTAATATATAGTAGGTTAAGATCCTAGTAGAGGTTATTAGAGATAATTACTTCTATTAATATAAAGAATATATACTAGCTACTATTATACTTATAGGTAAAGACGCTATTAATATAACTAAGATAGTACTTAAAGTTTACCTCCTCCTTATCTATTAACTTAGCGCTAGGTTACTTAAACTTAATATAATTATTAATCTTAAAAGTATAGTAGTAGAACTTACTAAGGTATTATATATAGTTAGCTTATTTAGATTAGGCTTTATTTTAGTATAGCTACTTAATAGCCCTCCTATATATTAATAGCTTTATTAGCTCCTATTACTATAGCTTAAACCGTCTACTTTAGATAGGCTAACTTTAGTATCTAAGCTTATTTAGGTCCTACTATAATAGACTTATTTCTATAGTAATAGGAATAGAGTTAATAAGGGGTAAAGTCTCTAAGTAGTTTATATAAACTCTTTATATCTCTCTAGGTAGTCCTTATAAGCTATCTATATATATTTATATAATATATTTACACTACGTTCAAGCTATATCTTAAGCTCTAAGCTTATATTAATATTATAAGTTATTATATAGAGCTTACTTAGAGGTAGTAGGAACCTAATAAGAACTTATTATAAAGGTAGTAGAAAGTTACTATTTAAGCTTAATAAGCTCTATTTTAGCTTAAACTTTAAACTAAGTTAGACTTTATATTAATAGCCTTAAGAAATAATAGTTAAACTTTTAACTATAACTCTATAGCTTAAATTACTACTCTAAGTTACTAAGTATAAACTCTAAATAAACTTTAAGCTATAAGAGCTAAGACGCTTTAGAAGATAAGATATTTATAATACTAAACTCTAAAGATAAGATATCTATAATATTAAACTCTAAAGATAAGATATCTATAATAATAAACCTTTAATAGTAAGGGATAGCTAATAAGACTTAAAAAAAATATAGAGTAAGTATAAGATAATTTTAAGTAAAGTATAGGGGAAATATAGAAGAATATTAAGACTATAATATACCTATCTATAAAAGAAACCTTTAAGAACTATTAGAAAATTAATAAATAAGAAAGGCTATATATACTTAAGATATTATAATTATAGTAATAAGCCTTATAAAGAGAGTTATAAAATAGTTTATAGTATTATAATATATAGACTAAGAGACTTTAGTTATTATTTATTAGGTATTAGATCTTATAAATCTTATTTACTTTAATATCTCTAATAATAGCTATATTATAATAGTTATTTTACTCCTTTTTATTAGTTAGTAGTAATTTAGGCTCCTTAAAGTTATTATTATTTAAACTTAAGCCTACTATTTAGAGTAGATCCTATTAGTTAGATTAAGTTATAATACTCTTAAATAAAAGAGGATAAATATAGTAGATATATTTTATCTAACTAGTTAGACTAAAGTAGAGTTTATTAAAAGCGCTTTGAATTAAAAGCTAATAGGTTATCTAAATATTAATCTTTAATAGTAGGACTTATTTAACTTTATATAGGTTTATCTTATATATAATATCTTTAAATAATCTATAAAGTAATAAAATTAGTTATAATCTAGTTAGAATGAATAATATTTAATAAGTACTTACTACTTATTATATTTTATAGCTTACTATAACTTAATATAGAAGCTAGATAATAAAGGTAGATATAAATAGGGAAAATTCTATAGAGCGGAAAGATATATATAACTTAATATATATACCTTTAGACTTAACTTAGAGTTAGATCTAATATTTTATTAGTATTAACTAATATCCTACTATAAATTAAAATACTAAGATAAATAAATAGAAACTATAATAACTTATTAATATTTATTCTCTCTAATTAAGGTATTTAGGTTAAATATATAAGTATACTCCTTAATAAACTAGTTATAATATATATTAATATAAATATTTAGCTAAATAGTATTACTAATCTAGTCTAACTTCTTATTTAGATTAACTTTCTAAATTACTTTATTTTAGCTATATTATATAGGCGCTATAGCTAGATCTAGCTTATTAGGTTTCTCTAGCTATTTATATTATAAGGCCTATTATAGGATCTCTCTAAACTCTCTATCTCTAGTGCTATCTAGCGCTATATCTATTAGATACTTTTCTAAAGTCTATATAAATATAGACTTTATAGTTATATCTAAGGCTAATAAAGTAATAGAAGTTTTATATAACTATATTAGTATTTTAGCTTACTCTTTAGCTAATTAGAAAGAAGCTTAAATATAGAGTTATTAATATATATAGTAAGTATCTATAGTATTATTATAAGTATTATTATAATTATTACTATTATAAATAGTTATAAATAGTATAAATATAGTATTACTTTTAGCTATAATAATAGCTATAGTAATAATATATTAAATAGAGGTATAACCCTTAAGGGCTAAGTAAAGTATAGCTCTATTTTAGAACTTAGTCTTAATATAGCCCTCTTTTAGCTAAGTATTAAGTAGACCTAAAGTAATAATAGACTACTATATATACTCTAATAAGCTATAGCTTCTAAAGTAATTAATAGAAGAGGGAATATAGTTCTAACTAAATATTAACTTTTATAATTATATAAGATAACTATATTTAGTCTTTATAGTGCCTATTAGAATGCTATAGATAAAGAGGTTATAGAATAGATTAATAAGACTATTATATTTAAAATAGGTAGTATTAAGTATCTATATTATTATAGGGTTAAGAGTAAATAAGATATCTTTAAGTATAGATAGCTTAGTTATTCCCTATTAGGAGTAATACTCCTATTATTCTATAGCTATTAGTAAGCTCTCTATATAATAGTATATCTCTTAGACTTAATAGTAAAAGTAACTATAAGTAATATTATTAAATTTAATTATATACTCTAGCTTTATTTCTTAAATAGCTTAAATAGATATCTTCTTTTTAATATAGTAAAAGTAATAAAACTTTATAGTAGTTAGTCTAAAGGTACTAGCGTTATTATTTTATTATAGTATATTACTAATATAAGTTAATATAAAAACTAATAGAAATATCTCTTTATTATTAATTATAATATTTATACCTTTATTTAGTAGTATAAAGATCTTTAAAGTAGTCTTAATAACCTCCTTAAAGACTAATCTATAAGGACTAAGGAAGATAGGAAAGATATTAGTATAATAGTTATAATCTTAGTAATTAAGGCTAGCTAGCATTATATAGAATTTAATAAGGGATCTCTATATATTCTAAAAGAGGCTAAATCTATTAATAAATATTATAATAAAATAAGAAATAACCTCTTTACTATTATTCTTTATTTAGTCCTACTTATCTATATATAACTTCTAACTATAGTACTTAAGCTTAAGCTTAGCTTAAATAGGGTAGGTATAATATAAAGAGTTAACTTCTTTATTATTA